CTGTTACAAGAATCTACATAGGTGTAGTAAGGTAATGTGAGCTATCATACAGGAACTCTCAAACGAATTAATGGTGAAACAGGCACCAAGATCTAAAAGTCGTTCTATTCGGCGTTAAGTGTCTTGTAACTACTATGTTAGGTACCTAAGGTTAGATATTACTACACTCACAAAGACACATAGCCGACAACGCCCAATGAAAGTTGTGGGGGTTTGCGGTTCCTTCTCCGGCTACGCAATACACCTCGACTGTCGCAGTCCTTTTCTCTACACAATTCTGGAACTGCGGCATACTAAAGTTGTGGAATACCACACTTAAAATACTCATATACTTGAACGTTCCCCAACAGTAATGCAAGGGATTCGAATACTTCAAAGCGACACCAAATAAAGCTAAGTTCTATCCACGAACCTCCCTTTTTAGATGCAACAGTAGTCATCCTCGCCAAGCCAGTTTACCCCCCATCCTGGATCCCTCGGTGAACTGCATGGTTGCATCTTCAACCTGCAAGGTCACCCATCCTCCGATTTCCATCGGGTATCCTGTGGTGATACTTATCGCCGACGATATAGGTAATAACTATTTTAGTCTTTTGATACTTGGGAATTGTCTAGAAGTCATAACTGGAATCAAAACTAACCCTGCTTCCTTTTAGCTAAATTTATGTCCTCCAAGACCGTTATAGGGAAAACCCCCAATGCCATGGATCTGTGGCTAACCGTCTCCACGTCAGGAACGGTGTCACCCAATCCATATTCGCGCATAATCATAGGTACGTCAAAATTCGTGCGAGAATGAGACCTACGTATAAGATCGGCAAATATCTATAGCGCCTGTGTTATTGGACCCTCCGGTACTATGGCTACGACCCTTGGGGACTTGAAACCTTTAAAGGGGGGCCGGCTTCTCACCCGTATGGATATGTATAACCTCTAGGTACCTGTCTTGATATAATGAACGATGGGATATATTACCAAGTTATGTTAGAATGAAATACCTACAAGTTTCGAAATATAGACCAACATCGTTCAAATGCTATACAAGGTTACTAATCGTAGTAAAATGTCTTGCATCCTCATATACAGGACGTCCGCAACCGGAGTCGAGAGGGTTTATCGATCCTTGGGGGCCACGTATATTACAGCTCTCTATTTCCCTAGGTGGAATATATCTAGGAATAATTCGGCAATATCAGCGTGGTAGGATATATCGGACAGCCTCAGTGACAATTTTAGTATCGGTACCATAAACCAAACTTGGAGACCTTATTAACAATTCAGAAAATAGAGCCTCTGCTTAGCCAAATAGGGGTTCTTCCTCCAAGCCTTGAAGAAGGCAGTACAGAACATGTTTGCTCGATACGTTCGCGAACAATCTAAGCTCACAGTGGCTTAAATAAGCTCGTTTCTCATTCAAGATGTCCGATATCTAACTACTGAGTTATTTGTTAAATCTAAAGTAGTATAGTTTACACTGAACGCGTGGGTACTTAGGTTCACAGAAAGATGATAAAGTCTATGTTTTCCGGAGGTAACTCAAGACATCTTAGAGCGATACTATTGCCGTATCAAAGCTTGACGAAGATGCTAATTCAGTCTTTCAGGTTTCAAGCATTAACCCAACTGGCGATTTCCTGGTCGAGAGACATGGATTCAGGCAGGTGAACGACATAGTAGAAGTTTTAGCTCCTAAGACCAGATTTTGTACCACATCACAGATTGCTTCATATAAGGTATATATATAGGATATTTCGAATATAACTTATATTTGAGTTGCCTACCGGCCAGTGTAGAACATGTCAGGGGCTGGCTGTCAGGTACCTATCAGGTGTGAAACATAGGAGACAAAGGAGATACTTATATGTATAGCTCTGGTTCCCAGAGTTACTTTTAGTTAGAATTCTCTGCGGAATAACGGAGTTGTCTACCTATCTTCTGGTCTACCTCGTAACACTGGCTTTAGCCAAAAATCACCTAGAGAAATACGAAATGTGTGGGGAAGAGGTATCATGACAATACATTGGGGAAGACGACATAAAGGGAACTAGAATAAGTAGAAAAACGGAGGATTTGAAGACTATTCTACTTCATTATAGGATAGTAGGGTTGGGAAGCATTACTGTGAGCTAGACCTAAAAGACAGTCTCGCAACCTTTTACTTTGGGAGTAGATATATACCTCTAGGTACCTAAGTTTAGGTACCCATTACAGAACTAAGCGGCTATACACGCTACAAATAGATATTAATATATATCTCTCGCCTAGAACCTCGTTAGTTTCTGTGCCTATAAGTTATACAAAATGTTGCTAGAAAGAAGAAACGAGACTTTGAATATCCGGCTAAAGTCTCCGTATAAGTGACTTTAGGGACAAAAAGTAAGTAATATGCGATCTCATTCTATACTAGAGTTGGGCCAGCTGCGGGAGTACGTACTCCAATATCGATTATGTCTGGTTGTGTAGTTGCTCGGTTGATTTAGGGAAGAAAATAAGCTCGCAGAGCAGTACCGCTGAGGCTTTTTTAAAGGTGTAAAGGTGTAAAGGTGTCTAAGAAGTTAAAAGACCATTAGTTATGGTAACAAATAATGTTGTTAGAGATTCGTAGTGAGGGATAGGGTTAGGTACTAAAGGTAGTTGCGGGAAGGTATAACTTATCGTCAATTGCCTGTGAGAGTTGTAAGAGTAGAAGCGACGGCAAGTTTCAAAGCAGCTGAGAAACAAAGTACTGTAGCTACAGCGGCATATATTCTACAACTAGAAGCAATTTTCGAAACAGCAATGATGCTTATCTTTTTTCTTTTCGAATCTTTTTCTTTTTCATTTCGTCCTAGAGGTGGAACAAACGGGAAAGGGGTAACTCTATTGGAGTGTAAGTAAAAGTAACTTTATAACCACCTGGTATAACAGGCACACAATACCCTTAAAAGAGGATAAGGGACTAGCTGTTAACTAGATGATTACTACTGCTAGTTATTTCAACATTCTTTCAGGGTCAGTTTTATTAAAGGTGTATCTAGTAATATATAAGGGTTTGCTATGTACAGTTATCTATGTCCCAGAGCGATATAATAGCATGAAGACCGAAAAAAAGTAACTTTAAATATGCGGGACCATTTTGCAATATTTCTTGATATATAAAATCTTTCGGTCCCGACTTATATTTGAGTATCAGTGGTACGTATGAGGTAGGACTGGGATGGAATTGAGATATATTTACAAGGTCGGAGAATATACAGAGCGCACAGCTCCCTCAAAGAAACTTAAAAGAGCAAGTGTTGATATCTCATTTCCATCACATACATAAGTACCTTTTAAGCTACCATTTCTATGTAGTATTCAATTTACGTATAGCGCTCATCGCGGGATCTTTCTGGCACTTATTAGAAGACGCGAAGAAGCTCGCATTGGCTCCGCTACCACGTGGGCAATCTAGCATCGTCTTTCTTCTTCAGCTTCTCAAAACCCCCTGGCGTTGGCTTGAAGTGACCTACTATTTCTAACGAGTGTAGCTAAAGGGCTATATGCCCAGTCACTATTCGATCTTAGCCCTTGCCCCCCAAAAACAGACGGCATCGTCTAGGCGCCTGAACCGCTGTACCATGTGATGAAGATACCAGTCGAAACAACAGGGGTCAAACTTGAGATCTTCCAAGGTCGACGTAGCGAGTGTATTTGGTAGCCGTCGGGCGAAGCACTCGTTAGCCACTGTTGTGTGGTTGAGTTTATGCGCGAGCAAGGCCTTACCATTGCCGCCATTATCATTTGAACTATCCCTGAAGTGCTATGCCTTGAGGCTTTCTCAGGCTTTAATTTATGGTGGCTACAATGACTTGAATGCTTGATACTGATAGGTACAGGAATAATTACAATAGAAGGTATATCGTGGAAAGTTGATATCTACCTACCTACCTAAACTATCTAACGTAGGTTATGTAGATACTTACCTCCAGTTTAGAAGAGTTATTGGTAAGGCTTAAGTTGGACTAAGAGTCGGGGATGTGAGGACCCAAGGAGTTTAAGACTCCATAGGACAACAAGGTGCCTAAGGTATGTGATGATGAGGTTAAGTCAATATAACACCGCCAACTCTCCTCATCATCAATAATAACGGAAGAAAGGTTAAATGTTGTAGTATAGTTCTAGTAACTATTAAATAGTTTACCTTGAATAGTTGTTAAGCACTTAATTCAATGTTTACGGGTCAACTAGGATAGGTACTACTCTTGTGTAACACTAATCAGCGCATACCTAAGCTCACCGCTAAGAGGGCCTACCTACCTAGGTACTTAGGTACGGCGATATCAAGAATAGTTTATCCATGAGACATTGCAAACTATTCTATGATCTCCTGTATGACCAGCAGGCCAAGATATCTGCAACTCGACTTCCATGGTATTTCCGGTTGTACCGTTTAAGTACGACTTATTCAGCTTAGAAGACAGTTTGCGAAATCATAGCGAAGTTATAGATGACTAATGGACTTATAACTCCAAGAGATGGAATAAGGGAAGTCAATTAGTACTTGAATAGTTATTTGAGCTTAATTAGAAGAAAAACAGATGTTGTTAAATATCATTTAATTACTTACCTCCCTCCTAGCTTACACATTTGAAGCTTCGAGTGTTCCGCATTTATTTATTAGTAACTTCTCGTCCGCCGAAAGCACAAGATCCTTTCTATTAGTCACCGCCAAGCCCAGTGTTTCATCAAATACGACTTTGTCTGACTCGAGCCAAGATAACGCACCAGGTAAGGTTAGGTAGGAGGTACCTATCCAAACAGACAATGTTATTATTGGCACGCCACCTGCCGGAAGGAATATCGACACGACAATTCGGCTATGTGGTTGGCCGGCTTATGGTGACAAAGTTTTAACTACGCACGTAGGAGCCGAACCACGGCTATTCGTAATCACGGTGCGATTCACGCTCAAAGAGTTGGATACCTAACTCATGATAGAAAGTGGTACATATGTTCTAACGCGTAATTGGGGCTTTTCTAAAGACCACGAGTGTTAAATTTTCGCCGTCACTACGAATCAGGGAACATGATGGATAAGCTGAGGATAAAAGAGTTCCAAGGCATGAAGATATCAAGTGTCTGCCAATAATCCTTATTAGGTAGCTGGGCTGCTGAGCTGCTGAGCTGGCCCCCACACAATCAAACAGGGATGATGTCTTGGGTGACCTGGGTGATCTGGCTGACTATAGGTATAGATATACGAAATGTTGCACAGGGTGGATACGGATGAATGTCGAAAGGCATTCCTTCGTTTTGAATTTTCGCCAGTCATACAATTTAACGTGAATTCTCTTATTCTCACCTCTCCCCCAACGATATGTATACCTAATGTATGTCATATAGTTTGGTTGCAACCTCGCGATGTTGACCTCTTTAGCGATACCGACGTCATGCGTGACGGATATATGGGTATGGTCAACCGGGACAGCAACGGGAGTCCAGCTTGGTAACCTCTACGATTCAAGCTGCTGGCCTGGGAGCAGGGACTTAGCGACGACGATCTCGCCTGCAATCTGTCCGGCTGGATATACTAGCGCGTGCAATGCTTCACCCTCAAAAGATGCTAGCGAAACCGTATGGGCCTGCTGCCCAACGTCAGTCACTTTTTTTATATATATATATATATATTCTATATACCTACCTAACACATGATTGTCAATGCTTCAGCTGCTAACTTGCGACGACTAACGCACAGGGGATTTTCCTGCGACGGCGGCTTCTTCTCTTGCCTTTCGGGTGGCAAGGAAACGAAAACGTACGTCGTGACCGGGCGTGATCGCGCTGGAAACACTCTCACATCGACACTTGCAACGGAAAGCGGAATAAATGCGCATTCGATCCGAGTAGCATTTCATTCTTCCGACCTTTTCGTCTCGTCTACTTCCACCACTTCATCATCATCTACTTCTAGTACCAGTTCATCACAGTTTCCAACGTCAACTTCGAGCTCAGGTTCAGGCGACTTATCGGTGGGGGCTAAGACCGGCATTGGAATCGGCGTTGGTCTCGGTGGCTTGTTACTGTTCTCGTTACTTGGCTGGCTGGCGTGGAGAAGGCACAGGAACAAGCGACTGGCTAACGGACAAGACCCCTCTGTTCGCCAGCAATCGTACGTAGGAACCACACAGTATCCCAAGGCTAATCCGGTCACGCCCACGACGAAGATGAACGTGACGAATAACGTGCCGGGCATACACGAACTTGGCACGGAACCATACGCTGAGCTCCCAGCCGAGATACCGACCAGTAATAGGAGAGATGGATGAGAGAGTTCAGACACACCAAAAATTGTTATTATCATTCTTTTCTTCTGCTGATCCTGCCTTTGGTGGTAAGAACGTCACTAATACACAACAACAGTCAATAATTTTATTACCGTCAAATGGGGTTATGGCAGGAGAAAGTAGATAGAGAAACTTCAACTGTAAATTTAAAAGAGCGCAAAGTTATAAATAACGAATAAAGGTCCTAGCGGTTATGCGGGGCCTGTTAATAAATATAAATTCTTCATGGAAGCCTCCGAGCATGGTTGTTGCGAATTCGATGAATTTCTTGTTTTGCCTTTCGAGCACTTGAGGACATAATAATGGGTAGGCGAAGCTCACTATTTTTAGAAAATGGTTTTTAATACAGTATCAAATTACTTGATCAACAGTCTCAATTGCCAGACTGTTAACGCCAATCGAAAGAATATCCTTGATCGAATGGCCATAGATGGATCGTACCAAGGTAGGTACCTCCTAAGGTACCTCCTGTTAAAGACGCAACGTGTCGGCCCGGTAAAATTTCCCGTATCTATGATCTTAAAAGGACCAAGAGGGTGTGGTAAGAGAGAGAGAGTTAATTAAAATAGGACCCTAGGTACTTACACGTCCTATTACGTAGACCTCGGGAGCGTCACACCGGACTTTTCGCCACTTCTCGGTACGTCTTTCTGGAAATGCTTCGTGATACTATCTGCTGAGTTATCGTGCGGGTTTGAAGCCGTACACCTTGTTACTGGTCCTGCATGCCTACTAAACGGTCATGTTTCATTTATTTGACAGTTTCGAACGGGGTATTAGCACCTATCTTTAATGCCTTATTCAGATGGCAATGCAATGTAACAGTCCGGGGTCTTCACTCGCCATACAGACTCCCATTGTTAAGGCTGTCCTCAATCACACGTGGCAACATATTTCATGGCGAGCCTTGTATCCGGAATTTATAACCGACTTTCTATACATCCTTCGAAAGCTCTTCTTCATGCCTTCGGAACGCTAAACATGCTGCGTGCAAACATATCATGTTCCTTGTCCTTCTCGAAGGATTGAGACACGAAATCTATTGGTGAGATTAGTAAATGATATACCCATTACCGACATTCTCCGACCTGCAAAATTTGAAAGCGTATCTACCTACGTTTACATCTGATCTATTAAGGTAGTATAGCATTTGGATCACCAAGTTAAGAGGCAATAATATTTATACAAAGCTAAGCTTTGGATTGCCTTATTGCTATTTGACTAGCGTTAGTTACTTCGAAACATGCATGTAGGTAAGAAGTATACTAAATGACCTTCATGCTGCTTGAGTCTAATTGGTTGAAATGCATTACGAAGAGATGCAAATCTCCCACAAATCTCCCACTAGGTTAGGTTAGGTTAGGTACTTTTAGCCTCCGTTCTAGCCTCTGAGCGGACTGTGAGCTTGCAAAAAACCAAAGGTGACGGATGTACCTACGCAGCTGCTACGCAAGCTGAGCAAGCCTATAAAAATGAACTAAGTCCCGATGAACAGCTAGCGTAAGATCTAACGAGTTCTAGTGTGAAATATTCAAAATGTATTTCATCATCACCCACCCGAGGACCCACAGGAGGCTTGATTTTGACGCCTTCGACGCCTTCGAGTCATCACACCAAAAGGAGACTTATCAGAAACCCAGTATAGTCAGGTACAATACAGATCGCGCTTTCCCCCTACTACCCCCCTAATTATGCGATCAATGATAACAATCCATGTACCTACCTCAATAGCTATGTAGGTAGGAGGTACGTAAGGTAACATATCGTTCATTGTAGAGTCCGAACTCCGATTATAACATTTTCAAGGTCCTCCGGGCTCCGATGTGTGTGCTAAGGTTGTCTTCTTTATTGTCCCTATCAGCTCTAAACTTCTATGATGATGTATTATTATTGTTTTATGTCTTGCCTATTCCCTTTCAGAAGCTAGCCTTTTGAGACATTTTAGGCAGATTTCCAACAATTCCCAACACCTATGATGCGGCTATTAATACCTTAGGTATGGATTTTACTTCCTATTTAATTGATAACTATTCGTATTTGAGCCACGTTTTTCCCTTTCTTTCAGGGCGTTTTGAGCCCTTAGAGACCTTCGTCTAAGTCACATACAATGGACGGCGACAGACCTACTCCAGCAGATACGGATATTCCTGGTGGGTTCCCTGAGACGCCATCCTCCATCCCGCCCAAACGTTTCTCTACAATCAGTCGAGAGTTTTCACTTGCTGCCAACGGAGGAAGTTCTATACCTAGTTCTATACCTGATACTAGATCTTTGAATACCGGTACCGACGCACTTACATCAGTACATGGAAATGGGGTGGACAATGTGAATGTTGATGGTATTGTTGGCGGGAATGCTAGATCGAGTGATATTGGTCCATCCTCATATAAGCAAGCCGTTCCAGTGCACCAAGCTCAATCTGGCCCTGGAGAAACATCGTCTGATGAGTCGGACCAAACTGAAGTGGAACCTCGCTTTGAACCTATCAAGTTCACGGCGGAGCAACCAAAACTCGAGCGAAATGAGAGTGAGATCAACACCGAAGATGATCTATTCCGCGCCCTTTCGCGGCGTCGTAGTCTTAACTCCAATGCCGAATCGCAAGGAGAGGATGACGAGGTCGAGCGACTGATGTCCCGTATGTTTGGCCAAGCTCGACAGCAACATAGCGAGGAAGAAAAGACGAGACACGCTGGTGTTATCTTCCGGAATCTCACAGTAAAGGGTGTCGGCCTTGGTGCTAGCTTACAACCCACCGTTGGCGATATATTTCTCGGGTTTCCAAGATTCTTATTGAACCTACTAACCAAAGGACCCAAGGCTGCCACCGGTAAACCACCCGTAAGAGAGTTAATCAGTAACTTCAACGGCTGTGTCCGACCTGGAGAAATACTGCTCGTCCTCGGGAGGCCGGGGTCTGGTTGTACGACGTTCTTGAAATCATTCTGTAACCAGCGAGCAGGATTTGAAGATGTTTTGGGTGATGTAACTTACGGCGGAACGGATGCAAAGCGTATGGCCAAGGATTTCAGGGGCGAAATCATTTACAACCCGGAAGACGATTTACACTATGCTACTCTAACGGTCAAGGATACCCTCACCTTTGCTCTCCAGACCCGTACTCCTGGGAAGGAATCACGGATGGAGGGTGAAAGCAGAGAAGACTATGTGAGGGAATTTCTTAGAGTCGCCGCGAAGCTGCTTTGGATTGAGCATACGATGGACACTAAAGTCGGTAACGAATACATCAGGGGCGTTTCTGGCGGAGAGCGCAAGCGTGTTAGTATTGCGGAGGCACTCATTACTCGGGCCAGCGTTCAAGGGTGGGACAACTCGAGTAAGGGTTTGGATGCATCAACTGCTGTCGAGTATGTCCAATCATTGCGAGCACTTACGAACATGGCCCAGGTGTCCACTGCTGTCTCGCTATACCAAGCCGGCGAATCTCTGTATAACCTTGTCGATAAAGTCTTGTTGATTGATAAGGGGCAATGCTTATATTATGGAGCGTCCGACCGCGCCAAGCAGTACTTTTTGGATCTTGGGTTTGACTGTCCTGAACGATGGACTACCGCCGACTTTCTTACGTCTGTTACCGACTCCCATGAGCGTAGTGTCAGGCCGGGGTGGGAAGATCGTATTCCGAGATCAGCCGAAGAGTTTGCCGAGATTTACAAGAAAAGTGAAGCTTACCAGCGTAATCTTGATGACATTAACGATTATGAAGCTCATCTCGAAGAGCAGCGCCGTGCTCGGGCGGAGAATACGTCGAAAAAAAACAAGAGGAAGAACTACACGATATCATATCACCAACAAGTAATTGCTCTCACAAAACGTCAAGCTCTAGTTATGTTGGGAGACAGAGCGTCCCTCATTGGAAAATGGGGCGGTATCGTCTTTCAGAGTCTCATAGTGGGGAGTCTGTTCTACCACCTCCCACCTACAGCGGCTGGTGCCTTCACACGAGGTGGTGTCTTATTCTTTATTCTGATGTTCAACGCGTTAATGGCTCTCGCTGAGCAGACTGCGGCGTTCGAGGCTAAACCTATCTTGCTCAAGCATAAGAACTTTTCCTTTTATCGGCCTTCGGCCTATGCGTTGGCGCAAACTGTTGTGGACATACCTCTGGTCTTCATCCAGGTGTTTCTATTCGATATTATCATCTACTGGATGGCAGGCCTCGCTGCCTCGCCATCTCAGTTCTTCATCTCGCTACTGATTCTATGGTTGATTACAATGACGACTTACGCATTCTTCCGCTCGATTTCTGCAGTTTTCAAGACTTTGGATGACGCTACAAAATTGACCGGTGTCGCAATCCAGATTATAATCGTGTATACCGGATACCTAATCCCGCCTTCGTCAATGCATCCATGGTTTAGTTGGCTACACTGGGTCAACTGGCTTCAGTATGGGTTTGAATGTCTGATGTCGAATGAATTCTACAATCTGGAATTGGCTTGTGTACCTCCGTTTCTTGTTCCCAACAACGTTGAAGGTGCCGCACCGGAATATCAATCATGCACATTAGCTGGTTCGCAACCTGGAGAAGTAGTTGTCAATGGTGTAAATTATATCGACGTGGCTTTTAGCTACTCGCGCAGCCACCTTTGGCGAAACTTTGCCTTTTTATGGGCTTTCTTTGGTTTCTTCCTTGTGGTATCGATGATAGGTATGGAGAGAATGAAGCCTAACGCTGGAGGTGCTGCTGTAACTGTTTTCAAGCGAGGACAGGTCCCAAAAACCCTCCAGAAATCCATCGAGACCGGAGGCCGCAAAGGTAATAAAGGGGATGAAGAAGCCGCCAGTTCTAGCGAGAAAGTTAGCATCCCTGAAGAAGCCTCGGCAGCCGAAGAAAGACGTGATGAAGAAACTATGCAGACGGTCGCAAAAAACGAGACGATATTCACATTTCAAAATGTCAATTACACAATTCCGTATAAGGGTGGAGAGAGGAAGCTATTACAAAACGTGCAGGGCTTTGTGAGGCCGGGGAAATTGACAGCCCTTATGGGAGCTTCTGGAGCTGGAAAAACAACATTGCTTAATACTTTGGCTCAGAGGTGAGACTGCAATGACCCTCAATTGAAATTCATACTGACTTCTGTTTTTAGAAACACGTTCGGTGTTGTGACGGGAGACTTCTTGGTGGACGGAAGACCCCTCCCAAAGTCATTCCAGAGAGCCACAGGATTTGCAGAGCAACTCGACATCCACGAACCAACTGCAACTGTACGCGAGGCCCTGCAGTTTTCTGCGCTTCTACGTCAACCAAAGGAAGTGCCCACCAAGGAGAAGTACGCTTATTGCGAAACGATTATCGAACTGCTTGAGATGCAAGACATCGCCGGAGCAACGATAGGAGTAGTTGGCGAGGGTCTCAATGCGGAGCAGCGCAAGAGACTTACTATCGGCGTTGAACTTGCATCCAAACCTGAGTTGCTGATGTTTCTGGATGAGCCAACATCCGGTCTCGATTCAGGGGCAGCATTTAATATCGTTAGATTTTTACGTAAGCTAGCTGATGCCGGCCAGGCCATCCTGTGTACCATCCACCAGCCTTCCGCCGTACTATTCGAGATTTTCGACGAATTGATTCTACTCAAGTCTGGTGGTCGCGTGGTATACGCGGGCGAGCTCGGAAAAGATAGCCAGAATTTGATCGAATACTTCGAATCGAATGGTGGTCCGAAATGTCCCCCTGATGCAAATCCAGCCGAGTGGATGTTGGAAGTAATCGGAGCGGGCAATCCGGATTACGCAGGTCAGGACTGGGGCGATACCTGGGCACAATCTAAGAACTTCGACGAGCAGTCGAAAGAGATAGCACAAATGGCTGAGAAGCGCCGCAATGTTCAACATTCGAAGAACGTCCAAGATGACCGCGAATATGCCATGCCTCTATGGACCCAGACATCAGCAGTTGTCAAGCGCTCTTTCGTCGCTTATTGGAGATCCCCCAATTACATCATGGGGAAGATGATTCTGCACATATTTACTGGCCTCTTCAATACCTTCACATTTTGGCGTCTGGGTGATGCTAGCATTGATATGCAATCCCGCTTATTCTCCATCTTCATGACACTGACTATTTCGCCCCCGCTGATTCAACAGCTTCAGCCTGTCTTCCTCAACTCACGAAACATTTTTCAGTCCCGCGAAAATAACGCAAAGATTTACTCCTGGGTTGCGTGGACCACAGCTGCGATACTGGCAGAGATACCTTACGCGATCGTTGGAGGTGCCATCTATTTCAACTGTTGGTGGTGGGGTCTGATGGGGTACAAGATGTTGGGCTTTCCATCAGGGTTCAGCTTCCTGTGCATGATTATCTTCGAGCTATACTACGTCAGCTTCGGCCAAGCCATCGCGTCCTTTAGCCCTAACCAATTACTAGCAAGTCTATTCGTTCCCCTCTTTTTCCTTTTTGTTGTGGCTTTCTGTGGTGTAGCCGTACCTCCGGCATCACTTCCGTACTTCTGGCGGAGCTGGATGTATCCGCTCACCCCTTTCCATTACCTGCTGGAAGCTTTCGTTGCCGTCGCCATTCACGAACAACCTGTCAATTGCAAGCAGAGCGAGCTTGCGCGCTTCAGCCCTCCTCCCGGTATGGACTGCGAGTCGTACGTAGCGAATTACGTTGCAAATGCCAGTGGGAAGTTGCAGAGCGTGACGAACGGGCTCTGTGAGTTCTGCCAGTACAAGAACGGAGACGAGTTCGGCACGCAGTTCAGCGTATCCTACAGCAATATCTGGCGAGACTTTGGTATCGTCTGCGCTTTCATCGTGTTCAACTACGGCGTGATCTACTTTTCGACGTACCTACGGTTCAGGGGCAAGAATCCTATCAGCGGGTTTTTGGCGAAGAGGAAGCAGAGGAAAGCTTGAGACTGCGGAATCGCGAGATTATTGCAATACCATGGCTCGATGGGGTCTGTGGCGGCGGATTGCGAGGCAGTGGTCGTTCGGTTGGATTGCGTTGTTCAATCGGAAGGGTGTATTTAATTATAGTCGGGTATAGTCAGTGTATAGGTCATAGGTCATAGGACATGGGAAAAGGGTAGAAATAGGTAGTACCTAGACATAAAAGTATGTCTTATATTAATATGCCATTAAAAGTACGGGTATCTTTAGAAGCAATGTGCGCCTAATATTGTATCCTCATCCTAAAATCCAAAAAACGCCGCCAAATGACAAACCTCCTTTTCCTTTTTTTTTTTTACAACCCTATTTTCTTTGTCTTACTATTAATATAGGTATTTTTATCGCTGCCATCATTATTAATAGTACTACTATCCATCACCGCGAGCTGCAAGCGCTCACGCTCGCGCTTGAACCCGCGGTGTCCCTCGGACCGGACCTGGGACCCGCCACAGGCCTCTACGTCGTTCCACTTGGCGCGGTCGGTTTCCAGCATGTTCGCGGGCACGACGCGGTGCAGCATGAAGTCGTCGCGGTAATGTCCGCCGTGCTGTTGCTGCTGCTTCTTCTGCCTCTTCTGCTGCTCCTGCTTCGAGGCTTTCATCCGAGATAAGCTGCCACCATCACCATCGCTATCATAGCTATCCTCGTCCTCGTCGCGCAAGAAAGTAAGCTGTAACCCGGGAGGAGGGGGAGGGGGAGGGTTAGGAGGCCAGGAAGCGGTAGAAGAGCAGGACGAGGAGAGGCGACGGTGCTGGTGTGTGACATGCACCTCGCGGGTGATGAAGATGGCGTTGAGGAAGGAGCGCCGCAGGGCCGGCCAGAAGGTCGGGATCGACGCGCATATGCTCGCGAGGTCGACCTCGAGCGCGGCGACGATGATGCTCGTCGGCGTGTACCACGTCAGGTCGAGCACCGGGTACGTGCCCGCCTTGTTGGCGACGATGGTGCGCAGGCGCCATATGCTGAGGAGGTTTACGCTGGGTTTAGGGGGTTAGGGCGCGTTATTAGACGGGGTGGAAAGGTGAGTGAGGGCAGGGGAGGGGGGTCTAGAGCTAAGAAAGAAAAGGGGAGTGTGGTAAGACTAAGTAGGGTAAGGGGAACCTTAGGTTAGATTAAGTAGGTACCTAAAGTAAGACAAAAGCGAATAAACATACATAAGCCCGAGGAACAACAGAATGCCAATCCCCAGCCGCTGCTTCCAGGCGGTCGACTTGCGAAAGTACAAGGGCACGGGGATGGCGAGGACGAGGGCGTTGAGGACGGCGTTGGAGGCGGTGTGGCCGGCGAAGGTGCCGGCGAGCTCCGCGGGGACCTTGGAGCCGAAGCCGTAGCAGCGGGCGGGCTGGGGCGCGAGCCAGTCCCAGAAGCCAGAGACGGGGAAGCAGGGGAACAGCGCGCAGAAGGAGAAGGCCGCGCCCCAGAGCGCGCACACCCCCAACCCGACCCAGCAGATGCCGCGCGCGCGCGACCCGGCCTCGAAGATGCGCAGGTATTGCGATAGCAGGCAGAGCTTGACGAGGGTTGTTGAGATAGTGTATGTGGCTAGGCAGATGTAGAAGTACTTCGCGTGTGTTAGTGGTGGGTATTGAGGATATGGCTACCTAAGCTAAGGGGTAAATGCTTGCCTTTTGGAAGGCGACTATAGTGTCATAACGGAGCATTAGGATATGCTCCCCGAACCCATTATTCAATGCTAAGGTCTTGTTAGCTACCTCCCATGCTACTCTATTATTAGAGGAAGAAAAGTTGATGTCTTACCAAGACATAAGAATATTGAGCCGACGGTAGCTGTGACCTATGCCTCAGTAGTTAGTTTGCTATCCGCTCGGAGAGTCGGTGAAGTAAGTGGAATGCTTTACTCTAACGAGCACCACGAAGAGATCATCCCATCCTAGACATTTTAACTTTATCCGCGTATATATCCTCAATATCACACATATATGCGAGACGACCTATGTTAACACAATCAGTAAACAGATGGTCTAGCAATGCTTCAGTACAATATGAATTCTCACCACGAAGGGTATAATTACACCGTACACATTGACTTTATAATTGAGTATCGGTTTCGACTCGTGAGAATTATCATACGCCGTCATCAGGCGGCGGAGCTCCGTAGCATTGCTAGTCGACATATTCGAAAGCGGCGACGAGCTTTACTCGGGCCAAGAAGCAGCGTGGTGAACCCGTCTCCTACGCATTCCACTGTTTGTCACCACCTCATCGATGTTTCCATCGTCGTCGCGCGTTCGAAAGCCTGGGACATCGTTTGTTTTAAGCCGAAGGGTTTACTGCTGCGCCATGTCTGCGCTCACATTATCGCTCACGTATTCATAACTGATCACCTCCTATCCCAAAGCCCCTTTTGCATCTAGTCCTATTATGAATAGCCAATCTGAGTATACACTCCAGAAAGATAGTGGTGTGCATTCCACGCATGGCGTATGCATCCGCGGTCCCCGCAGTGCCTATTAGGTCCACCGATATGACTATGCTATTCCTGACCCATTCGGAAGCATTGATAGACGTAGTATTGCGGGAGAGCTCACTACTACCCCCCCCCTTGTCTATATGGGGACGGGTTTCAGTTCTAACCTATATCAGTCCAAGATGTGTGCCGGGCTTGCAGACTTCACGAGATCGGTTGGTCCAATTGGAGGTGATATTCTGCTCGGCGGTGGGTAAGACCTCACTCCGATGCGGTAGCACTGCGTGCTCACCTGGATGCGGCGCAGCATTCGAGAAGTATCCAATTTGATTAGCTGCCTTACCTGGTACCCAACCTAAATTCATTACACGACATGGTGTAAGGGTACGTTACCACGGGTGGGTATGGATAGGATCGGGACTTGAATGTAGAATCTGGCTTTTGCGGTTGAGTTTCGCTGGGTTGTGGTTATTCGGTAGAGAGGCAGGATACTAACGCATCGCCTCAATAAACTACCCCAATACCTACCTACCTAAGGTAAAGTAGCTATGCTATATTACAAGTGTTGTCAAGGCTACGCATGATGGAACGTGTTCACCTACCCTGAGGCTTGGGTACCTGAAATCACTTCCTTTGCTATACCGAGCACATATCCAGCACATGGTATCGAGATATTTTAGACTCGGCATCAAGTTAAAGCTGACCTCGCCAGTCGGACAAGCCGAACTACCACAACGTCCTAGGTGCTATTTTTCTGCAAGTAGATCTGCACCATTTGGAGGTATCGGTATTCTGCGTACGTACGGCCAAAGCCACAACGCAGAAGGCTGGTTGAAACATGGCGAATGATGGAACAAAGCACATCACCATCCGTGCTACTAACTATTGATTTCTCCATCGGGCCTTTACGTCGTGTTGCTGTATGGAGGCATACATGTAATGTAATCCTACCCTACCCATCCCACCCAAAAACGTTATAACAAGCTACCTTAGGTACATACTTACCTAACCTATCTAGCTACGTTTCGAAAAGAAAGACTTACATAGGTACATACATACCTGTATTCACGCCCGTAAGCAACAGTGTAGCCGTTCTTCCGCGAATACCCAGCCTTAACTAGGTCCCTTAAGAGCTTTTTGATGACCCCAAGGTGGGGGCTAGAAGAATGCTGAAGACCTGGGTGAGATCCGAACCCAGGTCGTACTAGGTAACTCGGGTTTTGATGCCCTTTTGAATGCGACATGGTACATATCATATTATATCATAGGTCGCGAAATCTCTAATGCTAATGCTCGTCTTCTCGTGTTAAAGAATCCTGTTGCAGCGTAACAGGTAACTACTGAAAACGAGGCTGGTTTCAATAGGTACCTATCACGTACATTGTCAACAACCCTGAAAATAGCACCGCTATTAAGCCCTACATCAACTACGATGCATGCATGCAACCAACCCACTGCCGACCAGGGCTATCGCGCCATGCCCAACCCGTGGAATAAATATCCGAAGTCTATAATTCGTATCATCAATGTAACTTTCAGTAACATCATCGACGTTGCTTGGATAGAGGAAAGAGACTTGGTAGGATTGTGCAGACTAGAAGCCCCTAATCTATAACAGACTACCTATGGCTTTGAGATAGGTAGGCTATGGGCAACGTGCTTGGTGTCTAGATCGCAGCCGATTAATACCCAAGGATGGTTTTGATATGATACTAAATTGGAAAGGAACATTTCCGAGTCGTCTCGCAAGATCTTTACTAGCACCAGAAGCCTTCATATCAGATAGGTTAGCACCCTTTGTTGAATACCATGATTCAAAAATATTAAACATATTCAATATACTTGATTCCCCCAACTATCAACAAGCTTAGGTACCTAGGCATTATGCAGTATGCTATACGTTAGGTACCAGGTATGTATATAATCGTAACCTTAGATAACTATTCTACACCCCCATACGCCGCTCTCATAGCAGAGCAGCAGCCCATGTAACGCCGAGTCATACATAATTCAAAAAGCGAACCAGGACTTTAAAAATCGTCATCCATAGCATTAACCCTCCGCTCGGCAACCTCGCGTATCTTCTCTCCCAAGATGGACCTTCCGTAGCGCTCGGCAACCTTACCCGCGGCCTCGATCATGCGTCCCGTGCGGTCGCGCATGAGCTCCACGATCTCGAGCGCGCGCATGCCGCGGTCCTCGCCTTCGCGGCACTCGATAGCCAGAAGCTGCAGTAGGGTCTTGTCGATCTCGAGCTCGAGACGCGCGAGGTTGGAACGTTGCGTGTGGCTGCCGCTCGTCGAGTCTGCTAGATCCTGCAGCTGTGCCGCAGCAACACCCTTGAGCAAGAATTGTTGCTCCAGCTTACGCGACTCCGACTCGTCATCTTCAGGTTCAGATACGCCGTCTTGGTCCATGGCGTCTGGGTTCTTCTGCTTCGGTGGTTCTGAGGACAGTGGGATGGAAAAGTCAAATTCGGAGAGGAGAGGGCGTGGGAAGTATGGGTATTGATCACCTCCCTTCAGAATAATACAGTGAAATTTGTTATCCGCAACAGCGATTGGGAAATACGTCTCTTTCTTCCGACCGGAAGCAAGACGTGGGAGAAGTTTGGTATCCAGGAGTGGTATCCAACAGGCTCTCGACGGTTGACGCCAATGTAGCAAAGTCAAGAGTGTTCCCGTGGAATCGTAGATACACGGGTCCTGTTACTAGGTCAGCGCTATTCGTGCATAATGGAGGTATTTTACTTACGCCATTGTCAGAAAAGAAGACACTCTTTAGCGTTGCGCCCTCTGGAAGCGCAACAGTGTCTTCGTTTTGACAAATTTCATCCCTCTTTACGTTCTCAATAGTGTATAGAAGTCTAGTATGCCCGTCTGCACCAACAGGACCGTTGCCGATGGTCATTACGTAGTCTCTCCAGCTTGTGCAAGTAACCATTGGCGTGCTCTTCGGCCGGTACACCTTATAAGGGATGCCGAAGAGCGTGTAGACTCGAACATAGTTTGCAGTAGTCGTCACAGTTACAAACGAGTCGCTAAGGGACATGGCCAAGACTGCCTCTCCTTTCGGTAATTGTATCCTCCAATCGGTACGGCTTGTCCACGTCTCGTGAGGCCTGTAAAATATGGTCGCCGGTGTGTCGTCCTTAGGTGGGCAAGAGAATAGAGCGCCATTCTCTGTCAGGCAAGCTTTGTCGTAAAGGAAGGTGTCGGTGAAGTGGAAGTCTCTGTGGAATTCGTGATCATAGAACTCTACAGTGACCGTATTGTGGCCATCTTGGTCTACTGTCCAGACGAACCCAATAAGGTTCAGGCAAAGGTATTTTCTGTTACCTCGCCACGGCGTCGAACCTGGCTGGAAGGCCTCATGGTATTCCGGTTCAAGGTGGGGGCGCTTGCTTACGGGCTCGCCAAAAACGGCAAGGTCATCATGCATGCGTTTTCCATTCCCGTTAATCACATAACCAGCTCCATCGTCATCTACTACGAAATCGTCGTCTTCCTGCATTGGTCCATCCATAAGAGAGTCATAGCTTGCTTCCCTATCCCTTCGATTGAGCACGGGTACGATGTTGTCTGCAGGTCTTCTGGCTTTCGCTGAAACCTCGGTTAAGGGGTCATGGATAAAAGGGGCAGGTTGTTTCCCAAGCTTTAATAGGGAAGCATATTGCTCCGGTACGAAGTCTAGGTGAATATAGACCTCGCCGTCCGAGTTCGTAAAAGAGACTAGATTATCTTTAGGGTGCCAGGCTATATCGATTACGTTGGCATAATCGAGCCTGGCAATAACACTCTGGGTCTTAGTCTCCCATAACAATATCCTCTTGTCCTTGCCGGCGGAGGCTAGTATAGCACCATTCGGTGACCAAGCTAAAGCAGTAACTTCTCCATTGTGGCCGTTGGAAAATATTCGTTGCTTCTCCCAGTCGTTCTTAGAAACGACCTGGATATCTCTTGTTGGGGTTGGAACTGCAAAGGCACGCCCGTCGGGGTGCCACACAATTTTCGAACTGACATCTGATTCGGTATCTAATACTCCAATGACGCCGTCGACTTTCCTTATAAGTTCCGGCTCGTCAGAAGAGAGAGAGTACACATATACGATGCCGTCGGTACAAGCCAATGTGACAGTTGACCCTTTCGTATCGAAAGCGAGATGTTTCGTAGGTTTATTATGCTCCTTGAGGTGACGAATTTGGGTATTATCGTCGGTTCGGACAAGCTTCACAGTCAATTCGTCGCTGGCAACGGCGCACCACTTCGAGTCTGGCGAAAGTGCAACGTCTCGGATTGGGAGAGAACATCGAAGTAAGAACCTGTCGAAGGTAGCATCGGGTATCGAATAGAGGCTGACGGTGCCATCTTCAGAGCCGACAACGAAGAATTCGTCTGATGCATCTACGCTTAGGTTCTGTTCTTGGCAATCGTCGATGTTGATAGGCTCGCCGTCAAAACCTGTTTTATATAATCGGATTGTATTATTGGAACCGACGGTCACCAGCTTTGAACCGTCAGGGGTGTAGGCACAATGAGTTGAACCTTGAGTATGGGCCGGCCTTGCTCGAGGGCGAAGAGGTGCTGTTGATGCCATTTTGATATATGTGTCTCACCTGAAATTAGAAGACATCAACAGTCAAAAAAGTGAGAGTGGGTTCAAAAATTGAATTGGATGGGTATAAGTTGGAGAATGATAGAAAACGAATGGTAGAAAACGCATAGTGGAAAACGCGTCGTCGCGCGTCGACAATTCAATTAACGAAAGCGCGTTTACGTACTGCGAACAGGGATGCCCCTCTTTGGCCTGGCCTGTGCGCGCTAGGTATGCTAAGTACCTGCCCCCACCTTTCTCCAAATCTCCACTTCAACAGGTTATCTACCTGTATCGCGATAAAACGATAATGCAATAATACCATTTTTCTTCTAACTATCACTCACATTTCAACCCGATTTTACATAATAATAATAAGTCCAATTTCTCTCATGGCAACACCACGAATATAAATGTGGCTACCTACGTAGGCAACGATTTAAAAACAATTATAAAATCCTAGATTAGGTACCTTAGGTAGTTTCTGCTACATAGACGTGGATGTTTGTGTCAACGCAGAAGATTCCGACTTCCAAACCCGTCAACTTCAAAAATACATTATCCAACAACCCCTGAATATTATTGTTATTATTAATCCTTATTATTGCCACCATGAATAAAGCAACATCGACAGACCAGTTCTTTCAGACTGAGTATACTATGTCCTATGTTATAATATTAGTTCAATTTTTAACCCTTTTATTATAGTGCTGAGCAGGCTAAGAGGGACAGGCGTGCGGCAAAAGCTGGTAACAAGAATGGTAACCCTATCGCTCTAAAATCAAAGCTGTTGGCCGCCATATCCGATCCCACCGACCCATCCTCAGTTCTCATTGCCGAGTCGGCCGGGTCAGTCCGTAGGGTCAATGTTGATGTAAGTTACCGTGAAGATACCTTATCCAGAGCAAAGGTTTTAACTCAACTATATCAGACAGGGGATACTAAGCAGGTATTCAAAGGCCCATCAGCACCAGTGACCTGTGTTGCTTTCGGTGGACCCGGCAATAATACACTCTTTGCTGGTTCCTGGGATAAGAACGTATGGTCTTGGGACCTAGCTTCAAAAGCACCTGGTCGCAAATATGATGGCCACGCAGACTTCGTCAAGGCCGTTGTGACTGCCAAGGTTGGAGGAAAGGACGTCTTAATCAGCGGTGGCGCGGATAAGAAGATCATCGTATGGGACCTTGAAACTGGATCTCGACTCCATGTATTACAAGACCAGGCCGTGTCAATGATGGCCGTTCAGGACCTTGTTGTTGACCCAGTACAATCGGGACCTGACGAAGTCATACTTGTTAGTGCTAGCAGCGACCCTCATATCCGCAGATGGCGTATTCGGCTCGATGGCTTCGAACAGATTAAGGAAGCATCGCCGGATGAATCTGGGGCGGTTCGTCATACGATATTGGAACATGATACTACGGTGTACAAAGTGGTGTTTGATTCCGAAAGCGAAGAGGTCGACCTATGGACATCAAGCGGCGACGGCACAGCAAAATGTCTATCGCGATTTAAGGGATTCACTACTGATGATTCAGTCCGCCACGGTGACCACGTACGGGCCGTTGCCGTAACAGATCAATGGATAATTACCGCCGGAAGGGACGAGGATGTCAAAGTCTGGGATCGCTCATCCGGAAAAATCTACAGTGTTCTTGAGGGTCACTACGACGAAGTTACCGACCTAGTTATCCTCAACGGGGGCAAGAGAATTGTTTCAGTGTCTATCGACGGAACTGTGAGGACATGGCCACTTAGCCGGGCCGAGCTCGACAAAATCAATAAAGATAGAGAGGAAAAGGGGCTTAAAGCCGAGGCTCCAGCAGAGCCCGTAAAGGGAGTAATGACAGCAGAGGAAGAAGCCGAACTTCTAGCGTTGATGGATGAAGATGATGAATAATACCCCTGAAGCATTTCGAAGCAGGCGATGAATTTTGGGGTACGTGAAGACGTTGGCTACATCCTACCTAAGGCACTTGAAACCTCTTTCGGGAAAAAAGCGGCTTAATGGCGGCTGGCGACCGAATGAACGGGATGCTTGTTTCACTGGAATGGAATAAGAAATTCACGTGTATGAGGCGGCCATGCGGCCATAAGCCCAATGTCCCCCTGAAACCTTAATCTTGTACTTCCACCCCAACTTCAATGTTACTATTTGTCTGACTCGAATTAAAAAAGAGGCTCAGTCTGAGGGTATCTCATGCATGTGTTACCTGATTTTATCTAAGTTATACCTCCATACGGTTGCCAGCAGCCTGACGGTCCCCTGCGGCAATAGGTGAAAGGTTCTGTAAAAATACTTACCTACATACCTACGCCTAGGTATCATATACCATCATCCACATCGTCCTGATAACCGGGTTGGAAGGAAGGTTGCCAAGCCAAAATTAGAATTTCCCTGCAGAGCCAGGAAATCCGCACAAGCCCGTCCTAAATACGAAAACTTAAACAGGAAACCTGCATGTTTTCGCTTAAGATTGTCTCATGGAAGCGACGAAGGAATATGATGCATCTGGATATAACACATATCCACAGGTAGTGATTCTTTAACGAGAGTTGCAATGTAAAGGATCAAATCTTGGTACCTTGATGGTGTATTCTTACAGGACTGTTGAGTTTTGATTATGAGGCGGGCAATGTAAACGCGAGAGCAAATGGTTCGCCCTGAATAGCGAACTCCGTCCGCCGTTTGCGTTATTGGCGTCCGTATCTAATGCACGATGCTCCGTGGCGTAAAGAAACCACGCCGGCCATGTCGGTCGTGCAGAATGAACCAGGTCATATCCTTATATCTCCCAAGCCAATCTAGATCAACTACTAGGTATTCTATTATTCTCCACATCGTAAAATAAGATCTCGGTTGTTGGCTGTGGCGTACGGGAGAGGAGACCACATAATAAGCAAAACCACATCCTGGAAGTCATAAATCCGATGCGCGCCACATGTCTAATGAGATTCAAAGGGAGCAATCTACCTTGCTTCCATGTTACGATCTGCAGCGCAGCATCGATGAAGAATTAGTTTTTTATTTCTTTCTCGAAGTAGACAACCACATTAGTACCTGTTATGCAGAAAGCCGCTCGTCTGAATTCGATTTTGGCTCGAATATGGCCGACAGAGTTAACTCTCGCATTAGCCTACATAACCTATTGCTATTGTCGCCATTGTCCCTTACTCCGTAATTACATACTAGAAGGTAAAAAGAACGTGAGAGTCTGAAGACGTCTAACTAACTCTACGGTGCCGTTAAAAATCATATACCTAGTACGAGATATAATTGTCTTTTCCTTTTTCCATGCAGCCACTTCATCTCATGCCGAAGGTATCATGTATGTGGATGCTCAAGCCCAATCTAAGTCTTCCTGTTCTAGGCGAGAATGCACGGTAGAATTAGGGAAGATCTAAGCCCAACATAGTGGTTTGATACAGGTATGGTCTAATTCATCAAGTCCTATTACATGAATACCTCTTTTATTAATGAGTGACAGGTAGAGAGAGTACGTCGAGTTCGAAATAAATTTTCATTCCTGGGTAGCACACCAAAGCCTTGTATTTTGATTCACTCAGGTATGCAGATCCTTATTCTCGTCAACAAACACCGAAGTTGCGTTTGCTTGTCCTCGCGGGATTACTTACATTTATAGAAGCACTAGCGACTTGCTTCAAACACTGCTACATCACTAGGACCAGCTTTCTTTCCTTGCCTTATTCCGATTTACACTTGCTTTTTGCCCCTACTGCCGAGAGATGTCTTGGCTACTATGTATATACGCATGTATATCACGAAATTGGACTACCTAGGTAGGTAGAGGTGTCCATCTTAAGTGTATGTGTCTCGACTCCCCTTCGGTAGTCACATATCAGATCTATTAGTCCGCACTAGCCGCCCTTCGAATTACCGTACTCGAGAAACTTCAAGTTTGGTTTCGCGTTTCGGGACTTTAGAGACACACCATGCAACTTTTAAGATTATAGCCGTGCAAGGCCATGCCTTGTTCACATTGCTTCTAACTGCTGCTATCCGTGATCTTCCTCGCCCAAGCATTATGCCAGAGGAAACTAGAGAAGCCGTTTGGCAAGCATTCTCGTTGCCGCGCTTATGACACAAATACCGTATATCACCGTGTACTATGTATAGAGTTCGAGACCGCTAGGTGAAGTCGTCTGCGATATTGGGTCCCTTCAGGAATGCATGCCAAGTGCCCTACGCAACTGAGGGAACTACATTCTGCACTTCCTTCGATTCTCGACTGGCCCTCTACCATTTGCTTCTCTAAGAATTTCCTGTAGGGGTCGAACACGCGTTCCCGGTCGTATTATATCATTAACATCTCCTACGACCTTGCCAATGCAAACAGTATAGCTCCTATGTGTTTAAGGCCCTGCGCCCTAAAATCGCCATCCATCCATTCCATGTTGAACTACCCAAGTTTATAGTGGTTTCGCTTAACGCAAGCTGTTATTCGGCACAGATGGTCGGCCCCAGCCTATATCCCACCTTCACCGGCCTCTCCTAAGACTTCCTATTCGGGAATCAGGATTAGTATCTGACGCCTTGGTCAGAAACTGGAATGTGGCTTGGTAAGCTACAGAGGCAACCCGACCTTGTTATGGTATAGTTACCAAGCGTTGCTTGTATACTAGCAAGCGCATATAGGTCTTCCAGGCTTTCTGGGCAGTTTAAAACCACAGTGATAACCACAGAAACTAATGGGGAGGTATAAGGCAACATCATGGATGCTACATCTCAATACCATGGGAGCTTGATAGCTTTCGAAGGGCCTCAAGATACAATATCAACACAACTTCGACTTCTCCCAAGCTCACCAAACATACTGATCATCCCACCACTCCAACGGTTTATGAAAGAAGAGGGCCCCAGGCTTCCTTTCCATGCCCAATCACATATTCTAGCGGTCCACAACGCATGTTGTGACAGAGCTGAAGTTGCACGGGAATTCTTACAAAACTCTACACAAAGAAATAAACGACTGGTATTCATGAACGGTGGGACAGCGAGCGCCCAGATGGAATGCATTACCAACATAAGCAAACACTTGACGAATGGGGATTTCGTCAAAGCCGAACGTATCTTTCACAGGCTAGTCAGAGACGGGGTTGCCGGACTACAAAGCCGGAATTTTACGGATATGAACTTTGAGCCGTCGCAACTAGACGGCGAGGATGGAGACATGGCTAGTGATCCGGCATCCGAGGCAATGAGAGCTGCTGAGGCCCTCGACCTCCAAACAGCTTCCTTGCAGCCAAACAATGAGATCGATCTCACGAATATAAATAGGTCCCGAAGCACGAGTGTAGTGACTTATCGGGCGGTTGACGACTTCCAAAATATAACACCTTTCTATGTTTTCGGGGCGCAAAAGTGGCAAGGGAGGAACACCTGCAACTCAGATCCCCCTCAGACCCCCCGTCGCAGCCACACTACACTGGACTCGCGAAAGGTTACTCGGCGGATCCTGGAGCCCACTGGATCGCGAATAAGTGAATTTGACAGCCAACCGAGATTCGCCGATAGTCCGGATGAAGGGTGTCCCGGAAGCAAGCGGTCGACCGCAAGCTTAGACTTGACTAGTCGACAGTCTTTCAAGTTGGAGTCGATGCCCAACACGCCGTCGATATGTGAAGCATTCGCGGTCGATGTCCGGCCTTCTGCCACTACCGCTTCTCGTATGAATATCAGGCCAGTAGATCGAATCTACTCCAGCGCCATACGTAACCAGGACATCTTACTGTGCAGTTTTCCGGAGCCGCCCCGCTCGAGACCACAGAGTATGGATGCTAGTACGGGTCCTCACCAAAGCCAGCCAGCGCTTCGATCGAAATTCACGACCGAAACCCCAAGATCAACTTTCAGTACACCGAATAGGTCTATGGTTAGGCGGAATCCTCCATGCCCTCTCAAGCTCTACAACTCGCCGCTACGGCCCGTAGCTTACGTCGACCGCGGCACAAGTCCAAGGAATAATTACGTGGATAGGGGCACCACTACTGAGCAAGGGCCAACCAATGGGATTTCCAAGTCCGATACCAGGGATTCTATATCTCTCTATATCGAAGGTCCCATTGAAGATGATACCCAAGAGTCTTATGAAGCAGTCCTACCTATGGTCGAAAATCTGGTCATACTCTTCAAATCTGATAAACATGATCCTCGGCTCGAGGCAACGGTCCAATCCTTCCGAGAAGGAAAATACCCTGTATCCAAATCGCCGCCGGAAATGAAAGCGGAAGAGACAAGTCATCCGTCAAAGGCTGGAGATCCACCAGAACCGGAGCACGCCGCCCCTGAAAACAAGAGACATAGCCGCGTTCAACACGCAGAACTAGCGTCGGCCTATCGGATGAACTCAGATGAATACGACCCCTTCGCGTACGGCAAATACCCCGAGCCATCTCGCGTCTGGCCGTTCAAGCCGAGCATGGCCAACCACGGACCCTCCACGCCACCGACCCCGGCCCAAACTCCACCCTTAGCCGTGCGGAAACTCGACAAGTGTTTCCACGACTTCCCGACTACCGACTGCAGGACGGCCGTGTGCATGCAGAATTCTCTCCGCTCCATCCTCAATATCTACTTCCCGCCGGAAGACACCGGCTACCACCAGTTCAACTTCCCCCTGCTGCCCGAGCTCAGCAGCCTATGGAAGCCCGTCTTTCGAGAAGCAGACCCGGGCACGGTTATGCAGCGGAAGCGCAAGGTCGATCTCATCCTTGCCGTCGGCGCCCAGCAGGGCGTCGATAGGGAGTTCCTCGGTGCGATCACTGGCTCTTTGGAGAAGCTTGGGACGAAGCCGAATGGCGTAAGCCGGAGCGGGAGGTTGGATTTGAGGTGAGTCTCCAACCTAACCTAGCGAGTTAAACAGATTTCGTTGATGAGGAGAAACTTGCTAACAAACGGGTGTTGGTTGGTACAGGTTTCTCATCGCGAGCGCCATGCAGGTTTTCACCGCGCAGCCGCTCACCAACCAGACGCAAGACAACCCCTTTTCTAACCCCCTCCTGCTGGCCACACTCATCATACCTCACCTCGAAACGTACATGGCCGCTCATTCGGCAACACGGTTCCTCCTACTCGAGTATCCTCCAGAGCACTTAGCAACAGTCCTAGCGTTACAGCGGCTAGTCGGAGTCGACCTGCTAAAAGTAGCCGGGGTCCTGTACTCGGAAGACACGTCCCCCCGGCCGTACCCGGGGTTCAGAGTCCCAGCCCGGACAAATCCGCACCTGCGCACCGAGTCCGGGCCCGGACTCCTGCGCAGCACTTCGCGCAGCGGCGCCACGCTTCTCGCCCCGACGCGTTCGAAGCACGGCGAGACGCCCCCCTTTGCCAAGGCCAACTTCCTGCTCACGTCCTCGGCCAACGAGTCCGAGATCGCGACGCTCATCTCCACGATATGGAAGATCCTCATCGACATATCGGCCTTCTATATCCCCGAGGGCATGGCGTCGTCGCGGGCCTCGATGCACTCCGAACGGGACTCCCACTCCCACTCGCATCATCACCCTCGTAGCCATCACCAGGGAAGACCGCTAGCCCAGACGCCCCTGATCAACTCAACGCCGCAGCCCGGCCCCGTAACCAGCGCCAGCGCGATAATGGGCTTCCGGCGGCAGCGCGCTGGCGAGGAGGAGGAGTACGACGACAACCTCTCGGCAGAGTACAACTCGGGCACCGTGTACACGGAGGCCAACCCGCCACCACCACCACCCAAGAACCCATCCTCCCAATCCCCATCCTCCTCCACACCCCTCCCCCTCCGCTCGTCATCCCTCTCTTCCCATCCTCCCCCTCCCCCTCCCCCCTCCCAACCCCCCACCCCAAAGCCACGCCACCCCCCCATCACCACCACCACCAAGCCCCCATCCACGTCCAAACCGCCCTCCTCGTGCCCTTCCGTGCGGTCCGCCCGCACGGCCCGCAGCCAACGGAACAAGCTGCGCAGCCTGCTGGGGCGGGAACCGGACGGGCGCACAGTGGACGAGGACCGAGACGAGCAGAAACACAATAACAACAGCAACAACAATGATAGGTCCGGGGAGAAAGATAGAGACCATGACGGCGACTGGGATGCCTGCGGCTGGGACGAGGAGGACGCCCGGCTCGCGGCCGAGGCCCGCAAGTACATGCCGCTGTACGGGCAGCGGGGCGGGCCGCGGAAGGGCAGCAGCAGGAAGGCGCTCAAGTGGCTCGGGCTGGCTACCTGAGGGCGTGTTTTTTCTTTTTTCTTTCTTTTTTTTTTTTTTTTTTTATTTTTATTTTTTTTTTTTTAATTATCTACCTGTCACTTATCAGTTTCGACTATTTGTATCAGCGTTATTGTTCTGTTGTACCTCAGGTACCTGAGGTATGGATCTTCGGAAACTTGGATACGACTATCTCTACGCGATTTCTATTCGGTACGCGTTTACGTTTCCTGGTTATTTGTTGGATTTTATTGTACTATTATACTATACCTGTATTAGGACCGTGGTGCCTGTTCCTGTTCGAGGGGACGGGGGAAGGGGTGTTGGTGTTAGGATTTTCCAGCGTCAATTACCACCTATTATGCGAGAACAAGGGAACTCTGGCTCGATGGCTCGAAGACGATAACGATGAAGGATCATGATTCAATGTTTCTTGGGGATAGCCTCTGTTTCTTTACATGTACGTGCTTCTACAAAGGACATATATATTAGTAGTCAGGTAGTCAAGTCGGTTAGACATCGTGTCTTCTTCAACTTGAGATGTGTCTTATCCCGTAGAATTTAACATGGCCCATAATCCTATCATCAGTAAGCCATCGTTACCCAAAACAAATAGCAACTGATTAAGCTGCCTACAACATAACCAACTTGCAAGTTCAGCATTATAAGCAGAGTCAAATTTCTGTGCACAAGTCTGTCTGATTAAGTAACCCCTGGTTTGCAAAGAATGCGTTACACTGGAAGAAAAGAAAAGGAACGAGAGTATGGCCATAAAGAACCGGGAATATAGACTACCTTTTCCCTGTCTATCGTTTCTCTCGATTCCCTCCTCTTCTGAGACCATTGGAAAATACATACGAACGTAGAATCATTATCTCTTCCAAACCACAGAAATGCCAGAGGTTTTCTAGAAAGCAGCCGGGCAAATTCTAGTACAAAGAAGGCTTCGCCCGAATCATGAGAAATATCGCATTAGTACGTAAACATTTGAGAAGAACAGGCCGACCAGCCTTTCCTCGACCATTATATGAACCCGCTCTCACATGCCAGAAGTGACGCGCTGCGTCTCCGCAGAACGATTCGATGGACGATTCGGCTATTAGGTAGGATCCAAGTGAAGTGATCATTTCATCTATCCGCAATCAAAAGCGAAAAGTAAACACATCCCACCTCTTTTGCCATCCTGATTACATATGCATGCCTTTACTGTCAGTCCATCCCAGGAAATCAAAATGGATGCGAGGGTGTTGTTGTACGAGGGTATCATAGTTTTGCTGACTTAACAGCAGCCACCGCTGGGCGAGTTGGAGACGCTGTGTCCGGGGCCGACTTGAACGCCAGGCTTGGTGTTCGTGGTGGACTGCGTTCCCATACGCTCCTTGATTTGTCGGGCCATGGTCAAGAAAGATTGCTCGACGTTGGAAGCGTTCTTGGCCGAAGTCTCGAGGAACGGAATGCCAAGGCTGTCGGCGAACTCCTATAGGTCTAGTTAGATATCTATGTTGTCATGGGTCCGGTAAGGCTGGACGAATCGCGTAACGGAGGATTTCATACCTTCGCAACTGTGTACTCGACAACCTTCTTGTCCGACATATCGCTCTTGTTGCCTACAAGCAGCTTGTTGACACCTTCGGTAGCGTATCGGTCAATCTCCTGCAGCCACTGCTTGACGTTGTTGAAGCTGTCCATGTCGGTGACATCGTAGACGACGCAGATACCGTGGGCTCCTCGGTAGTAGGAGGAAGTGATGGTTCGGAATCGTTCTTGGCCAGCAGTATCCCACTATATTCGAGTTAGTTAAAGATACTAGAAAAAAGGGTTCACGACTCGGGGTTATTTATTCTTACAATTTGCAGCTTCACGGTCTTTCCATCGAGCTCGATAGTTCGGATTTTCTATCCAGAGTTTAGCATTTGTCCCGCGAAAGGGTGTTCGCAGCCAATTCAACATACGAAGTCAACACCGATGGTTGAGATGTACGATTCGGTGTAGGTATCATCGGCAAATCGCAATAGGAGGCAAGACTTTCCGACACCGGAATCTCCGATGAGGAGGAGCTTGAAGAGGTAATCGTATCTGTCGAGAGGGCGAGTTAGCGGATATCCTTGGGAACTTAAAACTTCATGTAGCTTGGTTTGATTTTGTGGTTGGAGACCAGGGACTACAGAAGTATCATAGGGCTCCATGGTTGATGAGGTTGCGATGCTCGAAGTGCAGCATCAGGTATCTTGCAATGATGCCCGGTTGGCTCATATTGAATAGAAGGGATAGAAAAACACGGGACAAAGCGAGGGGTATACACTATGGTGTACCAAGTTAGCTTCATCGTGGACATTGCTATCGCTGTCGCTGGGCGACTGAATTATAGGGGTGTACATACTACTCAGGATTCATCTTGACGGGGAGGTGTGATGCGCTGCCTTAACAAGACAACAAGGTTGATTAATGAATCAAATAGGCGGTAATAAGCAAGTAGGAGTGGATGGACAAGCTTAGGTTAGAATTTGATGAAGATGGGTGGGATGTGCGAAAGGAATAGTTGGTTCGGACGATGTAAAAGAAGAGGACGGCCGTTTAGCGTTGATGATGTAGAAAGAGAATTAATGAGACAAGTCGTAGGCTGCTGCGTCAAGGAACGTCAAGGGCCACCTGCATTCACCGTCAACTGCCCTGTGCACAACACACTGTCAGGTTCTGTGCACAACTTTGAGAAGAAGACGGACCAGGATTAGGACCCAGAATGGGACCCAGAACAGATAAGCTGATAGGCTGATAGACTGGTACCTACTAGGTCAAACCCGACTGTTGCATGTGGCGTGCTACAATTGCCAGCTGCTAACATACATGTAAGTCGGTCTAGCCACCAGATCTAATCACGAGGCGAAGGCCCCCTTTGACTAAGGTGATACATACAACTAATACATGTAGGTATTGTACCTGAGCCTACCAGGCCTAACTACATAAAATAGTATAACACCTAATTACCTTACAAAGTATCAGGAATAACTGCTTCTACTTAGAAATTATATATGTACTTTACGAAAAGGATATCAAACCTGACTTTTTTATTACTGTAGCCAATAATTAGCAAATGTCAAATAATCTGTGCACCTATTTGATTTGAAGTTTCCAACAAGTCTTAAACAGTCCGTTTGGTTTCTACGACAAACAATGTTTCGACCCATTCGTTCATCCACAAACAACTTGTGCAGGACATTATTACGATAATATAATAATACGTAGATTGCATATCTCTGCAACAATATGTATTACCATGGTGTTAATTATTATCCCGGACTTCGATAGAGAAGATGTCGGCAAGATCCGGTTAAGTACCACCAACCAACTTGTCTCAATAACTTTTTCGATATCATCATCCATCATCCTTCCGAGATCTTCTAGAACAACACAAAACACGCATGGCAAGGATACCAGCAAAACATACCTAGGTACCTTAAGTAGCCGGGTTAGGTACCTACCCATTTTATACAGGTGATCAACTAAGAGAACAACATCAAAGGAAGAAGAAGAAAAGCAATGACTTAGAAACGTCAGCTGAATTTAGGTGAGGGTTCGGTGGGTTCCGGGCTGAGAAACAGCTCCTAAAAGCCAACCCCAACCCCTGCAGCCCTGTACATCCCACATCTTCGGTATATTTTTAGTGGAACCCCTCTATAAGGTAGGTACCTAACGGTAGGTATTCTAGTAGGTACCTAGGTATTTTGGGCTATTCTGTGTACCCATTCGGCGTACCGGTACCGGGTTAGGTACTGCCATAAGATGTATTTAAAATTCGATTTGACAGCCGAAAGCTTCACTTACATCATATTCAAATCCGCAACCTACTGAAACTTACGGCTATGTATTTCTACGTAACTCTTTGTTCACATGTGAGCCACTGCGAATCTACGGTCAGCTAGACAACAGGCATTGTCTCGTCTCACATTATTACTCCCCCCCCCTCCCCCCCCCGAAAAACGAATTGATGCGTTTCCAAGCTCGCTAAAGCTACCATATCGAGATCGATCCCCCGGACACATGTCCCTCTCAACCAGCGCCGCCGTCCGAGCGCAGTCCACCGCCGTAAACCCGAAAACCGCTTTGCGCGCTATCACGCCCGCCATCTGCACTTCTTCTCCGTCCTCGCCATGTCCTAACACTCCAACTATAGCCTCAAAACTTCCTCCTACCAAAGCTCAACTCTCGCCACAGCTGAGCCTGCCACCAATATGGTTCAATTCTTCATATCCCCGTTTTGGACCCGGTGATTCGCGCGGGCCGGAAGACGAGCGAAAAGTCAAACTTGGGAAAAGTAAGATTCCCTTTCTCGTATTGCATAGTACCTACCTAAGGTACCTTACCTTAGGTTAGGTAGGTATCTACGAGCTAAGGCTAATTTCAGTCTCTACTTAATCTAGCATTGCGCATTCTCCAAGAACGACTTCCTACTCTACTCCAATCTCCTCTCCCGCAAGAGATCCTATCGCCTAATATATCTCTCCATCTATTCCCCTCGACCCATCCGTACCTCCCTACCGTAACCGGCCGGGTTGCGTACATAGCAGCGTTATGGACGTCCCCGCTAGCATGGAATCGAGTCCCCATAATCGGCAACGTCAAGCTGGAAATCCTCTCGGAGCGAATGGTCAGCCAGCCGTTCTACTCTTCCCCGAAACGACCCGAGGCATGCGGCGAGCAATTGGTGGTGAAATGGAGGACGGCAGACGGCAAGCCGAAAAGCCCCAGCCCAGCCGTGATGGAAGACGGCGAGCAGAGGCTCGATGATACCCTCAGAGGCACCCAGGCCATCGGCGAGAAGAAGGCGTTTACCGGGCTGTTCATCTTCGAATTTGACAGGGAAGGGCGAATTATAAGCCACACGATCGAATCCGTAGACGAGCACGGGGAGTGGGAAAAGGGCCTCGGCGCTAAAGTCGTAGGCTTAACAGACTGGTTACTGGGAGGCATTAAGGGCCGCACGGATGACGGCGGCGCGCCTGCGTTGTGTAGAGTTATGGATAAACGAGAAAAAGACGAACCATGATATAAAAAGACGGCAAGACGCTCAAGCAAACTTGGGCGGCAGAGCTACGAGACGAGGTTAGGGGCTAAAATGTGTAACTGTAAATATGTACAATACGTGTCGTTGTTGTTCTGGTAATAGCCAGTCACCACTCAACCCAAAGAGTAGCAGTATATAAACTCATGTAGAGTCGTAGTGCATCACATAATCATATTCTATGAACCTTCAATAGGTAAGATAAGTAGTACCTAATCCTTCGTGAGGGTAATACTACGCTTCATTCGTAATAGACCTAACCGGCTTAGCGACATGCTCCGGTAGATCTATCTCCCGAACCAACTCGAACTGCGTATTTGCCAGCGCCGACGTGCCCCTATACCAATCGCGCCAGATCCTCTGCACAACATTCTCCTCCTCCTCCTGTCCTCCCCTCCTCTGCTCCCCAGCACCAGCCCCAGCCCCGACGCCCACCGCCCCATTTCTCTCCGGACGCACCAGCGGGCCCTCCCCCCCGACCAGCAGATGGGTAAACTCGTCCCTAGGCACGACGGCGACGAGCACCTTCCCGCCCTGCAAGCGGGAGAAGCGGTCGACGACGTGGAACAGGGCGCCGAAGATGTGCTGGGAGCCGGCCTCGCCGTAGCGCAGGGCGCCGAAGGCGACGGCGAGGCGGCGCACGCGGCGGGTCTCCTCGCGCCGCAGGAAGTACGCCATCGGGCTGTTGAACCCGTAGGTGTCGCAGGGCTCGAGCTCGCCGACGAGGTACAGCGCGTCGCGCGCGTAGTCGAACCACACGCGGGGGCGGGACCAAGACCAAGAAGCCGAGGCCGCGCTGCCGGAAGAAGAAGAAGAAGAGGTGGAGGTGGAGAAGGAGGTGGAGTGGCCGCCCGCTTGCTGCTGCTGCTGTTGCGAGGGCGAGAACAAGGACGAGGAGGCGGGGGACGACGAATGCGACGGCGAGTTGCTGACTAGGACGTAGGGAACCTTCCACCCGAACGCGGGGGTGTACCGCGCCAGAGCCAGGCGCCTTGCTTCGCGGCTCACGAGCAGGAGGGGGGGGACGGCGGTCGGAGCGGGGGGGTCCTGGAGATGGGGGAAGGAGGGCCACGGATACGGGGGTTCATCCTCTTCGTCTTCGTCTTCCTGGCCATTCCCATTCCCATCCCCGGACTCGGAAAAGGAGGTAGGAAAGGGAGAATTGTCGTCTATACAGGCTACTGCTACGATGCGCGGCGCCAACAAGTACTCCCAAATCTTGAGGCGAAGCTCGGGGGGTAGCAGGGGGAAGAAGGAGAACGCGCTGCCGTGCGCGTGATGCCCGGCGCGGGTGAGCGCTTGGGCGCGCGCGGTGTCCTGGCCGTCGCTTACGACGCGGAATTCGAGCCGGAATCGGGGGCGTGGAGGGGATGAGGATGAAGTTGCCATTGCGGTGGGTACCCAAGGGGGGTGTTGTATTGTGTGTTGTATTGTATGATTGATTGGTTGGTAGTTGATGGGGTGTGCAAGGTCTAGGTCCAGGTCCAGGTCCAGGACTCACTGCGCTGCTCAGTTCGCAATGAACAATTTCCCTCTGGATGCAATCCAATTCAACTCAACTTAAGGTTAGAATACACCTACCAGGTAGACAGGTATGTCCTTGTACACAGGTTAGGTATATAAGTATCTCCAAAAAAAAAAAAAAAAAAAGGGTTTAGTATTCAGAATTGAAATGATGGAGTTAGAATTGGCGAGATTCAAGTTCCAAAGTTGTGAGACGGGAGAATATTAATAAATATTTTAGAGCGGGGAGCTGAAGGTCCAAGTACAATACAACCCCGAGCTTCGCAGATCTAGATCCCGGGTATTACTTATGTAGGTACCAGGTAGCTTATCCCCTTACACTTATACATCTTATACTTTATACTTATACTTACACTTATACAACTGTTAGGTATTGACTGTCACCATTTCAGGTATTAGGTAAAACCTACAATTTTACCGTATTAATTATAATATTCACTGTGGTACAGCTGGATATACCGGTACTAAATACATTGTATAGATGTCCTTCTAGGTATGTTCGGTAGCTACCTTCCTAGAGGTGGTATTCATCTATCTAATGGTTAGATAATTCATTTACAAACCCAAAGGCTTTTGCTCAAGGTGTATCGCAATACATCAAATAGCTCTATCTCAATCATGGCTCGTCTGTTTTACGATGGGCTGCTGGTCCGACCCCCTATTTTCAAGCTCAATGCTTTTCTCCGGGTCATTCCTCCCATATATTAGAGAGAGTAGGTAACTTCCATGCACCAGATGATTTCCCGAGGCTTCGGCCTTGGCACCCTCAGCGCCGCCAGTCTTCTTGGTGATAGTTACGTTACCTAAACACGATGCTACGAGCACGCACTATTGCATATGTTAGGGCCCCTTTATAAGATACGAATGAGAGTTTGGCCATGGCAGCACTTACAAGAACCATAAAAGGTGTTAATGCGACGAATGCCCAGGTAATTCCGTTCTGCTCAAGGTTAGTCAAATCAGCCGACTTGATGGCAATATGGGGACTGACTGACCTTAGCACCCTCGATAATATGGGCTTTTTCTCCGTCCGGAAGCTTATGCAGAGCATCGTAGTTGCTTTGGAGAGGGGAATCTTTCGAAATACCCGAAGTATTGTTAAAAACAGCAGACATGATAGTAAGAGCTAAAGTACCCCCAAATGTCGTGGCAACCGACATTACGGAAATCACCGTTGCAACATGGTTCGGGAAGAAACCGATGGCGTGAAGACTACCTGTTATAGGTTAGAGAATAATTTGACTTAGAAATAAGAGCTATATAGGTACTCACAAGGCATAAACCGAAGACCAGTGCCTACACCTGTAAGTGCCATCATGCCGTATATAGTTGGCGTATGCTCAAAATATAACGCCCACGCCAGCATCCCGACACCAATGGCTTCTACCAGAGAGCCGAGGAACAGAGGTGGGAATGTTTGGCGAGGCCAGATGTTACAGAAGAACGTAGATAAGTATACACCAACTAAAATAGTTAGCAGTGTACATAATTCGAAATAGGAACTACTTTCACTAACCTCCAAGTCCTGGCGTATAATACAATAGCTGAACACCAGCTTTATCCGCGAGGAATCCCTAGCAACCATGTTAGCAGTTATATACGCTAGGTGCCTCCTAGGCACATGGAAGTTGCATAGCATCATACCTTAACAATTGTGAAATAGATATCGACAAAATAAAGGACCTATACAGTTTAGCAAACAGGGTTTCACCTCTAGACCAGATCATCCGCTTACACTGTACATAGCCATTCCAGTAGCAAAGTTGATATAGCATAAGAGACTGATGTTTCGATTCTTCACCATATTCCAGGGCAGCATCGGTCGCTGGACAGATAACTTGGATGACAACGCACCCCCCGGAGCCATCGAGTATTCGTAGTAGAGCCAGCAACACGCTATCAAAGTACCGACGATAAGGGGAACGAGTACCGCAGGGTGATTCCAGTCGTAAGTCGCACCGCCCCACGTCAAGGCTAAAATGATGAGACCGAATCCAAACAGGAATAGGAGCTGGCCACCAATATCGAGGGTCATGATGCGTCTAGTGAATCGTTCGCGACGTCCCGTCTCATTCTCGTCTAGTCCGGGAATCGGCTGAGGCCCTAGAAGGTCGTTGCGTAGGAAGAAGAATATGACCAAGATGCCGACGAAAGCTATGGGTAAATTAATCCCAAAGCACCACCTCCAGTTAGCCGCAGTAAGGTAGCCGCCGATAACAGGGCCGAGACCATAACACAAGCCCCCTGCCAAAGAGAATAGACTCCAGTTCTTCGCGTTATCTGCTAGCGACACCTTATCTGCCAATATGGCACGGATGATCGTGTTCAATCCTGCACAAGCAACGCCTTGTAAAGCTCGGCCCAGGAGGAAAGAACCAAAGGCAGTCGTCGGGGCACCAGTGCATAGAGCGCTGCCGACTAGCATGATAAAAGAGCATATCTGCAGAGACCAGTGCCGTCCGAATATGTCGGCCATCTGGGCCCAGAAGGGGATGAACGCAGCGGAAGTTAAGTTGAAGGCCGAGATGATCCAATTCAGCTGGGCGATTTCATCTGAAGTTATGTATATTAGTCTGAATATTCCAAGTAACAGGTGATATTGGTGGTTATCGGGATGGTCTTCATACGGAAATCGGCAGCGATCCATGGTAAAGCACTTGCGACGCTGTTATATAGATTAGTTCAGTTCATCGTACTCAAAAGGGTTGACGGAATTTGCTGTACATAGTTACGTCGAGAGCTTGGAGTGCGTAGGGCAGGAGTAGACATAATGTAAGTTTCCATCGATATTTGGAAGCCTCCCGTCTTTCAGCCTTACATAGGGGGCAATTCTTAGTTCGGGAGGTATCCTCTACGGGCTGGGCAAGAAGTTCGTCTTGCTCGGCATCCCTCTCGTGTATACATTGGGCTTTCGGTTTGTGCTGCTGCTCATCTTCCTTCTTCGATTTGAAGGCCCGGATTAGTCGAGTAATTAACATAATGTTTCAAATATCCCGATATAGAGTAAAATATCCAAAAATGAATTTTGAATTCACAACTATCTAGTAGTTATATCAAGAAAGAAGAGTGAAGTGAAGCGACCTCGTTGTTATATATATACCTCCATCAACAGCGCGAACTAACAGAGGCACCGCCCCTTAGAGAAGGAGTCGTGTCATGACCTGTACCCACGATTCCACAGTTCTTTGCTCAGTGCCTCGCATTCGTACGCGTTTAATGGTAGTAGAAGGTTACGACTATACAACCAGAGGCGCGAAATAGTAAAATAGAGGGTCGGCCTGCTCTTAGGTAGCATTGTCGACAGCGCACTTACTGGAATAGGTGGAATCTGCGTACGTTAAGTGGTCGAAACATCATATAATTGGGTTGCTTACTTAAAAGAAGCTTTTATTAGCATTAAGCGAGTGCGAGGACGTGCTATACTATTATAAGAGAACTGGGTCGCAATTTTGAAGCTTGAGCCTCAGCCTGCCTTAGGACATTCTGGTTGTGGCTGGGTAAATATTAGGATGTAGCTACCTGGTAGATTGGGTCCACTTCGGATTCGCTTCCATCTTGGTAACTGCTGCTCTAATACCACCTGTGACTTATATAGTACCTATGTTCTACGTTTCAGCTTCTCAGCTGAGGGTAAGAGGAAGGTACAATATAAATGTTGCGACCACCTTAAGTAATGCTTATTTTTGAAATATTTTGATTTTTTTTTGTCATCTAGACTTAGGTACCTATATTGGAACCAGCATTATACTTGTTTCACATGCAAGTTGGGTGATTCATTACATAGTAGATGAACTCAAAATATATTTACCCCCAAAACAAGAGGAATTGCTGTTATAGTGTCGCCTATAGATCTTCAACACCCCGCGTTACACATGATTTCATTCAAATGAATAGCGTCGGCTCCCGTGTCTCTCAGCTTGTGGCGCTTTATCTTAGGTACCTACCTATTAATTTAGTAAGCTGCCGACATTCGAAAACTGACATTAGGATCTTTGATCTTCAGGTGCGGGGAGATTCCGGTGGTCCGTTTGCCCGAAATAATACTAATAGATACCGGTGGATTGGTTTGCTCCTCGACGGAACACTCGTCCGGCCAAAAGATAATCAAATATTCGGATCGAGGCATAGGCAGACAAGGAATTTATACCTACCAACACCTCGCTTACCTACCTAATCTAGGCCAAATTCACATGCGTTTCTCCCAACACGCGTCGCAAGCTTATACATGACCATTTACCCTCGTGTGCGCCAATAATAACTTAGCTCCCATAGTATGTCCTCAAGTGCGAACTAAGCATAATATACTTATTGTTCGCCTCAACTTGATTGGCTTAGCCCCCTTCTACCATTCCTATAATGGTATATCTTGATACCCTTGACAATCTTGATAGCAAGCTGGTACCTACCTAGGCAACAATTCTCGAATATCCCATAAGGATGGGTGAAAACAAGCTTGTTACCTACCTATAGGTACTTGAAGCATTCCGGGGTCCTAGCATTTTGACAACTGCAGAGCCCGCAGATATCAACTCCGCTTTTCCTCCTTTAGGACCCCTGGACTTGACTTGACTTGACTTAGATACAGCTATGCATCCTAGGCATCCTAGGCATCCTATGCATCGTCAACTGAGATCACATTGGTCACGTTCCTCAAGCTTTATGCCCGTGCTGTAAGTAACCTAATGTAAGAATACCTACCAGGTAGGTATGCCTCCCTACTATAAACGAGATGATCTCAGCTGCTTAACTGATAGATGAACTGGGTCTGTCATCCTTGGTTTATTTTATTTTATTTTATTTCTTTCTCGCAGTCAACGAAGAGAGGCAGCACGTCTTTTTCTTCCACGAGAACGTTACCAAAATCCCTTCGTACTACGGTTAGGAGACTTTCTCTTTTCGACGTGGATTGCTCTAGCGTGTCTCAATTTCGATCGGATTCTGCGAGCACGAGGGCTTTAATGGCCGCCTTTCCCCCGATTACCCAACCAGAGCTCATCCACTTGTCCGAAAATCTACCCCACGACCTAGACGACCTAGACGACCTAGACTCACCCCTTGAGCTCAATATACACTCTACGACTCGCGCCAGGCTGACCCCGTGGGGATGGTTGCTTGTCAGTCGTCATTGCGACAGACTAGGAAGGTATCTTTAGCTCTGACCTCATCCCTTCGCCTATCCCGTGCCAAGCCATTTTTTTTTGGCCATCACCGTTACTGCTTAACGTAGTTCCTGCATGGCGTTCCAGTACATAGTAGGTTCAAGTACTAATACAAAATATAGAGAAAACAGTTTTACAATATTTCTTACTATCGAGTTGTCTGATTAATGCGAATCTACTTTGCAATATCTTCCTAAAGTCGCATATACAACCCGTAGGGCCCGTTATCCTGGTTGGAGGTATGTGAGATTCTGTTTCATCTCTACCTAACCTATAGTTAGGTACCTTTACCCAGAACTCTCGGCACTTTACCCTAATACTCCATTCATCTTGTATACCATCGGCCCTGCGGATGAGTATCTAGTTCAGTTAACGCATCATGGCCAATCACGTCCCTTTCCTCACACATCCTTTGTGTCCCGAACTAGCAGCTCCATTCACACATGTGATAGCGAACTAGATGCAATGGGGTTGGCGTTCTGGGATTTGGGTCTCCGATCATGTCTCCACCCTTGGTCTATTTACTTGGAACTCTCGTCTTGTACTCGGCTTCCGAGATCACTTATAACTTCTCTCTCCCTTCGATGTATTTCTCTTCCGTTATCGTGTAATACTACTTAACCCTCTCCCTTACTAAGGCGTAACTCAAGTGATGCCACCCTATTGTCTTCAAGATTGTCACTACTTTTGCCGCACAGCCTTGCGCGGCTTAAACATTAATACTTGTGTCTCGCCTTTATATATCTAATCTACCAGGAGTTGGCTAATAAGATGCCTACTCAAGTCCGTATTTTTGCTATGCCAAAGTCTCTTGGGGAGACTCTCAGTGGCAGTTCATCTACCCCATCGCTCCCCTCCACTCAGGATCACAAAAACGAACGACCGGCGAGTCCTGAACTTAGAAGTCGAATCCCAATAATGGAGACGATACCAGAGAAACCCAAAGAGGGTGGTCTCACATTTGCTCACCAGGATAGCTTACCCAAACTCCCTATACCGGACCTAGAACAAACGTGCAAGAAGTATTTAACTGCTCTGAAGCCGCTTCAAGGACCCAGGGAACACTCTGAGACGAAACTCGCTGTCCAAGAATTTTTAAAGAAAGATGGGCCTGAGCTTCAGAGGAAGCTACAAGAATATGCCGTCGGCAAAACAAGCTATATAGAACAATTCTGTAAGTTGGATCTTATTATGTGATCATTATCTTTGCTAACGGTTACTATACCTAAGGGTATGATTCATACCTAAATTTTGATAATCCCGTCGTTCTAAACTTGAACCCTTTCTTCTTGTTAGAGGATGACCCTACGCCAGCAAGGAACAACCAAGTCACACGCGCGGCATCCCTTGTCGTATCAGCGTTGGAGTTCGTACGAGCAGTTCGTCGAGAGGAATTGCCGGCAGATACAGTCAAAGGTATACCCCTAGATATGTATCAATATTCCAGGCTCTTTGGCACTGCTCGGGTACCGACCGAAAACGGTTGTCAAATTGAGCAGGATCCTGAATCTAAGCATATTGTTGTATTGTGTCATGGCCAATTCTATTGGTTTGATGTACTCGATGATAATTCAGACCTTATCATGAGCGAGAAAGATATTTCAATCAACCTCCAGACAATAATAGACGATGCAGCTCAAACACCTATCCAAGAAGCAGCCAAAGGAGCTCTCGGAATTCTGAGCACGGAAAATCGGAAGATATGGTCAGGACTAAGGGATGTTCTCACCAGGGAGGAGGGGTCTAATAACGCAGATTGCCTCGGTATCGTCGACTCGGCTTTGTTCGTATTATGCCTTGATTACACAGAACCCTCTACGGCGGCAGCGCTGTGCCAGAACATGCTTTGTGGTACGAACGATGTGGTGAAGGGAGTGCAAATTGGTACTTGTGTGAACCGATGGTATGATAAACTTCAAATTATTGTATGCAAAAACGGAAGCGCAGGGATCAATTTCGAACATACTGGCGTCGATGGCCACACTGTACTTCGATTCGCTAGCGACCTTTACACGGATACCATATTACGATTTGCAAGAACTATTAATGGCAAAGCCCCCAGTCTCTGGAAAACGGCGAGTCCAGACCCGTCGAAGCGCGACCCAGAGAGTTTTGGGGATGTCACCACGACTCCTCATAAGTTAGAATGGGATATTTCGCCAGAGCTCCATATTGCTATACGATTTGCCGAAACTAGACTGGCGGACCTCATCAGCCAGAATGAGTTTGAGTGTCTAGACTTCAGCGGTTATGGCAAGAACTACATCACCTCTGCCGGCTTCTCACCGGATGCATTCGTGCAGATGGCTTTCCAAGCGGCCTACTACGGATTGTATGGGCGAGTTGAGTGTACCTATGAACCGGCCATGACCAAGGCCTTCCTTCATGGTAGGACGGAGGCCATTAGGACGGTATCGGAGGAGTCGGTAAATTTTGTTCAGACGTTCTGGGCGGATAACCCTGCGGAGGCAAAAGTTGAAGCCCTACGCAAGGCATGTCAGCAGCATGTCAATGTCACCAAGGAATGTTCGAAAGGAAGGGGCTGTGACAGGCATCTATACGCCTTATTCTGTGTGTGGCAAAGATTCCTGGACGGTGATAGCCGCTCGGGGAGCAGTTTGGGGTACTCGAGCCCAATAGAAACCGGCTCCGAGCAAGGTACAGAATCCATGGTGGGTAGTCCTGGGAGGGAATCTATACGATCGAACGGCGAAGAGTCGCGATCACGACGGCGCGGTGATAGCATAAACTCAGGGTACGCAGACCATCCAGTGCCAGCTATCTTTGCCGACCAAGGGTGGGACAAGCTGAACAACACAATCCTATCAACCTCGAACTGCGGGAACCCATCATTGAGGCAATTTGGGTTTGGACCGACATCGGGCGGTGGGTTCGGCATCGGGTATATTATTAAGGACGAGGGTATCAATATCTGCGTGGCTAGTAAGCACCGCCAGACGAAGCGGTTTGTGGACACGCTCGAAAGTTATCTATTGGAGATCAGGCGCATACTACGCATCACGAATAGACGGGGCACAAGCTCCCGACAGACACGTGCCAGGGAAATCGACCCGGATAAGCCGCGTACGGGACAGCACCATCGCCCCAACAAGACTCGCGGTCGTATGATCACCGGTGCAGATAACTTGCGCGCTCTGGCGACTCGGTCGTCAACCGGAACGAGGAGTCCGACGGAAGAGAGTCTGATGATGAGCGAGGACGATGAGTTAGGTGGCTGTAAGTTTCTTAACCCCCTTTTATTCCATAACGTTCTTGTGGACTATAAGTGCTAATTTAACACCCGTAGACGGCTTCTTCGACGCAGGTATGCTACTGCAGGCGCTGAAAGCGCGCGGCGAGGTGCTCGACCAGCAAAGCGAATCGAAGGCCTCGGATCGGGTGGCAGCGAACGCGCGGAGAAGGGAAATTGGGAAAAAGTTACGGCTAGTTGAGTATTGACTAGAACGGTAAGATGCTGCGAGTAGCAGCATATTGTGTGGATATCTACTTCCTACCTCTAACCTTAGGTACCTGAGCACCCAGGTACAACACTAAGGAGTGTTCGTTGCAGGACGAAAGAAATAAAAAGAAAAAGAAAAGAGAATCTATCTGTACCTACTCAAGGTACCTACCTAGGTACTGTAGTTATATACCTGGTATTGATGCCACCTCTGTTTTAGATTTGATTGGAAAGCGTAGGCTGGCTATATGCGATTTGGTGTAGTGTACTAGTTTTAGGTACCCGTTGAATATAATGTTTCCTTCTTGGATATATCTCTTGCAGTAAATTTTGTGGCGTGTAGCTTCTGAATATCTATCATGGCGAGACTGTGTTGCCTACTAGACAGTGTCTATACTATACTAAGAGAGGTCAAATAGAAGAGACATAGATACCTACCAGGTACATTTAAAATATCAAATTCAGAGGTAACCTCCAATTTATAAGCCACCGCGGTCTGGAACCAGCTGGTAAGTCTTAAAAACGTGACTAGTTTTAATATACGACTCTTCTCAAGTATTGACTACGACTCCCTCCTAGGCATCATAACGAAATATTCGAGGTATTTATTAAGCATCATGGCCTCGTAGTACAGGTAATTCCTTTTCCACATTGTACATGTCTCAATATAAGAGGTATCTTATAGTATATCCGACCACGTACGGGAGCTTACAAACTCCACAATGCAAATGCCGTGCGATCCCCATTATGAAAATGAATATGAACCAGTGAAAAATATAAGGCAACTACCTATATATAAAACCCAACCTAACCTGACCTGACATAAGCCTCGTCTTCCCCTATAACCCGCTGCACAGCGAGTCCTCTTTATTAGTTCCCCAGCTCGTGCAGCTCGCCATGATGATTATCGTTATAATTCCTCTCGCCAACGACATTACCGCCAGCCTCGTGCACCGTAGGCGGGACGTTGGGGATGGGCGAGGGCTGTTGGCCGGGGTAAGGCTGATTCTGCTGCCAGTTGGAATTGACGGTCGAGGTCGGACTTGTGGACTGCTGCTGTACGCTCTGTCGGTTGTCCGTGAACTGGGAGTTGGTCGGGCTCGTCGAGTCGTTTCGGTCGGGAAACTGACCCATGGGCGCGACGGCAGCGAACCCACCGGGCTTGTTCTGGTCGGCATAATATGCCTGTTGCGGGTATCCGGGAAGCGGAGGAGAATACTGCTGGCTGTAGTGCGGATTGTAGGGTTGTTGCTGGTAGCCGGCAGCACCTGCTCCTGGTTGCGTTGGCGGCACGCCGGGCACCGCGCCTTGTTGCATCTGGGCAGTCGGCGGCTGGGCTGTTATGTTGCGATTCTTCTTGTTAATGTGGCGGATGAGGAAGAAGATTCCGAGTCCGATCAAGGCAAGCCCGGCAACACCTCCTACAACACCACCAGCAATCGCACCTACGTTCGTTGAAGAATTTGAGGAGTTCGAAGATGAGTTTGATGAGTCTGAGGAGTCCCCTCCATCGTTAACTGGTGCAGTTGCACCTGCAGAACCGGAGCTAGACGTGCGGCTATCGTCTTCATTGTCACCGCCCGTCTGGGTGGCAGAGGTCAACGGGGCTGTAATCGACTCGTCTGATGTGACGACGACGGGAGTAAAACTACGGCCATCTGATTCGCCGTGCCACGTAGTATAGAGCTGTTGCGGCGTTGAGTCTGAGAGGGTGTCACAGTAATAATCGACGATGCCACTGAAGAATGTGACAGTAGCGCAAAACGGCGCGGAACTCCTCGTGCTACCGGATTATAAGTATCTTTACGCTTATTTACCAACAGTATACAACTTACCATTTGACGGTGAATGTATCTTGGACACACCCGTTGTCACATGCGCTCGAGTACGCGAATTCCCTATAGTCGATACATGCAACTCGAAGACCACAATCATCCTGATCACAGCAACCAACAGCGCCGATGGTTGATGTGGTAACTAGGGCACAAGTTAAACTCTTGCCGTTACAGGTATATGCAGCACCTATCAATCGTCATGATCAGTAAGGATAGTCATTGTAAGATAGGTATGAGATTTATTACCAGGTCGTCCGTCAAAGAATCCGCACGTATTATCAGATCCAATGAGGACGGTTTGTCCATTCTGTCTCTTGGACAGTTCCCGAATACTAGGGGGTAAGGTAATCTTGGGGAATTGGAAAGTCGGATCCGGCTTGGACGACAGAGTTGGCTCGGGATTCTTTCCTTCAAGGGCCAAGGCTTGGACGGCGGTGACTAAGGCCGCAATGGATAGGAGGCCCGCCATGTCGATGTATTCAGAGCGATCTAACTATAGGAACTAGATGTCTGGCTCTCCTAGGTCAAACCTACTGGGTAGCTACTCAACCACGAAATACCTATTACGGAGAACGACGGTCGGCTACGAGAAGACATGAAGGCAGAGCGCGAGCGCGGGAGTAGGGCACCAACGCTCTCTTATTTGGAACGGGGGCCTTGGGCTGAATACCATAACCTCTCAGCCCATCCAAGATTATCCGAACCACAGTGGCAACGAGAGGTCACATCGTCCCAGTCTAGACAAGAGCGGCCTTGGCATAACCATGGCTTTCCCACTGGTCTGAGATGAAAAGCATTCAGCAGAAGCATTCAGCCTCGAGCCATACCTATTCTCGCCTGGGGAGATTAGTTGGCAAGGATGCAAGTAGTTGTGACCAATGGTGTTGTAGCGACATTCGGGATGGCTTGCAGAAGCTGAAAAGCTTAAGGGACTTTCGGTGGCTACGCCAAGAAGCTATACTCGATAGATCCCCACGGGACCTTCTCACTGACTTGATTTGACTTGATTTTCTTCCCGTATCGGCCTGGTAAAGCGGAGTGAGCTGTATTTCTTTAATGTCTATCACCAGATGTGACAGGGCTCGATAAGTATCAACAAAGTCCGCTTTGGACTCAAAAACGGAGCCGGCGTGATGTTCGGGGGGGCAATAACCTTTCCCGCCAACATGGCAGCATGGGAGATCCATGTGTCCAGGCGGTTTGTATGTGTTGTACGGTCCAGTGTTACATTTGCGGCTGAAAACCAACCGCCACTGCAAATATTTGCACTCTCCAGCTCCTTGTCATCTTATTTGTGGCGGACCGGTGAATAAGAGTGAAGATGAATATGGTGAGGTACCTAAGATATTTTGATGAAGAATATACTATTTCTAGTACTTACCAACAAACTCTTTCGTTCAGTTCAGGGTCATCTTTGACTTACAACCAGAGTCATAGCCAACTACTACTATGCATGTAAACACAGACCATCGAATGGTGTGGATAAGCATTTACGCTACCATGATACCAGGCCGACCACGCAGGAAGCAGACATTAGCGTCCAAACCCAAACGGTTGTGGGCCTTTAGGACCCTTGTCAAGTATGACTGAGTCTCGAATAAAAGGAAGTCTGTAAAAGCTAATGTACGCTGTGAAGTGATGATAAACCGATAAAATGGAGAGAGGTGTAAAAGGAAACCCGACGAATCAATTAAGATATGAGTGAGATTACCTAAACTAGCACTACAGGTAGGTACCTACAGGTACATACAAAGGTCCACTGTGATTTGAAATACGGGATGCTGCCTGCCCCAACTTTAACATCCCCAATCTCCAAACCCATGGCATCTGCGTAGCTGCCAAACGCCCTAAACCCCGCCTAAAACAAACCTTATCCATCATTCAAAGGCGAACAAAAAGTTCTAAATTCCCAGTCTAGTATACTAGACCCCTAAACTCATCTTGACCCTTTTCTATACCGAGGTCACCTGATATCGTGAGACCGTGCAGGTTAACGATATTTCTTTTTCCTGTTTTTTCCCCTCTCCTTTCTTTTTTTTATCTTCAAGGGCTGACGTGGTTAGGCTGGATCAGATCAGCTCGACTCAGCTCGGGTTGGAAAGAAAAAAAAGGTGAAATTGAGATGCAAGTCCAAGTACAAATGCCCGGATCCCGAGCCCCATGACAGATCTGTCCCGGATCCTGCCGGACTTCCCTATCGGCCGGTACGCGAACCTGCTTCCCGCCATCGAGAAGCACGGGCTGACCACCGCCGACCTGCTCACCCTCCAGGTCCCCGATATCGGCAAGCGTACCCAGCTACCGCTCCTCGACATCAAGAGGCTGTGTAATGCTGTACTAGAGGCCCTTCATGTCGATCTTGGCATCTCTGATAAGCAACAGCAACAGCAGCAGCAGCAGGATGCTAAGAGCGACGAGCCGAAGCGCAGTGTCTTGAGACACACCGGCTCCGAACTCCTAGCCAAACCCTGGAATGCCATCAGCACGTTAGACGACGACCTGGACCGCGCCCTCGGCGGCGGCATCCCGACGGGGTACATCACCGAGATCACGGGCGAGAGCGGCGCCGGCAAGACGCAGTTCCTGCTGACCCTGCTCCTGGCGTGCCAGCTCCCGCCCCCGCGCGGCCTCGGCCGTCCCGCGCTGTACATCTCCACCGAGGCGCCCCTGTCCACGCGCCGCCTCTCCCAGCTGCTCGCGAACCACCCGTACCTCCGCGCTCTCCCGCCCCCCGAGCGCCCCTCCCTCGACGCCATCGTCGGCACCGTCACCCCGGACCTCGAGTCCCAGGACCACATCCTCACCTTCCAGGTCCCCGTCGAAGTCGCCCGCCGCAACGTCGGCCTCCTGATCCTCGACTCCGTCGCCGCCAACTACAGGGCCGAGTTCGAGCGCGGCGCCGGTGGTACCCGCTCTGGTACCGGTGCCGGAAGCGCAGGTGCAGGTGCGGGTACGGGTGCGGGCGCGAAGAGCGGCGGCGCTAATCTCGCCGCCCGCAGCCACGAGCTCGTGCGTCTGGGCCAGCAGCTGCACGACCTGGCGCGGCGGCACAACCTCGCCGTCGTAGTAGCCAACCAAGTCGCCGACCGCTTCACAGGCACCGCTAAGAGCGGCGCTCCGCCGCACGTCGGCTTCTCGCTGCCGCGCGTCTCGCAGGAAAGCCCGCTCGCAAGCCGCACGAGAAACTTCCCACCGGCCCCCCCGCAGCTCGACGGCCTGGACCCCCCTAGCAGCGCGACCGCCGAGCTGCTGCGCTCCAGCATACCCAAGCTACCGCCGCCGCCACCACCACCGCCACCACCACCACCCTCGGAGCCCCTCGCCCCCCCGGCGCTGCTCCTCGACCACCAGCAACGGTGGTTCACGGGGTGGGGCGACGAGCACCCGTACCCTCTCGGCAACGGCGATCGCAGCCTGAAGACGCCCAGCCTGGGCCTGGTCTGGTCGACGCAGATCGCGGCGCGGCTGGCGCTGTTCAAGAGGCCCGTGTACGGGCGCAAGGAAGTCGTCGTCGTCGACGACGACACGGGGGAGACCACGGCGACGCTGCGGAACTGGCGCCGGTGGATGAAAGTCGTGTTCGCGCCGCACGTGCCGGGGACGGGGCCGGGGTTGGAAGGCGCGGTCGAGTTTGAGGTTACGATGGGTGGGGTGAGGGCTGTGGATAGGGAAAAGAAGAAGAACGCGAAGGGGAAGGGGGAGAAGAAGGAGGAGGAGGTGGTGGTGGTGGAGGAAGAGGAGGAGGAAGAAGAAGGGTTTGAGACGTGAGAATGGGAATGGGTTACGGCTTGGGTTCTGCATATGATATGGGAAGGATTCATACGAGATTAGATATTAGAGTATCGCGAGCTCTTGACATATATCTAAGGTCTTACTACGGTAAATAGTTGGTAGGTAAACAAGCCAAAGAGAAAACATTAGGTACCTTAGCTACCCATGCATGTTATTTCTGAAAGGATATCATATACCAATACTTCTTCCATTAGCGTAGCCCAATTTTTACAGCGAACACTATATAGGAATAACCAAGTTCACGAGAAAATTTAGTATCATTGCAAGAATACTTCGGTAATTACACGCAAATTTTTGATCTCGATTATTTTCATCGTACAAGCTTTCAGTAATACATACATGATTCCAAGTCAGTGCTTTAGGTACCTCTTATGCCAGCAAAAAAAGAAAAAAAAAAGTGCGCCGCCCAATGCATCATCAGTAACATCTTGCAATTGTAATTTTCCATAGTACAAAATACCTGTGCCTCCTAGGTATTCCGCTACCTCGGGTGAGGGAACTCGTCTTCCAGCTGCAATCGCACGCCGACGTTCATGCTGATAAGCTCCTGGATGAGCAACTTCGCGGCATACGGCATAGTCATACGCGCGACCTCGCGGCTGCTGTGGCATGTGCTACAGTAGCCCTTGTACCCGAAGAGCCCGCACCGCTCGCAGATATCGATCTCAGTTGCATCGGAGCTGATCATCAGACGTTCAAGAAGCAGCTGCGACGCACCGTACGCGATTAGACAATCTCGTTCCATTTCGCCGAGACGTAGACCACCGTCTCGGGATCGACCTTCTGTGGGCTGACGGGTTAGGATAGCCCGAGGTCCACGCGAGCGAGAGTGCATCTTATCTTGGACCATGTGCTTCAGTCGTTGGTAGAAGATGGGTCCGTTAAAGATATACGCCTGAAGCGGCTCGCCTGTTATTCCTGAGGTGAAGTAATCCTTTCCTTCCCAGGAAAATCCAGCGTCAACTAATTCTCTACTCATGGCTTCAAGAGGATGTGACCTAAAGGCATCACCGTAGCCGTAGTCCTTGCGACCCTTGACCACCGAGGCTTTGCCTGTTAGACATTCGAGCAGCTTGCCAACAGTCATACGAGACGGGAAACCGTGAGGGTTCATGATAATATCAGGTACAAGACCTTTGTCCGAGAACGGTAGATCTTCCTGGTCGACGATAATTCCAACCACACCTTTCTGTCCGTGTCTGGACGAAAACTTGTCACCTAGTTCGGGTCTTCTGGTTTGCCTAGTCTGAACCTTGATCAGTTGTGTTTCCCTTTCAGTCTGTGTGACCATGACTTTGTCAATATAAGCCGGGTCCGAGAGTCGATACGACAATGGCGTTTCGCGGTACTCTTGTGTCCTCGAATTGACACCTACTACCGGGGCTATGTCCACTGGGCTCTCCTTTTTGATGAGAACATCGCCATTCCTGACTGGGTAACCCACATCGGCCAACCCATCATTGGAGAGCGCGTTATACTTGGACTGCGTGTCATCCTTGTCGCCGATCCTTTCTCGACTCCCATTAGCATATTTTTGAAGGTCTGCCGTATACTTGCGGAACACTTGAACTCGTCCAAATCCACGATCGCAAGATGCCTTGTTCAGAACAAGGGCATCTTCAATATCGTAACCCGAATACGACATGACTACGACTGTCGCGTTTTGACCAGCGGGCAGCTTGTCATAATGGATAAGCTCAATGGTCTTGCTGATTACCATTGGCCTCTGGGGGTAGACCATAGTGTATAGGAGGGTATCAATACGGTTGAATTGGTTGTAAGCAATAGCTCCAATAGCTTGTTTACCCATAGCGCATTGATACGTATTTCTAGGGGACTGGTTGTGATGTGGGAATGGAATTAAGCCGGCGACAGCGCCAAGTATCGTAAATGGCTCGATTTCCAGATGTGTTGTCGCTTTGGTGATATCCTTTTCGTAGAGCGCTACCAATGCGTCGTTCTCTTCATTAACATCGAGGTACTCGACGATTCCTTGCTTTAAGAAGTCGTCAAACGTAACCTTTCCAGCTTGTAATAATCTTAGGTGGCTATCCTTTATTCTTGCCTCGCCGTTCTTCACTATGATGTACGGTCGACAGATACGTCCTTCGTCAGTTGCGATATGCACAGCTGAGAGATGGGTGTTGACGTTAATGCCGACGAATGGAGATATCCATCCTCGTCGTCTCATGGTGCGGAATTTAGCTGCGAAACGCTTTGGGTATCGGGAGAGAGCAAAGGGGGTACCGTTAATATAAACGATGTAAGTGCCCTTCCTATGCATCTGAGCGCCGGAGAAGCACCGGAGTGGTTCAACCCCAGAGTCTAGCGTGAATACCATTTTTTTAACCGGATCTTCGTCCACATTGGTGGTGATATGTGTCATGAGAGCCAAGTTTTTAATTAAACCACAGGCCTCACCTTCGGGTGTATCAGACGGGCAAAGCATACCCCATTGCGATGGTTGTAGAGCACGAGGACCACTGACTTTCCTCGTCTTTTCGAATTGACTGCTTATACGGGTCATCATTCCGAGGGCGCTGATATAACTGAGACGACTTAAAACGTGCGTGACACCGGCACGGTCCATTTTGAATCGCTTCACGCTCCAATTGCCAGTCTGAATTGCACGGTTCATGCCCTCGGTAATGTGTTTCCCTTGAGCACCAACCTGAACTAAAGGATCAACTGCAATAGCTCGATTCTGCTTTCTAAGCGAGTGCTCGACGTTAAACTTGAGTTGAGTCATGAAATTCTTGAACAAGTCTTCGAACAGCAGAGACAGAAGCTGTCCTGCTAACTCTAGTCGCTTATTGCCCACGAAATCTCGATCGTCGACAAGCTTCGGGTTATAATGAGCCATAAGCACTCGGCGGACCATGAGAGCAATATAGATAGCTTTTGGGTAGAAATCAAGACCCTCAACAGGGATGTGAGCAATGATGAGGTTGGCCAAGGCGTCGAGACCTTCTTCGATGGTGCTTCGCCGGGCTTGTGGAGGTGCTCCAGGCTGTTTTGCTCGGCCACCCATCTTTACTCTTGCTCCGATATAATCTAAAGCCTGTTGCTGCGTGAAGACGCCAACCCTTGTTGCTTCCTCGAAGTTAACAGCAAAATCATCTTGAAACCTTCCATCGGACCCGGTGACCAGCTCCATGATCTCGTAATCCGTAAGACCACCAAGAGCTTTGAGGATGATGACTATGGGTATAGCCTCAACGAGAACGTTATGCTGCAGGACGATGCGGTCCTTCTTTAAGGTGACATAGGTTTTAGATTTTCTCTCGTGAGTAGAACTAGTCACTGACGCCGTGATGATACTGTTCTTCTCATCCGCCTCAACAATGACACGGTTCTTGCTCAACTGTTCCTGGACAAGAATAACTTTTTCCGTACCGTTGATGATAAAATATCCACCTGGGTCAAGAGGACACTCATTCATAAGCTCCATCTGGGCATTATTTGCACCGTACAGCCGACATTTGTTGCTTCGCAACATAACTGGCATACGGGCAAGCTCGACATTGCGACGGATAATTTTCTGTTTTTCTCGCGTGTATGCGATATCAACAAGTATCTTGGCAGAATAAGTGATATCTCGTAGCCGACATTCCATAGGGGTGATATCATTTTCGACCCTATATTCACTGAAGTCGGAACGATCCGGGGGAGCGACCCGGATATCTATGAACTCTATCCAGAAGCTGCTGTCAACATCGCTTCTCAGTGTTCGGTTGGCCTTGACAATTTCCTTAATCTCATGGTCCACGAAGAAATTGTATGAGTCGATATGTCTAAGATCATTAATTAGTATCTTCCTGTCATATACCTATCATATCATAAAATAACTCTCAGACGAGACGTACTGTTTGACCAAACCTAATTAAAGCAATGATATTAGCGTACTGTATATACCCGTTTGATCACCATGCAGATCATATGCATACCTTTGACTTTCAAAAAAGCTGGGAGTAGTTGATTTTTATCGTCAACTGTGGAAATCGGGTCTGTTAATTTTTTGCCGTTGTAAAAAGGCTCCAGTAGAGCCTCGAAACCGTCATCGATGTGAGGCATTTTGACGGCTAAGCATCTTTTGCGTATTAGAAGTTAAGTGATACGTGATTTTGGAGATGACTCTTCAAAAATTCAGCCTCCTTACTGAAGAGCTCGTCGCGTGTGGCGGCGTGTCCCCCACCAAAGAAAAAAAAAGGAAAGAAAAAAAAAAGGATTGGAGGAGCCGCCACTAAGTACCAAAGTATCTTTTAGAAGCTTCAACCTAGAACAGCCCGATACCTAGGTGCGTGATTACATAATTCTCTAGAGATTAGGTACCTAGGTAGAGATTAACCTAAGGTTCCGTATTGGTGGAGCCTTACCTAGCATTAAGTACCTAACCTAATACATAGGTAGTTAAGTACCTATCTAATTCTCACTGAATTCCTATTAGTATTAGGGTACGTATTGTACCTTAAGGAAAATACCTACCTTTAGGTACCAGGTATTAGAGATGCACATAATACGTATAATAAATTTATTATGCCGCATTATGCGCATAATATAATGTTATATTAGTACAATTAATAAAATATAATATTATTAAACACATATAACATTTAAATTAAATTGTAAAAATTAACTTATAATATTTTATAAAAATATTAAAACATTTAATCGATTTATACTTATTAATTAAAGTTTTTTAATTCAAAAAAATTACTTAGTAATTTAATTCAATTAACCTTATTTAACCCTTTTAAGTATTAACGTACCGGATTATCGAATGTCCGTATTCCGTCATACGCATAATACTTTTTATTATGCGTATTATATCGCATTATACCGCATTATACGCTAAGCGTATAATGCCAAATGCATCTCTACCAAGTATATAGGTAGGTACATACGGCATATGCTGCTGGCGAATAAGGGACCTCCCTAAATTATAGCCAATCTTGAACAAATCGAAGCTATCGAAATTATGGAACTACGTGTAGCTAGATGAACCCATGGGATGACTCCACGGGGAAAAGAACTGATGAACAAACAGATACTACCCGGAGACATTTTGTTTTTCTTTTTCTTTTACATAGTAAACGTCTCACCTAATGATACCAACCCGCAACCCCACATAACTTGGTAACACCACAGTTCCAATAGCTTCAATATAATTCGAAATCCTACCGGGAGTCGTAATAAGAAACCGGGGAATATCCTTTTCTTCCTACCTACCTACCTACCTAGGTACGCTAGCACATAAAACGTATATACCTTACGTGTACCTAATATAATACATGTCGTCACGTCCTCCCCAAGACCAACCCCAAGGTCTATCTCGGTACTCTTTTGAGACACCACGATGGGACCTTTCACTCCGTCTGACGTCCATGCAAGCTTCCTAGTATTTGGACATCATCTCTATTTTTACCCATTAAAAGGCTGTCCCTCTCTTTCGATAGTTACCAGGGACATGCATGTGTGAAGAATCCAACGAGGGGGGATAGACGGGGGTTTGGCCGAGTGCCAAGGACCAAGCTCAGCCATATAAATGAGCCATTTGAACCCCTCTTTACCCCTCCATCAACATCGTCCGTAGTGTTGCTGCCCCACTGTCTCAATCGCTTCTGCAGCTTGCCTGCATAATTCACTGCAGGAGACAATACGCTGTGTTGGCAGATCGATCCGGCTTGCATTGGCCTGTGAAGCCGCCTCATCCTCTCAGGTTTGATGTAGAAACAGGGAAATTTGGGGGCTTCTTTTCTTCTTCTTCTTTTTTTCTCTATATGTATGCAAAGTAGTTGCAAAAAAGGACGACATTGGTAGTCTTGCAGCTATTCCGACATATCTCAAGTGACTGTCTAATAAGAAGCACATATATAAAAGAGGGGTCGATAGAAGCAGATGTTTAATGAGGAGTCCTAACGTATTCTAACGCCCAGAAAAAGTTACAGGATACTATGCAGACTTATCTTTGGATCATCAATGTGCCTACCCAATACGCCATTGTTAGTAATCCCATCAGCTCCCTTGAGCTCGTTCCCAAGCCTCGATCCCGTAGCGAGGATCACTCCAGGTTTGAATCTAGACCCTCCGTGTTGTCAAATCTCTTAAGTCTACCCACAACCCCAGGTTTTAACTAGAGCTGTCCCAGAAGATGAAAAAAAAATTGACGACATACATATCTCATAAGACCCTGATATAAATTAGCGTTTATAGGAATGTTTATGTCGGCTCACCTAGATCCAGCATATGCAAGCCGAAAAAAATAATGCATATTGTGATCCAGAGTTATCCGGGGAAAAGTGCTATTTCTCTCCCGGGCTGGCTGGCTGGCTGGTTGGGTGACGTGCAGGCTCGCGGGAGCAGGTTTATAGATGCTCTGCGTGTGGGCAAAAGTCGGTGAACCGAACAAGGATAGGTTTACTTCCCGTGGCCACCCAAACCATTATGGAAGTAGGTATGCTTGTACATAGGTAAAGAGAGTACGAAGCCAGAAGCTCGCTATCCCATCAGCCCATCGTATTTAACGATGCAAATAACAGTATATTTTGGTCGATCACATTGTCGCCACTAGGGCGGTCATGGTGTAGAAAGTTGCACTTGGAGAGCAACTCGGGGTTTGATGATCATCGGCCTATGGGGTTCAAAAAAGTCATAGTCTAGCTCTGCTTATGGTCCCGAATCGATTTAACAAGCAGTATACGCAAGTGGCAATTTTTATAGCTACGAAAGGCAATAATGTAGAAGATGTACCCGGAGTGCCTAATTAGTAAATACTAAATGGAATCAAAAAGACAACATCTCAACGAGGGTCCATCAATAACAAGCCGCGCTAAGAGCCCATTAAGATCAAGGACGTCTAGGCTCGATCCGAAACCTTAGGGAAGGACCCTAAAGCGAGAGGTGGACGTAAAAGACGGCTGGCAAACTAGCCTTCGGCAGTATGTAGAAAATGGCGTCTCATCGCAAGGTGCTCGTAGATAGTGAAGAGCCGACGCCGTTCCTATCCCGGAGCAATCACCGGACAACCTTGGCTCGGAAGAAATAAGCCTGTACAACAAGTTATTCTGACGAGCATCGAGCAATGTCTCAGAGGTAGCGATATGGCACCGTTAGGTAGCCCACATCTGCATTGGACGTAGGTGTTTCGAGAGTATTCGATCACGTATTTTGCTCGAGTCTTCTTCCGGCAACCCCCAACCGGATAAATACACCCACTCCAGTCGGATCAGTATAGGGTACATAAAAAGGTATAGGGAATACGCTCGCGGGTTTGTAAAATTCCAGACCTCTAGAGACCTTAACGCTTAGAGACCTTATGCTAAGAGACCTATGAAAAGCTACCCGTGAGCAAACTGATATCAAACGTAGGCAAGGAGCCCGTCCAACCAGAGCTTGCCGACGTATATCCCTAATTTATACTTGCATACATACCGTCCATGTGGAGCTTGATAAACCGGGAGACATAGCATACATATACCGTCTGGCGATACTGATGTAAATGTAGATGCAGGCTTAGGTACGTTTAGCTGCAAGGCGGCATTGGATAACCGGACGGGGGCAAAAGATGGGTGGGTGAATCAACTCACAGATCGAATTGGGCTGAGTTGACTCCTCGAGTCCAAACACATCTGGATGCATCCCTACAGTCCTACATACGATAGACAAAGTCTTATCATTGTATATAGGTTCGGATTCGTGTTGCTTGCAGCTCAAAATATCCCCGCATCAAATTAAAGATCCATTAAGTGTGAACAGTCTGCATAATCGGCCATTGCTTGCGCTGGCGTTTGAAGCCGGAAACCTGGGAGGTGCTGGTTTGTTCAGTGTCAGGAAAGGATCCGCTCACCGCTCTCCTCTTCTTGGTTGAGCAAGCTGTTCCCAGCTACCAATCTCGGCCGCTAGCGACGCCAGGGGTAGCCAGGTAGCTTTTGAAAGTTTACCAGAGGTACCTATTATATTCCGTAAACTTGTCACAATAAAACGGCCACTTACACACCTTACCTAGGTAGATGCAGGTGCTTAATATAGGACGGGCAATAAGTAATCTACCTACCAGCCTACCCGACATAGTTGCTCTTTATTGCAAATCTGACTTACCTAGCGTCGCAAATAGGAACAATAGTATATGACTAAACCTATGCAGGAGGTCGAATGAAAATTAGCACCAAGACCGTCTCCCGCCGTGTTGGTTTACATAGAGCTCGGTCGGACCCTAACTCCACCTTTCGGGGTTCCTAAATCTTTGGTTAGAGCTCGCAACCAGCGCCGTCTCGATCGAAGTCCCCTAGTGTAGTTAGTAGTAGGGAAGTAGGCATAAAAGAAAAATGAATAAAAGGATCTAAGAGCTAGAGGATGGATAGATGAACGGATGAAGCCGATCCATCATCGAATGATCTAAACAACCGCAATTACCTACCCTTACCAATACCAAGTGCTAGGTAGGTAATTGCCTACTTGGGTAGTCCGTAGGTAGCCATAGGTCAAAATATTCAAATGCTCTCTCACCCTATCCCACCTTTTTTTATACAACAATCGCCTTCGTTGCTCTCCCAGGGCATCGATTGGTGCTTTTCGGATATACAACGTTTCTTCGTAATAATCATTCTGCGTACGTATATGTAGCTAGTCGCGGCTCGCCACTCATTCCCTAGTCGATACGCGCAAGTAGGTAGCACACTAGAAGAAAATAAGCATAAGAGCTCACACCAGAAAAGCAGCGACAGATGCCTTTCGATGAAACGCAAGCAGCAAGGCAGGTAAGCAAAAAAAAAAAAAAAAAAAAAAAACATACGTCGCGACTACCTACCTGTCTCTTTTAGTCGGCTTCCTAGTACACGTAGGTAGTGTCAAATCATTAGGCTCTTAGGTAGGTAGCTCTCTACTATGTACGAAGAAATCGACAGGGACCAGGGATGAGGAGTAGTGAGGAGAGGTAGTGAGGAGGGCAGGAGGACCAAGTCTGTACTACCTCACAAGACATGGAGACGCCCACTCTTGCCCACCGTAATCCACCATCTCGCATGTATTTGCCTGGTACTTGCTTTGCGAGGTAGCGACGAAGGACGGGTAGTCGCTTAGGGACCTGAGTACCTCTAACGAGTACCTATAACAAGTACCAGACAGTACCTTCAGGTACAATACCTACAGGCAGGTACATGATAGATTAGGTACCTACCTATATTGATCCTAACCTGCGTTGTACCACCAAACAGACCTCGACCAGGGGTATGGTAAAGGAGGACGGAGCGACACTGGAGAAGAAGGGTGCCTCGTCCACCATCCACTTGCAGACCTGCAGACTTGCAGACTTGCAGCAATTGAAACATTTGAAGTCTCCTTCTCTTCGCACACAACTCCACACTCTTTTATTATCATTATTTGCATTTTGCGACTTTGCAACCCTTTTCTTTTCTTTCCGTGCTTGCGCTGCCGCTCCTGGCTCTCCAGGGCTGCATTTTGCGTTTTGTGTGTGCTATAGTCGTTCTCATCAAAGGTGAGTGAGTCTAACCCGCATTGTCGATAGCCGAAGACAACCCTCTCCAACCCCCCTTTGAGAGTCATCGTCAACCTACCCTGCCCGGCGCAAGTTCACTGCCGAACGAGGGATACGCCGCCACGACAAAACAAAAATAAAAAACAAAAATAAAAATAAAAAGAAGCGCGGCGCGAATTCCCATTAATTGCCCAATTCTCCTAAGCCCCATTCACAATGCACATTGGTTGGGGAGTGTGAAAATTTCGAGCGTCGGCTCGTTGCGATTTGTTGTTTCATTGGGTACCTATCTAAAGCGATGCTGACCGTCTTCTTCTGGTAACCCCAGTTTATAGAAAAATCCGGTGATTGCCAATTTGGCCTGTACGAAAGCTTTTGGTGTTGTAACAACAGAATAACATGGATGATTATCGATTTCGCACTCAGCAGTCTCCGAGAAACGAGGCGCCGATGAATTCTCTTGTCTCACCGCAGAGAAATGGCAGGCCCATGCCTCAGCCAGTCTCGCAAGACCCTCGAACCACTTTGCCTCGACGGTTCACTACCGATTCGGGGCGTGTACCAACATTGTCCACCATATCTACCCAGCGAATGCCTGAATCACAAGAATATTCTGCCGTGAGTCTTTCTCCAATCTGTCCATATAGCGAAATATTCTGGTCTGGTTAGGCGGTCGGCGTTATTGGAACCTCTGCCCCCGAGCATGTCTCAATGCTCCTAATCGCATGTCTTGCCCTTGTGGAACACGCAGCTGACATTGGTTAGGTATCCCAGACCCAATATAAAGTACAACTGGTAAGGCTGTCTCTTTTGGCGCCTGTCATCTCTGTTCATTCCCGAGCTGCACTTCTGCGAATTCGCGCGGCACCTAGCTTCCTATTTGCGATTTTCCTTATTTTTAGCATAGTTGAGTTAGTGCTCACAATCTGTATAGTTAGAGAAAAAGAAACTCGAGTATGAGAAGCTTCGGGAACAGAAGCGGCGCTTCGAGGCCGAGATGCATAAATTGGACCAGCAGCAGCGGCGGGAGGAATTCGATATTGCCCAGATGCAGGAGGATCTAGGGCGAGGAAACGGTTTGGGATTGACAGGTCACCAGTCTGAGCCGACTACACCGCCCGAGTATCGAGACACGAGCTCGGGATTCCCTACCATGTTCTCCCGTCCCAATCGATATTCGACACCTAGCCTCGGCATCGTATCTCCGCCGGGGCTCTTTAATCGACCGGGGAGATCTGGCTCTCAGCTCACATCTCCTCAGTCCGGCATTCTTCAATCTCGTTTTTTCGACGATGCCATACCGTCACGTTCTGTGCCGGGATCTCGGAGGAATAGCGACGAGGATGAGAAGGAGGAGGCTCTTCGCCAAGATCCTACGAGCCATCGATCAACTAACGCGTAAGTCTACTGCTTTCTAGTTTTATTCGTTTTTACTATACCTGTACAATCCTGCCAAATGCATATCTGCCACCAACGACTCCAAGGGCCGTCACGTTTTCAACCTCCATATATGGAAGTCGGGACGAAATTATATTTGTAGGTAGTAGCGAAAATGCCTACGTTTGACGGGAGCGAAGTAGACGAGGCGTAGGATTTCTTAGAAAGGTTGTACGAGCGAGCGTCTGGACTACGCTTTGGTGAATTCGTTGGGCGCAAGTTCGTCGACTAAGGTTCGCAAACAATGTCAGCGAGATGCTCGACTTAGCTCAACCTCCCTTTTCGTGCAGTTCTCTTGTCATTATCACATTGCATTTAAGGCAAACCCTGAACCGGCAAGCCCTATCGAATTCGAGATACACCATTCCGTCCATTTCTACCTAAGTAGGAAAAATAATTCCTGGCTTGAAAAAAAAAAAAAAAAATCTCCCCCTCAACGCATTTCCTGCTCTCCACCAGCACCTCCTTCCTTTCTACAATTTCTGCCTAACATTCCAACGGGTGCACTAGTAACCCATTGAATACTTGGAGCTTCAACGTCGTTTCATTTTTTTTTTTTTCAGTGTCTCTCGCACTTTATCAGTTGGTCTGCAGGTATTCGGCAGCTGCTAACGTAGGAACATAACCTAGTCTTAATCGATATTCGATGCCCGTTACCCGTCGCGGCAATCTCTATGACAACATCGACCAAACCAACACGACTGGTTTCCTATTCAGAGACGATGAATCGTCGATGGACCTAAATAACTTTTCTAATATTGACGCTAGTGAAGACAGCTTTCCTCAGCTGTACGCACAGAAGGGAAATCCCAACGTGGTAAGTTAACATCTCATGTACTTTCGTTGCACTTTGCACCCGACGTCACTTACGCCTTCACTTGCTCCTTCACTTCACCCAAGTAATAACTTGCCTGTACATTGCTTGTTTGCACTATTTATGGTCTGTGCTCTCTGCGCTTCCTCGAACAAAATTGAAGGGTCTTGTCAAGGCGAACTGCGATTGAAAAATACTTCAATATTTCAATCCAACACACACACCTTCGGCGCAGCTGCATATATTTATCTACTTTCGACCTTGGGAAACTGCTTTTCTCTTTTTACAGCAATCTTCCACACTCAAATCGTTTCTAAGCAACAACCACATCTGTGTTTTGATGTACCACCACTTTTTCGAGGTAAACAGCGTCGTCTGGTATCAGGAAGCTAACCCTCGCCTAGTTATCTGCTTCTTCTGCTGCAGTCGACCTCGCCTCTCACCGTGCAAGTGGTGAAGCTACACCTACTAACGGCTGGGCCAATATTCCTCGCCATCGACAACAACAAAGCCTCTCTACTTTAGGATCATCCCAAATGAACACTGCCGACGGAATGGCTACTAACCAAGGCGGATCGTCGGCTGACGGCGCTTCCGTTACTAATCGCCCTTTCCGCCATTCTCTCGACGTGAATCAGTACAGAGAGACCACTACTGACACGACAACTACCTCGACTATGTCTTCCTCTTCTACTCAGGTGCTCTCTACGCCTCCTAAATTACAGACGTCCTTCTCCGCAGGTGATGTGGCTGCTGCCAAGAACGTCCCCAGTGCTACTTTGACTCCGTCGGGTAATGCGAATGCGCATGCGCAACAGCACTTCCACAATCACAATGCGAGCATTGGCCGTATCCCCCCCGGCGCTATGAAGCGTCATAGCCGCGAGCTATCTAACGATAACCACATTGCTGCCGCCCAAACTGGACCAGCATATCCTTCTATTTCATCGCAGCTGCAGGGTGGTGCTCCTGCATTTGGTCCGATTGCATCCAGCCAGTCCGCCATTCAATCGCCCGCCCCTGCCGGAACAGCTTCTGCTGGCTCTCCTTCTTCGATTGGGCCTTACCCACAACAGTACTACGGCGGATATAGCCAGCCTACCCCCAACGGGCCTGGCCCTGGGTACAACATGAACATGATGACAATGGGCATGCAAAACTTGGGCTTGAACAACTACCCGCCTCAGAATTATGTCGGGTATAATCCTATGTACCAGCCCCAAGCACAGCCTCGTGATTCCCAGCAGCGTGTCATGCAGCAGCGCCGTGCTCAGGATAACGAGGCAATGACCCGTTACGCCAATTTGTCCTTGGAGCAAGTAGGAGGTACAATCTATGATCTGTGCAAGGATCAGCACGGCTGCCGATACTTACAAAAGCAGCTTGAGAATCGAAATCCTGAACAGGTTCACATGATCTGGCTAGAGACGAATCAGCATGTCGTCGAGCTTATGACGGACCCCTTTGGAAATTACTTGTGCCAAAAGCTTCTGGAATATTGCAACGACGACGAGCGCACTGTGCTGATTCAAAACGCTTCTGCGGAGATGGTGCGCATTGCGCTCAACCAGCACGGCACGCGTGCTTTACAGAAGATGATTGAGTTTGTCTCGACCCCTACACACGTCCAACTCATCATTGAGGCCCTGCAATACCGAGTTGTCGAACTCATTCAAGATCTCAATGGAAACCACGTGATCCAGAAGTGCCTCAATAAACTGAGCCCGGAAGATGCTCAATTTATCTTCAGCGCAGTCGGTAACAATTGCATTGAAGTAGGTACCCATCGTCATGGATGCTGTGTCCTCCAGCGATGCATCGACCACGCCTCGGGGGAGCAGAAGATGTGGCTTGTTAGTAAAATCACCGAAAATGCCACTCGACTTGTACAAGACCCCTTCGGCAATTATGTGGTTCAATACATCATCGACCTGAATGAGTCCGTCTTCACCGAACCGTTGATACAGCAGTTCCGTGGCAAGATCAGCCAGTTGTCCCGTCACAAATTCAGCTCCAACGTTATGGAGAAATGTATCCGCTGTGGCAATGACGACTCGAAAGACATGATGGTCAACGAACTGCTGGCTCCGGGTGAGATGGAGCGCCTGCTACGCGATTCGTTTGGCAATTACGTTGTGCAGACCGCCTTAGACCATTGTACTTACCATATGAAGATCCCGCTGGTTGAAGCCATCCGTCCGATTGTTCCCACTGTCAGAAACACTCCGTATGGCCGTCGTCTTCAGGCCAAGATCCAACAGCACGACACCCGAAGCGCCAATACCAGTGGACAGGCAACTCCCGCTGACCCAACCCAAGGTCAAATTGCAATTCGTCCCCCCCACACTCGCGCCATGACGAGCCAGGGTATCGTAGCGCCACCTGGTCCCTATACAAACGGCCACAGTCCCAACGGCATTAATGGCACTCGAGGCAGAATGGGATATCCGCCCCCTAACGGCATGGGCGTTTCCGGCGTCCCTGGTAATGCCCCTCCACCACCACCGCCGCCGCGAATGGCCCAGTACCCCACATACCCTGGTGCTGGTGTTAACCCCGGATCTGGCGAAGGTGATTTCTTCTAGATACTTCTTATATCTACTGCGATCACGAGACTTGTAACGGTACGATAATGAATTCGGACGATAAATCATTTTCGGTGGAATTTTCCTTGGTCGTTAATTACGCGGTCTTTGTGGCCATTTCGCAAAGAATGAATGAGATGCTTCATACGAGCTTGATGACACCGTTTCCTTTTTTTTCGTGCCATAAACATGTCACTTTTACTCCCTTTCTACACAGGATCTTACACGAACTCGTTTAAGTCATTGGGCACCACCACTAGCAACCATTTGATCTCATGGTTGCTCTGTATATTACGCACTCGACGATACACGATTCTCGGCACTCGATACTGAAAAACCGGCGTAACGATTATATTCGATATAATCGTGGCCCACGCCTGTGTACTCAAAAAACGCATCGGCATAGATGTTTTTTTTCTTTCTTTCTTTGTCATTCTCGGTTTGCGGAATTCTTTTTCGGCAGACCCATGCATTACTCTTGATTTCACACACCACGCAAAGATTTCGGCCATGCAGCTTCTCACGCCCACCGCCGCCTGAATCTCGTATACTCTTCGGTAGACATACCTACGCTCGCACCTAATTTCCTCGACCAGTTCTCATAAAACCCTACTTTGCGGGGTTGTCTACATGGAATGGGTCATGTGCGAACGCATTGCAGCATACGACAGTTGACAAGAGCAGGCTGTAATATGTTGGCATCGATGGGGTCCTCTTGTACACTCAGGCTTTTCTCATGGGGAACCCAAACCAACTAATTATGCCTACGGTAAAACGGTATAGGCTTAGGAGATTTGGAAGATGTAACTGCTCTCATCGTTAAATACAGATGGGGGGAGACTGGATACCAGTTCCAGATGATCTTGGCTTGTGTTTTACAATGAGGATTGTTTATCAGGATTTGTTCTGCGATGTCTTTCGCCGGAATTAGCCGTTCTCGTAGATTTGCCAATACTAGGCGGTTATTTTCTGTCCTGGGCTGTCCCTCTCCGCAGCAGAGCCTCTTGACCTGTACTTTGCAGATACCTCAATAGGGGCGTATAAAACATTCCTCAAGTCTTTGCTGGTTGTGATATGATCTCATTATTTGCTATTTTACAGCTCGCCATCTAATTTCCAGGTAACTATATTTTCTCAGGAAAGTATTGAATATTCGTAGAGTAGAGCATTAGATTGTCTAGCTAGTAAAGGTAACCATAATAAGCCTGGTAGTAGAGTAGCCGTTGGATTAGGTACCTTTGACAAACCCCAAAACGGCTAAAGGGGTTGCAGCTGATGAGACCTTAATCATTCCGGGCTAACAAAAACGCATCGAGAATGACCGTCACGGCGTACGAGTATATTCATACTAGCTACTAGCAAGCAACCATCACCCTCCCAATGCTGCAGTCTACCTAGGACGTGGATCCATATTTCTTTTTCTCCCTCTCTATCGCGTCAACCTAGCGGGGGCCTCTCTCTCTTCCTCTCTCTCTCCCCATTGGCTAGAATCGACGACGTATGTATATGTGGGCGGGTGGAATCCAGATTATATATATATATTAAAAGTCAGCCCTGCTTTGCAAACGATAGGCAAGTGAGGGATCCGAAAGCATACCTACCTAATCTACCAGCTAAGGCGGGTAGGTAGGTGGGTAGGTAGGTAAGCTACCTACAGGTAGATAATCTATATGTCTTAGGTATGCTCCGCTCCGAGGGAAACCCTCACGACTGGGACTGGAGCAATAAAAAGGAAAGGAAAGGAAAGGAAAGAAAATAAAAATAAAATAAAATAAAGTCCCGGTATAGGCGTGGTTGGGCAGCGAAATAGCGCCTGTTTCTATGATTGGCGGGTACTACTATGGCGTTCAGCTCTCCTTACAGGTCCTTAAGTATAGACGTTAGTAGGACTACCTACCTACGTACCTCCTAATGTAGATAGATGTTGTTTTCACTAGGCACCTAGGCCCGATTATAGACATCCGAATACACACCAACGTGCGTATCTAGCGGCGTCATTATCGATCAGCCCTAGAACCTATCGATCTACGGGAGGGATCGACACCAGGTATAATCACATCACTACTACCATTATCACCAGTATCACCATCTTGAACGAGAAGTAAACGGATAGTCACATATAGGAAAGATATGTATACCATTAGGTACCTCTAGGCACGGGTATTAACGTAAAACAAGCCGGAAAAAAAACAAATCATCTTTTTTTCCGTCCCAAGAATCTTGTTCCTATGTAGACTACGTGAAGTAACTCCAGGCGTAATAATTCATGAGCCCGACGGATGCCCTATTGACCGTGAAGAAAAACCTCAATCCCTGTCGTAGCCACGACATGCACGACCAAACCGTCGTCACGCGTCCCTTATCTTCTTCTTCTTCCGCCTCTACCTCCACTTCCATTTCCATTAAGCGCACACGCTTATCGGTAACGCCACAGGGAGAGAGTGTTGTGTCTCTTCCAGGTCTTGTAGCGACCGGCGCGGGTCTTGTTGTAGCGGTGGCCCTTGTTGAGACCGCGTGACTTCTTGCCGGTGGAGGTGAGACCACGGGCCTCGCGGCGCTTGTGCACGGGGTTGACGATCCAGTTGATACGGGGGTCCTGGCGGATGGCCTTGTGCTCGGGGTCGACGAGGATGACTTCGTAGTACTTGTAGGTCGAGTCCTGGTTGATCCAGTACGAGTTGAGGACTCGCAAGTTGGAGCAGCAGCGGGCGACACGCTCCTCGGCAGTGGCCTTGAGGGATCGCTGGTACTTGAGCTGGTTCACACCATGGTTGGTGGGCTTGCCTATAATTTGACAAAGGTGGCTTGGTTAGCTTTCGCGATTCGCGATTCGCAGTAGACTTATACTTGGATGATCAAGACTTACCAAAGGTGGCACCCTTGGGTACTGGCTTCTTACGGCCACCGCGGCGGACACGTATACGGTAGATGACATAGCCCTGCTTGGCCTTGTATCCGAGGCGGCGGGCCTTGTCGGGGCGCGAGGGTCGAGAAGCGCGGTGGACGACTCTCAATTGACGGAGCTATATTAATGCACTCTCAGCTAATGTTCAACGAGTGTATAGCAGAGACACGTTCCCTCCTTGGCCCGGGAAAAAAGAGAAAAGGGCACAAGGAGAGAAGACAGCGTCCACATAAATCATGCACGCCAATATCTTGGGCTGTTGTAGATTTTCGTGTGTATCATACGCCTTTCGTGTCGAGATTTTATAAAGCAATCGTGGAGGTTTTTTTTAACATACTTCCCAGCGACGGACTCGGAGGAGGAATCGCAGAACGTCCGACTGCTTCTTCTTCTGAAGCTCTTCGACATACTTGAGGGCACCCATCTTGACTGTATGGTAAGAAAAGAATGTACAAGTTAGCAACGATATCAAGAGTTATTATATTATTGTTATGTCTAACGAAGGGGAACTACAAACCAGGTTGGGAGTGGAAGCCTGCAACAATGGATGGTCGTGTGTCGTTGTATGTGTGAAGTGTGTGTAAAGTGTGAGAAATTGAGGAATGCGAAAATCTTCAATTGAGCGTTAGAAATTTGCTAAATTTGTGGGAGCAGGGGATCTGGGTTTTTGCGAGCGAAAAAATTAAGCGACTTGGCACTAACCCATAAACGGTATGGTGCAGGTATTCTTCCAAGTGCCCCACAGTACCTAGTGAAGCTCCACGATACATAGGTACCTTAGGTACATAGCAAGTTACAGTCTTACCTAGGTAATCCTCGCTGAATCTCAATATCAACAATTTCCTTCCTCCATTCTCATGATCAACGTCTTACTCGCTCCACATCATCCATAGGAACAGATTTCGCCATAACCGTAAATCTCTTAACCTGTTCTGCTGCCACTGTGCCCCAAGTATCCTCCTCGTCTCGTGCCTTGCTACTCTTCTTAAAGAGCTCTGAAGTCATAGCCTCCTTCCCATCCGCCTTGTGTCCATTACTGTGCTGAAACATCTGCGGCATGGGAGCAAGCTTGTCCTCGACGAGCTTCTCTCCGTACTCGCGGCCACAGGAGAGCAGGTCTTTAATATCCTGTTTGTCCTGCTTCCACTTCGCAGAGGGAAGTTCGAACTTGCAATTCTTGAGCTGCTCGTCTGTCTCTTTGAACTTTTCAAGCAACGCGTAGCTTCTTGATATGACAGCCTGGGCGTCTTGGAACAAGATATGCCCCTCCTTGCTTGCATTACGTGCCTCATCATCTGATCCGTGAGTGAAAGCAGTCGCCGAATAGAGGTCTTCGAAGCTTTCCACGAGTTTGCCATTATTCTGGGCTCTATGGTAAAGTCAGATCTCTTACGACTAGTAGCTCCTCGGGGACTGTTATTCTCACAGTAGCTTCTCCTGCTCTTGCATGTAGTCTCGCACCTTATCCACCTGTTTTTGAACTTTCACCTGGAACTTCTTGATAAAGGTCTCTGATTTCATGGCTTCGCCTTTAGTATTATTCTCAAATATCTCGGCCCATCGCTGGAAATTTCTACACGTCTTGTTAGTTGCCTGGTTTAGAAGTGGGTAGTATTGTTTCAGCTTGGTATTCACCGACTACTCTCTCGGCCTTCATCTTCGTTATATTCTTCAAGTCGTGAAAGACGTTTGTCGATGCCAGTCTTCTTCTTCTTGGGGGTCTCCTTGACTAGTACGTCAGGCCCGTCCAATAGTGCTGTAAAATGTGAATACATGTGTCACTTTGAACTATCCCAATCTGTTCTCTTTCTGTAGCCTACTTACGTTCAAGATCAACCTTCCTCTTAACTGCCCTCTTCGACATAGTGGATGTTCAAATCCGGCTCAAATCCGGCAATACCGGTATGAACTCAGTAACTAGAGTGAAGTCTTGGGGAATTCTTCAGTATGGGATAAAGTAGGTAAATAAGGCAGAAGATCATGCGAGGACGGGATCCGATTTGAATAGCTTATGCTTTTATCTAAGGAGGCCACATATAGTACAATGGGCTGAGTTTACGAAGTGAGGGGAGTTGTAGATAAGAGAAGTTGTAGAATGGCTTGCAAGAACCAATGACGGGAGATTTCAGCTCTTTACCTACCTCTTAGGTACTTACCCCTACTGTTCTTTCCTTCATAAAAGGCTCTTACCTGACCTACCTCATACGTTGGTTACACGGATATCCACATATCATCGAGTTCTCCTTCCGTGGTAGCTTTTAGTATAGGAGAACTCAGGGCGTGCCCTTCCTTACATGCAGTTGACACAAGTACCTCAGGTACAGCTTCAATCTTGTTTAAATTCCTCAGTCTTCTCACATTAAACATTACTCGAATTCGGCACATGCAACTTAGGCAATTATAGCTATTATAAGCTCAATTACAGCATATTTAGCCAGAGGTAAGCAGAATCCTATCTAGAACGAATCTGCTATCAAACTAACAGTGAAAGAGAACAATCCGAACAGAGGCATCCCCCCCCCCCCTGAATGTATCTCGCAAGTCAAATGGATGTAATCTTTCATGCGCGCGGCAAAGTCTTTTCTGTTCGTACAAAATCCCTCAATACCCAACAATTCGTGCAAACCCTCCTTTTTTTTTAAGAAAAAAAATATCAAATTACACAAATGCTTGTGCAGCACGTCTATGTTGATCTCCTTTTTTGAGTGCAAAACTGCTTTTTGTCTTACGGTGTCTCTCTTATGCCGTGTCAGTCATGACGCAAAATGATTGATGAACCTCTCCAGTACGTTTCTTCGCTTCGAACTCGTCTTCGTCTGACCTCGTTCCGAAGTATTTCAAGATTGAGAAATCAGGGAATTTAACGAATTGACAGATGCCCCTGCCGACCAACGCCAGAAGTCTGATAATCGCGTCGGTCCTCTGTAACTTTCGCCTAGGCGTCCTGTGACTTACATAGATCACAGACACCTCTATAAAATAATTGACTGTATGGTAATGACTTGAAGAGAGTGCTGGGCCAACTGAGAAAAGAGAGAATTAAACCGAAGAATAGAAACGAAAAAAAAAAAGAAATTAAATGAACGAAATGGATTCTCTGTCAATCTGTCAATCGTAATACGTCTCGGGAGTTTCGGATCGTATAATAATGATGGTATGGTACGAGGGAAATATAATACGAGAATAGAACTTTAGTGTAATGAAAAAGTCAAGATCCAGGTTATAAGTAAGGTCCCTGTCTTCGCCGAATAATTGAGGTTCCAAAAAAAAGGGAAAAAAAAAAGAAAAAAAAATGAGGCCCTTCATAGGCGCGTAACAAAGATAGACACCGCAAGGCAGAAATGAATGTTTGCGTCAATGAATTTCAAATCGAGATTGAACCACAATAAAATAGGGGTATCGCGATATCTTAACGAATCTGAAGTTTCTCTCCAGGTTCATGAGTAGAGAGAGAGAGAGGTTTCTCAAAGGACGTGAGAAAGTGAATGAATCCTACCCGTAGATTCTTTGCCTTCAGCGGGAGTTTAGAGAGAGCCCCTGAAACGCCCCAACCCATTCGTTCTGCCCTGTCATGTTAGGCACCGACTGATCGTGAGGGGAAGGAGCCGTGTGGGGACTCGGATAGCGTGTTCGCATACTTGGAGGGAATTCCCCAGGCTGGGAGAAGCCGCTGGGGTACGCCTCCATTCCTTGCATCATATTCGGGACGTATGGTACTGCGCCAGACCTCGAGGCACTGCTGAACGCACCATACGCGGAATATGGGAAACCGGTTGGGGGGTATCCAGAACTAGGTACTGAAGGACGATCTGGGCCCCCGAACGGCGGGTTGAAAGATGGCTGAAAAGGTCGACCTGCAGCACCTGGATTGGCGAAGGCACTTTGTGAGTCCTGAGGTGGATTGGATCTTCGTTCTGTGTTGGCGGATCCACTTCCTCTTCCAAGTCCGACAGCGCCTGGACCGATGCCGCTGGGCGCCTGCAGTCCTAGGGTCGGGCTGGCGAATGAGGCAGGATTAATAGCAGACATCCAAATCCGCGTCTTGTATATTTTGAAAAGATCGGTGACAAGCGAGTTGAAGTTGATATATGAGTCGGCGAAATAGTAAAATGTTAGTTTCTTCCAGTCCCTAAGATAAATTAGTTATGTCAAAGGCCAAAATTAGTAGTAGCTGGGGGTACTCACATCTGGAACTCAGCATCCAAAATCTCCATGTTTAGGCCATGCTCCTTAACCTTTTGCATACACATGCGCTTTGCCTTGGCTTCGTTTCCTTCTTTATCTCGAAGATTGTGAATCTCGTGACTCTGTGCTAAGCGCTTGATGAGCTTCGGCTTTAGTTCGCCCGCGTTTGATTCTTGCATATGATGCTGGCTTGGTGGCCCCATTCCGCCAATTGCGCTGCCTTGAAGACCGTTGGACGCAGCCATCAAACCAGCCCCGGTCCCTTCCTGGGCGGCCGCGGCATTTTGGGAGTACATCATCAACCACTTATAGTGCTCTTCAGTGTAATGCTCCTTCAGTTCTTTAGCTGCTTGCCAGTCCACGTTGTCACGAGCCACGGTTCCAAGATCAGTTCCTCGATCCGCTTCTACTATGACGAGATCTCCAGGTTTCACTGTAAGACCAGTGCCTTCTTGGATGTAAAATACATCGGCCCGGGAACACTTAAATAGTACGATATGCAGCAGCTGGTTATGCCTGGGCTGGCTCATTCCGTACATACTCCTGTGAGGTGACGGTGCGCGATTGCCAAAGGTCGAAGGTAGTCCGTAGGGCGATTGATACGGATTACCGTAAGCGGACGCAAGGGCTTGGTGAGCATTGGGAGCATTACCCCCACCTGAGTAATAGGATACTGTCGACCAAATCAGCCCTGGACGTAATTTAGACAGTGAGGATTTACTTACCAGGACTAGTAGTTTGAAAGTTAGCACCATCGGGGAACCCACCAAAATCTTGGGAGTGGGATTGTGCTCCCTCTGCGGACGTTGTGTCATGAAGCGAAACACCCTCACCAATAGAACCGATTGATCCTTGTCGAGTAGGCACATCGGCAAACGAATGCCTACGGCTCTGCGAAATTTCACTTAACCCACCAAACCCTAGCGAACTCTGCCAATAGGCCTTCTTAACATTCTCCAGCTTCCTGTTCTCTAGGGGGTAAGGGGAACGGAAAGCCGCAGACGTAGACGCGTACTCGCTCATGCGCCTTCCTAATCCTCGTTTCGAAGCGCTGTCCGCACCCTCTCCAGCTTCATCCAACTCATCAATCGCAAAATCAGACTCTTCAGGAACGGGCCCGCGGACACCATATCCGTTACCTAATCCGTATGTAGCAGCAGTTGAAGCACGGGGTCTAATTCGGGAGTTGTGGTATTGCTGCTGCTGCTGCTGCTGTCTCAGCATGGCGTTCTCGCGAGTGAGCAACTCTATCGTCTTCGCTTCAGCACTTTGCTGCTGGTGAGATGCTTGGGCCGAATCGCTGGCACTCTCATCATCGTCATCCTCAACTTCTTTTACTTTACCCAACATCGCACCTTCGCTAGACATCTCACTTAACATACTCGGGCGCGAAGGTCTGTGCTGCAATCCGGGATGCCCAAGAGCACGCGGTCTCCCCGAATGTACTGAGGGCGTAGGCATCGTCGGTGTCGTCGTATCTGGGTCTAGTTGACCCACTGAGTATGACTGCGAGCGGTATGTCTTCGGAGTTGGGTGTAAGGGAATGGCAAACGGGATTTGTGGATTAGGATTTTGCTCTCGCGGAGTGGGAGAAGTCTGTGACAACGAACTATCTTCACCGAAGAAACCAGCGCCACTAGGGACAGTAGACGTCGGTGATGGGAGAACTTCGGTCAATCGAGAAGGCGGCTCCTTACGCTCTGTATTCCAAATGCCTGTTCCCCATGGGAAAGACGGCGGTCCTTGGTGTCCCCTTCCCATCGCTGCCGAAGAAGTAGTGTGAGCACCCCAAGCAGTTGCACCTGTTTCGGCTGATGGGGTGCTGGGATGGGAAGCTGTTGGTGACATGGAACTGCTCGCGAATGAACCTTTCCTTGGATGAGGCAACGTAGCTTGTGATGTATCATTCAGCCAAGAGGCACGGCGTACGGGCTTCTGAGGCTGTACTTGTGGTCGCTGTGCTTCTTGTCGATGAGGATCTGGTTCGTCGTCTGAACTTGCTAAGGCTTCAGAGTCTGGCGTAGATCTTCGAACGTTTAGCTTTTCAAGCAAAATTGATTGATTGTTTGGCGCAACTCCTGGGTATGCGCTCTGGCCGACCTTGGTTGAGGTACTGGGCTTAATATTGCTGGAGCTCATGGTCTGCAGGTGATCGATTTCGGCTTAACAGTCGCCGAAGGGGAACAGAGTGAAACACAATGACAATAACCGACCAAGACCTCAAAAATAGGAATAAAAAAAGTAACACCCAGAATTTACAGATAATTTCTGATGGGGTGTTTGTGTGCCTATGACGACAGTAAATTGTGTAAACCTACACAATTTGTCAGCCATAGTGCAATATTACTAGCACCAAACCTGAGATGAAAGTGAAAACGAAATAGGAAAGCCACGCCGTTAAAAGAAAAACAATGTAGACGATTTGAATCTAGGTGAAGGAGGTATGGTTATGGTTGGAAATTCCCATCTTGAGCGCCAGCGCTCGGCGAATCCATCTCCACACGCCCCTTATATATAATGAACCACACGACGCCGGCGCAACGCTAGTGACGCTCCCCGAAATGACAACTGATCGATTTAAGGGACATAACCTAGCCAAGGAAATTCGAACTTACCGTTGTCAACGAAAAATATTAGATCTATTCATAGGGTATCGAAGAATCCGTGTCTATTGAGAAAATGAAAGTCCTGCACGCAACGCAATCTCAAGGGAAAGAAAAAAGAATGGTCGGCCGAAGTAACGGTATTGATCACCAGTCCCGAAATCCAAAACGCCACCAGAAAGACCCTTCTCGACTTCTAATTTGACTTGGTAAGACGGGCAGGACGGAAGTTTTTTGCGTCGCGGATGCAGTTCAAACAAATTTCTTCACGAGTTTTTGTCTTCGCGGTAGATATAGGCGCCCTGTTGGAGAGGAGGGGGTTCTAAAACCAGATTTCGTACGAGTGCGAATCTGTAGCTTATCAGTTGTATGCGTACGGCCTCGAATGCTTTGCGACGGAGCTATTCGCAACAGCGCATCGTCGGCTTGGGAAAATCTGTGGTGACGAGTATTCTGCACAAGAGTCGTTGGTCAGTGAAGATACGCAAAAATGTCCGTAGAGATGTGGATTTGTCGCCGTAATTGTCGATGGCCGGCAATTGCAGACGGACGGACGAAAGCGTAAGAAGGTTGTTGGAGGGTATTGAAATTGAAGAGCGGGGAAGGGAAGTAGTTTAGGTAGGTTCTTTTAGGTATGATACAGGTAGGTAAGTAATTCGTACGAGTAATTGATTGGTTTAGCAGTGCAAAATCCAGGACCCGTGCCAGCAGTTGAACGTTGCGACACGAGACCCTCGCGTGAGGGAAAGTATGAGGAAGAGTGGCTAGTGGGGAACGGAAGCTGGGTTTTAAAGTTAGGCTGGTAACAGTGAGCAAGGATGGTACATATGTACGTTAGGTACATACGGTAGCTGTAATTCCCCTCCACTAAATCCCGGGAGAGACACCAGTCTTTAGAGGCTTTTTGGGGGGAGGGGGGGTTGTCTTTAGAAGTTAACTGAACCGAAGTTTGCGCCCCTGTAAATCATAAAATGAGTAACTTGTACTTGTACCTAGAAAGGTACACCCCGTACCAGGTAATGCCTAACTGACTAACTTTGACAGCTTGACCGGCCTGAGAGAGATATGCGAGGATAGGCCGAAAGAGGACATAAACCTGAAATGACAAAACGAAACAAGAGAGGTTTAAATCGGAAACAAAAAACACAAGTGTCAGGTTGAATGAGAGAGGAGGAGCATCTGGGGGGACCCAATAGATTAGATAGTAAGAAGGGGACAGACGTGGTTAGGTATGATCAGGTAGGAAAAAGGTGGCTACATCGATCATGAACTGACGATGCTGTGCGCGGACAGATACATCCAAGTATGTGAGGTACGTGTATAGGAGGTATGTATGTCGGGTATTGTATGCACGTAGGTATAATAGTAAGGTAGTAACTTAGCATGAAGGAGGTGTAGGTGCAGTAAGAGGAGGAGTAGATAGGCGGATAGGGATAGGATGGAGGAGATTGACGATGCAAGCTTGCTTGTCTATGAGCTTAGCTTGTCCCGTATCCCGTATGCGGTTCGTCTGTATGTGTGTGTCTGTGTTTAAAATGTTTAAAGAAATGTCTCGAAAAAAAAAGAGTAGGTACTATATAGGTATGTTTTAAATTTTTACTAGGCTGCCAGGTTGTGCGGCCTTTAGAAATGATTTTTCTAAGTTAGCATTACCTAGCAGGAGGCAGGCTGGCAGGTATTGTACAATATATAAGGTAACTACCACCTAGAAGTATTGGAATTTGGAACTTCCTATTCTGAGATTGTAGTGTATTGTACCTACCTAGGTTGCTCGGGTGGAGCCTGAGCAGGCAGATTCAAACTTCAACGTTCCCAAGGAGAATCCAAAGGTCGCCAAGACCCTAAAATAACAAAGCGACTAACCCACTTGACTTTCCCAAATCGAGCAAAGGTCGGCGCAGGAATTTGGTGTCTGGGGACGAACGGGTCCTACAAATGGGATTTTATTGATTTAGTGGATTATTGATTTAGTGGACAAAGGATGATCATCAAGCTTTGGCCCGAGCCGCTTATACCGTACACCGTAGCTCATACACACACAGTCTTCTTCCAAGAGGACGTCGAGATCTCCTTTTTTTAAAAAAAAAAAAAGGAGAAAAATTATACGAATGCTTTGCTTCTGCACAATGGACTGGTGCACATGTAATCATAATATGATCCCGTTCGCAAAAGCTTACCTAGGGCTATTCGATCAAAAAGATGCCGATGTTTCAATCATCTTGGTTCTAACTTCTAACTTAGGACATAGGAAAAGTGTGGGGAAGATTGATCTTGAGCTAGGTATATCGAACGTGCAAGAGAGAGGTTAAACAAAAGAACTCCTATTGGCCCGACTCCTGCAGCGATCCAAGCTCTGGTTTGCTCATGATCCTTGTCATTACGGGGAGTCGAGAAGACGGCCAGTTAGATGTCAGTCTAATATGTTCGTAGTCCCTCATAAGAAATCTTCTCCAATATCAAAATCGAGCGAGATGCGCATCTATGCTTCTATTAAGCTCTTATACTACGGGCTGATATAGATACTTGCTCAGCATAATACGAGTTGCCAGTTGGTTTTACTCAGCGGGAACTCAAAGAGTATACTCCTAACTTGGAACGACGCTTAGCCACCACAATGCATTAAGACCATACATATTGGCAGCTCGTCAGCTTGGCTTGGATTCTTCTAGCATTTCTCCCCAAAACCACTGCCAGGCTATATATACACCGAAAGCCATGACTTAGCCCACCGTTGAAGACCTGTTGACAAGACCTCTCCCGGTGCAGCGAATAGGGCCTTCTCTTTCAGTGTAACTCTCAATCCCCTCTCCTGACCGAGTACATGTACAGGAAGCCATGCATGGACGCGAAAGCTCGAGGCCTGGCGAGTCATTCTTTTATTACAAGTTAGAAGCAGCCGTCTTAACCGGACTGGGTCAACGTCCATTTCTACCACACCCCGGCGAAAGTTGCGCCAGCCCTCCTGCATATCTGATTGATGCATGCACTGCACGTCAAACTACTGTTACCTTACATAGCATTAGACTCCGGGGTTAATACTACCTGGCTTGACTCTTTGAAGATCAGAAAGGGTCGTTGGGGACTGGACTGGATTGGATTCGGCAACGAGTTGAAGCATTAGCTTCTCATGGCTCAGGGTCTTCATACGAATGTAGCAACAGAACCAGTATTAAGTCAGGTACAGGGTAAGTTGGATACGATAATGGGAAACATTGTGGAGGTGTGTTGTAGTAGTAGTAGAACCTCTCCTGAAGGTAGCCGATCGTGAGACGACAAGGGAGGGGTAACGGACCATTCCTTGCGATGGCCAACAGATGAACAGATGCAACGAACGATTCCCGCACCCTCTTTCGGCGATCCGACTTACAGAAACCTCGATAAACTAGTATGATGGTGTCGTGTGCTCCAAAAGAAAGAGGGCAGCGAAGAAACAAATAAATTCAAAGTCGCATTACATACTTCAACCCTAATTACAGATCAAGTTTTATCACCTTCCTTCTGCACTGCATAACTTGAACACAAGGAAACTTGGAAAATTTACCTAAACTAACTGTATTCCCGACCTCTTGCGCATAATAGACATCACAGTTTTCCTGCATGCCCTAAGCGACCTGGACCGGGGGATGGCGGGAGGGGTCGTGGCCCTTTATATTTCTCTCGAATTTCTTCCTGCAAGCCTCAGCCTAAATCAGAGGACTGGCTCTTCGAAGAACTCTTACGCAGTGATGAGGTAGAATCAATCAAATACAATAGTTCGATATGGTACATAAGCAAAACCGCGTTCGATTTTCAAGCTCAACGTCGAGTTCAGCATTAAGTCCAACACATACCACCGTTTGACCCTTGGCAACCTTGTATAAGATGTTACCTATCACACTGTCTACCTAGGTACTTAGTTTGCACGAGTCTTGGAGGTGGCGTAAGCTTCGCAAAAAACCCGTACCCAAAGGTGTCGCACATATACCCCGGATTTTCAACTCTTTTATGTACTAACCCTATCCATGAACGGGCAACTGTTGGTTGCAAGGTATAGAGAAAGAGAGAGCAAACAAGTCAACCTGTACGGAGTTCGGAGGCCGCATCTTTTACTCAGCGCACGAGAAAAAGCAGCAGTAGATTCTTGATATTAATTAATTCGAAGCTAACTATATTTGTTTGATAGGATCTGTCAAATAACCCAAGGAGACTTTTCTAGTTCTTACCTCCTAGGTATAGGGTTATTTGTTTGTTGCTAACCTAACGGCCGTCTCGACGCATATTCCCGAATTAGTTTCCACAACCAACCGAGAAAGCCTGGCCGCTAGACAGTGTTTAAATAAGCGAGAAGCCGTCTTCCTTTCTAATGCTACCGAAGAGTTTATTGTGACCCTGTCATCAATTCCACAACTAGCGACACCGTATAACGTGGGGATGATTACACGGTCTATTAACAATAATTCTACCAGACACTACCTACCTACCTGGTATGTATATTGAATTTGTTAACCGGTCAAGCTATAACCTACAGACGAGAGGGAATGGAATCTTGCTTTTCACGGAGATAATTGCCCTATTAACCTCACACACCATTCTGACTTATAGTATCTATACGTAATACACACGTCCGGATATCTTGGAGCACTACAACCTTCTTCCTGCCTCACATACGACCCCGTGACTTCGAAAGAGTACACTATTCTGCGGAAACATAAAAAAAGTATTGTTCATCTTTCGATGAGAGGGTATCCCTCGTCACAAAGAGTGTATATGGGCACATGAAGCCTCGATGTCGTAAGTGAAGCGTAAACATGACATATGCGCATAGCACCAAGTGAATCTAGGGCAATCCAGATTCCTAATACGCCCGCTAACTCTAGAACTGTTATTAGGCTCTTTTTAGACTCTCTCGGACTCCAAAATAACACATTAGGTAAGGTAGGTAATAGTAATAACATTCGAAATAAGATGCCCTACCAGCCTAACTAGATCGGACCCGTGCGTTTCTGAAAAGACGACCCATGATATCCATGCATCTTGACGTACCTTTTTGATAGATTTTTTTTGTCCTTTTGCGGGGTAGGACGTGCTGCAACCCAGAAGCAATTCTACCAAGTTAACTAACCTAATCATCTACTACCTAGGTACACACCTATGTAACAAGATGACCGGCCCCCATCGTGCATTACATACATGTATCTTAGGTTAGGTAGATACCTCATACCAGTATAACATGGCCATGGACTTGGAGGGCGGGAGGGCCGGAGGGGGGAAGATTTCGTTGCGCGGCCGTACTTGGAGCTACGCGTTACCCACGTAACCCCAGCCGTACCTTGCCCCCCCATTGCCACACCGGTGCGAATCGCTACCCGCCACGGTCTAATATGCGTTCTAGGTATTGCCTTCCGCTAAGTGTTACCCCCTTCTCTCTTTTTGCCTCACAGATGGAAAAAGGGTTACGAAGGGACCGACGAAACTGCCCTAACAGCCTACTAACCAGTAACGCCCAGGAGATAGGGCAGAGAGTACAGAGCAAAGCAGATCAGCGCAGATGTCGATCTTGGAACACCTTGGCCGTGTATGCACCAAGCAATGCGACGGCTTTATATGTAATGTAGCCAGTGATCGCCAAAAGCCAATATTAAGCCTTGACCATAAAGTTACACATGCCGGATAGAGTTCCTGAGAAAGAAAACCTAAAACCCTAGGTATCTAAGGTACCTGTACCTACTTGTAACGTGAAGGTGGCAAATTGAAAGGAAGGGGAGGTGGAAGGTAGATCGACTACATTAGCTTTCGTGCGGAATGTAGATGATGTTGGCGGCGCCAGACCTAAGGTGTAAACTTTACTGAAGAAGATACGAGATTTGTTGTAAAACCTAGCTGAGTTGGGGACCGAAATCGCATCCCAAAACACACCAGGAGATTCTCATTTTTTTCTCTCTTTTCCCTTCTTCTAATGACGTACTTGGCACGATGCTCTAACCATACATCGGGGGAAGCAGCACATCGACTCGACTTTCAACTCTGGCTTATCCAGGCACTGAATCTAATGAATCCTTGCCAGGTGTAGACGGTGCTGCGTCTGGCCCCTTCTGTGCTCGAAGCTTCTCTTCGAACTTTGCAAATTCCTTCATCGCGATCTCTTCCTCCTGGTCCATTATTTGATGTACTCCTTTGACTTCCTCGATCTGTCGTATAATTAGCACTGCTTACATCATAGAGTCATAGGGTTAAGGCGCCAACGAAGGTTAAAAGGGGAGCCGCGTAGATCATTGGTTTTGAGGTTATTCACCAACCCGAGTAATTCGTTTATTGTGAAAATACCAATCACACTTTACGGTGAGGAAATCAGAGTACACGCGGAATCCGCGGGCAGTGCAGTGGTTGTAATATTCTTTGGAGAAAGGCTTCACTCACATAATGCATCAACATTCCCTCAATACCATTCTTTAATGTGACCGTACTCGAATCGCAAGTCCGGCATGCTCCCCTGAGCTTCAGCTTCACATATCCATCCTCAAACCCCCGGAATTCAATATCTCCACCATCTTCTTGGATGGCAGGCCGTATTCGAGTTTCAAGTAACTCCTTGATCATGCCTACAACTTCGCTATCGTTTTCATTATAGCTCAAGCTGTCCTCCTCCGCAGCCTCCTGGCCTTGCTCCCCGCTCTCGTTGCTGCTTACGTTGACGATTTGTTGCCCCGCCGTTATAGCCTCAGTGATCAAGCTGAAGACTTCCGGGCGGACATGCACCCAGTTGGCGTCAGGCGACTTCGTCACGGTGATAAAATCGGGCCCGTAGAAAACTGACGTCACTCCGTCGATGTTCATCAGCTGCGCGGCGAGCGGCGACGGGTACGGCGGCGCGATCGTGCTCCGCGGGTTTAAGTACTCGATGAAAGTCGTAGGGATCTCCGGGGGTAGCACCCTGTAGTTCGGCAGAAACTTGAGCGCGTCCGGGTTCGGCGTCGTTTCGGTTTGTATGAAAATACTTCGCGCGCCCCGCGGCGCTACCGCTGATAACCTCGATGCTGTCTGTAACGTCGGCCTCAACCGTGCTGACACCCCCAACGCCTGTGAGCTCGTATGCGCATGTCGCGCCGCTTCGTAGAGCCGACTACATGTTGCAGGCCGGACTCTCCTCGTGGTCGCGGATAGCAGATTCACTGCCGGCCGGAAGATTCGATTTGAAGGCATGGTCGGTCACCCTGCCCTTTTTAGATAGACCGATCGCCTTTTGGAGTCAATGAGCTTGAAAATTCATATATATAATTATTTGCTACTAAAGACGATTTCGTCTGATATTTGAATATAAGACGAGAACTACCTAATTACTAGGTGAAATAGGTGAAATTGGAGGCGCGATTATTGTTGATAGAGGTTTGCCGAATTGCGCCGATAAAAGAAACCCGTCGATTATCAATCAGTGGCAATGACGCAACTAGCGCCTCATCGTCTACCATATATGCGATTATCCGGCTAATGGATGACAAACCGGTTGTTTTACAACTTCTGATTGGATGAGGAGTTGTTCAGCCGCTGCTTCCAAAGTACCTAAACACATGCATCAATTTGGAATGAAATTTTGTAGTTCACAAGCCACACTTCAACTAACAAGTTCAGCCTCATAACTTTTCTATTCAGCCGCCTTAAAGCTCTTCAAATTGTTTCATTTATACGAAACTCGAGTGAGAAGACATTTCTCATACTACTTTGAACAGCTAACCATGCCATTCCGAAGATCTCCTAATTCTGATTTTATGGAGGCCATGGTTTGAAACTTGTTTACCTACCTATACTTATCAAAAGTGAAGTGACGGATGCTTTTACCGCTTGATGATAGCTAAGGAAGGGTGTTGAATGTGTTGTTAAAGAGTAGCGTCAACGCCACTAAGCTCTTCGTCATTATAGTTTCCTCTCGACTACGAAGTATAGCAATTGGAATTTTCTAGACCAATCAATCATCGTCTTCCTAAGGAAGCTTGAGTCCTAGGAATCCAAGCACAGTTAGATCCCTGAGTTGTTCCAAAGAACCACCACAGAATACAACTGGCCTGCCTTGGTTGTCATGAATGACAAGTAGCCCAGTGCAATCGCGGGCGTTTATGATAAGTCTCGTGACGCGTTGCCTGTGAGAAAAGGTATGTTCACGTCTAAGCTTCAATAAATAAAGCATTTTCATAATCTATAAAAATACTCAAAGGATATTCAATACCAACTATTAACTTGAACTTAACTCGCAGCCTATTCCAGAGCAGAAACACAGTTGTCTACCTAGGTACCTATTAGGGTATGGTAAAATATTCTCATCAGCAGACTATTATTCGTTATTAACCATGGCACAGGTTCTGGGCGTCTCAACTAAAGCGCAAATCATTCTCCCTCATCTAATATTTCAAAACAAGATAATATCTTGATCGATCTCCATAAGCCCTTCATAACGCTTATTCAGACCTCTACATTGAATCACCAGTCCTATCCGAATTTCGGGTATTCGCCATAACAATGGCACCTGCAACTGCTAGACCGCCATGTCTAATTTGCAATGGCACCGAAAGTAAATATAAATGCGGCCGCTGCAATTTATACACGTAAGGACTTTCTGATTCATGTTAATAATCGGCTCTAATTTTTTATCAAATAGGTGCTCACTCCCATGTTTCCGCGAACATCGCGATAATCACCCGCCCATGGAATCCTCTCCATCTGTAGAATCAGTGGATACCGTCAAGTCTGAGGATACGTTGCAGAACTCCACACATATTAATGAGACTGCAACAGACCAGCCTGCTTCTAAGGGCTCCGAAATTGCCGACATGCCAGAGTACAGAGAGTTGACCAGGAAGTACCCAAACTTGGAGCGTTTACTTTGGAATATTGCCGCAGCCACAGACCCTCCAGCTGCTAACAGTAATAGCAATGGAAATCACAATGCATCAAGCAGTTCCAACAAGGGTGGCCGTAAGGCCGCCCAACCCTGGACGAAGGAAACAGGCTACGAGAATGGTATAGAGGTGCTCCGTCAAACTCGAGATACCCCTGGAAGCGATAGAGACGCTCTTAGGGAGTATTGTGAGCTGGTTCGGCTCTACAATTTTCGACGAGAATCTGCCGAGATAGACCTCGACCTTAGGCAGCAGCTTGCTCGAGACAACGCTAGAGCCATTGGAGAGCTCATACGCACCGAAAAAGCAGACGCATAATAAAACTATCCCCATGTCAATTCGATTGATAGCAAACAACATAAGACCTCGATACCGAGATATATTACGCTCGATTCAATCTCCAGCATGACTATATTTCATACGAAAGGGAATGTGAGATTAGGTAAATATTCCTTTGCCTTGCTTTGTTTATGCGTATGACTTCCACCTAGCTTACCAAGACTATAGCTGCTCTTCAACGGTCACATTTCGGTCTACCGCCAGTTTATGAAATGGCAATAATACAACTCAAGATGCAGTCGCGCAACGATATGAGCCATTCTACCCAGTTCCATTGGCAATACTTGAAAGTTATTTGCTGTACTTAGGTCCCGCGCCCAGGAGCCATCTTAAGCCCCTATTTTAGGCTCCGTCGTGAGGTGAAGACGTTGGACGCCACCAATGGAAGTTCGGGAACGCGAGTTTCTTAATGGTCTACTATAGCTATAGATTAATTCGGATGTATTCTTAAGAACTTCTGCGCGTGTGTTTTTATCGTTTTAGGTGAATGATATCCTTGCCTTCTCAGGACTACGGTTGATCAGTCTAAGAAGAACAGAACCGCGTTAAACACAGCTGCGGTTCCGCAATAATCTGGGTACATTTCAGCTAGTACCTATGCATCTTATTTCAGACATACCCCCCTTACCCCCGCCCCCCGAGGGTTGGCCTGTCAGCGAGATCAGAGCAGCAAAAAGTTGCGCCGCGGAGGACTTATACGATGAATTAACTATTCATCTCTGCGGCGTCTTCAGCGCATTGCTCGACCGAATTGCTACTGGAAAAGCGCACCTCGAGCTCCTGAAGCTCAACTCGACACTAGAGAGCTAACACAACACTTCAAAAAGTGAGCCCTGTCTTACAGACCATTTCACACTTTTAATATTAACCGGTCAGGTCTTCAACGTCGTAGGCATATTCCGACTAAGCACCGACAGGACTCTCTGCCACCTGTAGCCTCCCCGTAAGTCGACAGCAGAAAGCCCACGCACTATGCTTATAACGGTGTATCAAGACGCAACTATAGAGGCCAGAAGCATTATATTATCAATAGGCAGGCATTTCTAGACCTAAAGATGAACCCTCTGTGCTTCAAAAATCCCGTGTCCCGTGTTATTAGCTGTCATCTTTTACTAATGCAGACGGATATTTTCACAGTGTTCTTTGGCAGGAAGTTTAGGTACCAAGTGCCTACTTAGAAGCAAGCCTTCCTCGGGAATTATGAGGGAGCGAGACAGGGACTGAGGTTATTCGAGGCGAGATAGTACGAGAGCCTTGTTTAGGCTGTTCCCTTGAACTTGGAAAGGCGAGGAACACCATATAGGTAGGCTCAGCATGTATCAAGAACTGTAATGGGAGGAAGGAACTTAGGTTAGATAGCTTATAGCATGTTGGTGATTTTATCGGCCTACTCCCCCTTTTACGGAGAGGGTCAGGCCAGTGTATCGCAGAAGGGGTGATAGCTATTGCCAGTTTCTCTCTGATCCACACCACTTTATTAACGCAGTCTCATGGCCAACGCCCGGGTCGGGTTATTCATACACTGTCTCAGTTTTGTCTGAAGTTCATTAGGTACATCGTTCCCTTTGCGCTTTGATATTCCTGCCGAAATAAAACTTTCCAGAGAAACGCCCATGTAGAAACTGGAAAGACGCAATTGATACTGTCATATATCCTCATATATCATTCTTCATCCCTCATTGCCTAGAATATTCTTCTTGAAGGTTGTTGAGTACCAGACTCAAAACATCGTATTAAAGAAGGAGCCCGCGGCGCATCCATACTCTTTTTGGGGAGTATCTGCGACAGTTTGTTTTGCCTCCTATACGGGGATTATGTTCTTCTTTCTGTCCTCATGATGACAGCGGGATGCAAAAGATAAATCGAAATTTTCGACGTGTAGATCCCCTGGTTTCCTGAGACTCCGGCCCAATGGTTCGTGTAGCACGGTGGCGTCTTGTTAACAGCTTCTTTACTCCCCAAGTGAATATATTCTGGGGGTTTTCTTTGGTAACCTCCAGCTTTCCCTCGTCCATTCTATCGGGCCCTGGGGTAGGCTCCGCAGGAAACTCCGCAGGATTAAGCAACATAGGGTCCGCTCCATGGTCCACCAAAATTTTTATGACTCTCTCAATACCCACGTCGTTTCTTATATCTTTCTCCTTTAACTGACGGATAAATCGTACCCAGATAGTTTCGGACTTGTAAACTTGGTTCGGATCATATCCATTGTCTAAGAGAAACTCGATAAGCGCTGGGTTGATATAGCCATAATCATGGCTACCATTGTTTAGAGCACAGTCTAATAGCGGTTTTTGTGGTCCGCGGGCGAGAACAAGTGTGCGGATATCGCTGGTCTTTGTCATGATATAGGAGAGGATACCCCACTGATACACCAACCCAAGAAAAGAAATCTCTTCTGGCACTGATCGAACAGCCATAAAGGACGGCGGAGGATATTCGGAACACATTTGTTCGGCAGAATCTAGGATTGGTATAAGCGCCGTTGAGACGACCATGGTATCTCGTTCCGCTTGTGCAGCCCATTCGACAAGTTGATCCAAAATATACATTCTCCTCCTAGCCAAGATCAAATTCCCCAGCGGTGGTGGTTCCTTTAGAGTAGCTAGCAGGGCATTACACATCACTAAAGCAGTATTTGTATTGTCTCTATACTGCGAAATAAATGAGCCCAAGCCGTCTGGACAGACGAGAAAGTCGCGGACAGTGCGGTGAAGGAAGTCAACGCGCGCCTGTAGATCTCCAAGTCGGATGTTATTATTCTCGAGAGTAACTTCTAGGAGTCCTTTGCTCCGCGCATCCAATCGCCGCCTCACTTGGTCGTGCCGGCGTTGTACCTCGGGTAGGGGTATAGTTTTGACGGCCAATCTTGATTGCGAACTCGGGGTCGTTCTCCACGTCGTCGATGAAGGAAAATGCGGTCACATACTAAGGTTGCGATGCTGTTCTAGCTATTTGGAACATTCGAGCCGTTGATGGAAGATATAGTGAAGGTATAGTGTCGATCATTTGTCGGAAAAAGCTATCTAGATCTTCTGGGAATCCTTCTAACCGAGCCTTGAGAAACTTGGTGGAATCACCGTTGGTGAATCCGACAAGGAGGTCACGAACTACGAGATAAACCCAGAGAAATACTCCCTTGGCTCGCTGACAGATTTCTTCCGTCAATTCTAGCGCAATCGGGTCCGCATCCCGCAGCACGACGAATTGTTTATTATCTTGGAACTTGTCATAGACATACTGTCGGATATCGTCGCGCGTAAGGCCTTCAACTTTGAGTGACAACTTGGGATCTTGGCCGAAAGCGTCTACAAACATGGACCAAGGTCGACTTGAAACACAAAGCTTGAGGTTCGGGAAGGATGCGAGACGCTGTATGACTTTTACGAGACTGGCCAGTTCTGTCCTGTCTTCTTCGTATTCGTCCATGCCGTCGATAAAAAAGCAAAACTTGGTGTCTTTGCACTCGCCAATGATTACTTGGAGGATAGCTAGCAATTCATCTACCGTCCAAGACCAATCGTTGTCCAATTCATCTCTGAATTCGATCCGTAGTGCAAGTACTCGAGGTGCAAGCCGATGGTAGTTTCGTAGTATTCCGAACAAGAGGGATCGAAGGAGACCCTCACGAGATTTCTGAAGCGGCGAACCCGCATTCCAGAAGAAGTATCTAGAAATCACGAGCTCCCCTTCCCCTGCCCATGGTTCCAGATGGATGCGTGTGCTATCGTGATTAGAAAGAAATTTCATGAGAGTAGATTTCCCTGAGCCTGGTTTCCCCTGAATCCAGAATATGCCATTCGTCGAATTCTCTAGCCAATCAACAAACTCCGGGGGTCTCCTCTGAAAGACCCAGGCGAAAGTGCGTGCATGTGCTTCAGCTATATTCTTGTGCCTCATCATTATACCGGTAAAATAAAGACTTCTGAACACATGCTGATCGTCTTCGGTCGTTTTCCCGGCTTCGTGAAGACGCGAGGCTGTCCTAAATAGGTCTTGTAGATCTACGAGGGCTTTATAGATAGAAGCATCGTCTAACGGCTTTGTTCCATCCCAGCTTTTGAGATACTTGTCCATGGCGGCGGGGTGGGTTGAGTCTTCGCGCTGGAACTTCTGCATAGCGGCGGCGAAGTCTTCACGCAGCTGACGAAACTCGACCTGTATTGTGGTTCCGAGTTCATTACTCGTATGCTCCAGCTCGGTAATCTTGTGTGGGATGCCCGATACGTTATTGCTACAACTTAGTCTGAGATTTCAAATCGTGGGCTTTGTTGATCTTACAGGAGCAACTTCTGCATATGAAAGATAATGACATTCCGGAGTTTGGTAAGTCTATCAGAGAGAGACTTGACTTCGCTGCTTTGCCAAAGTTCGTTCAATGCGACAACGAAGCTCTTCCAGGCGGTTGTGGTCCCCCGGACTTGCAGCTTTTCCAACACTTCACGCAAATCATTGGAAATTCTCTTTGCCTCTTCGACAAGTTCTCGCAGGTCATCTTCACAATCAGGTGCCGCGATGATGGCATCTCCGAGGCGGGCTGCGTCTTTTGTGATAAGTGAGAGGATCCGATTGCCTTCACTTTTACCGGCTGCCGATTTATAAGTTGTACATGTGTTCGTAAGTAGCTTCCATGCAAACTCTACAAATGTAAGAATGCTGCTTGCCGTTCCAAGAGCTGTGAAAGGATCCACCATGGCTGAAACTTTTAACAAGTATGCAGATTGTACATTCAAGAATTATTCAGATACATAAATCATAAGTTAGTGAGGGGAATTAGTTGACCTTTCCGATAGTGAGGTAGGTACAGCCTCGTCCAAGTACTTGATACTTACTGCAGCTGAGGCCTCTTTGCATTGCTACATGCTCTCGCCACGTGGTTCCTTTCGAATTCTCTTTACTCCAAAATACCTATAAACAGTCATATTGGATAGCAATTCTGCGACTACCAGTCAAATTTATTCGTTGCATTTTAGATATATGTAAACCCGGATACTAGGAGTAAAGGTAATTAATCTCCTATACAAATAAGCTAACATCAATTCCATCATAAAAAAGTTAATTTTCACCGGTCTTTTAACATGTTAACGTGAGTTGTGGAAGAAAACACCAAGAGCTACCGTAAGATAAGGGGCATATGTGGGCCCGAATAGCCTCATTTCGACTAGGAGAATTGCTGGCCCAGTTTTGCATACTTTACAAGGACTATGAACTAAGCAAATTAAGATAAATATAGTCACGAAGCAAACAGCAAAATATCGACGCAGAAAACAAACAAAACAACAAACAGAAACAAAAAATAAAGATAAAAAAAAAACATACAACACCCGGGATTCGCTGGTCGTCACCGACCCAACTACTAATCGAGCAGTATCCAGCTTGTCTAGGGGAGAGCGAACGGGATCCCGAATTTTCTAGATCTTATGGTCGTATGTGATGGATCTATCGTGTATTGCGATTTATATCTCTACCTAATGTTGGTTGTTGAGAAGACGACAGACCAAGCCACGGGCAAGCTTGCAACAACCACCAAGTTAGGTACGATACGAAGTACGTGTTGATATAAACTAGGTAGGTTAGGTGCCTAACCTAAGTAAATCACACAAGCGAAGTCGAGCAGGGAGGACAATTTCTTCACATCAAGTTCAACTGCAAACTTCCTAGGCTAGGTATTTTTATAGCCATCTCATTCATAACCACGTTATACGTATATATATATATATATATACCTTATATATCAGGTAGAGGAATATACTATATAGCTTTCAGACTTCAACATGCCATCACAATCACAATCGCAACCGCAACCACCCAGATAAATACCTAAGACAATATACACAAATGAATTTGAATTTAATGCTCATTACTACATCTCTCGCAGCCCCCCGCCCTCCCCCTTAGCGCCTCAACTTCATCAGGAACCCGAAGCGCGGGAACTTGAGCGGCGACGGCGAATTCGGGCTCGTCTCGCCCTCCTGCTGCTGCTGTTGTTGCTGCTGCTGCTGTTTTTCGCGCGTCGCGCTGCTCTTAAATCCGCCCAGCTTCTTCAGCGTCCATAAGGAATCCGCTTTCCTCAGCAGCGGGATCTTGCCCGTTGTTGCTGTTCTTGTCGGTTTGGCCGGCTTCTCGTCGCATACGCGGTGATGTTGATGTTGGTGCTGGTAGTATTGCTGCTGCTGCTGCTGCTGCTGGTAGTAGTAGTTGGAGTGGTAGTGTTGGTACTCGGGCACGGGGTCCACGACGAGCGTCTCCTCGGACGATATCTCGTCCATGGCCCGGTCCTCGAGCACCGTGCCGATGCTGTTCTTGCGCCAGGGCCGGGGCGGCATCACGAGCGGCGCGCTGTGCCGTCGGAGCTGATGCTGCGGTTGCGGTTGCGGCCCGGCTTCCGTTGGGTGCCACTGCGGGGTCTGGAAGGGGTTTCGTCCGTTGAAGAGATCCTGCTTGCTCTGGACTCGTTCTAACGGGTGACCTTCCAGCGCTGTACCATTCGAGTCGAGCTCATATTGGACGGATGACCGCCGCTGGATGTGATGTGTAAGTGCTGATTGGGGTAGGGTGTTCGCGAGGTCTCTCTCGCACATGCTGTAGGCTGCTGCTGCCCGCTCGAATTGTGCTGCAGCGGCTTCTTGGGACATATGTTGTTGATATGATGTTGCTTTGGTTGCGCTCTCGGTCGCTTTCGGGTCTACTTCTGACGTTCTTCGCCGTAGCCTGTCTTGAATGGATCTTGACATCGATCGTCCTGTTTTTGTCTTTGCCGGTGGGGTATCGTTTTGTCCTGAGCTCGCATCTGCTGGCGCGCCCTTGCTTTTCGCCATCCTCGCCGCGAAGCTCCTCTCGCTAGCTCCTGACTTAGTAGTATCCGCCTGTCTTGTTTCCGACAGACTTATAGATCTGCTTCGTTCTTGGGAGCTCTCGTCTGGCCTTATTTTTTGTCTCTTATTCTGCGCTTCCTGCTCCGCAAGTACTATATACAGCCTTCGTCGTAGATCATCAGCATCAAAAGGTTGCGACTTCGCGTGGCGCTGTTGTCTCGCGTTGTTAGGCCTAAACGGATCCGACTTGGGAACTGTTTGCCTAGCCGGCATCGATAGCCGGTGGTCGTTCGCGGAACGACCCATGGTGAACTGCATTATGTCCGTCTGTTTCTGCCCAGCGGAAGTTGACGATGGAACGTAGTTGTAATAAAATTCCATAGACCGACGATGAGGGTATCAAACTTTGTACAATCGGAGGAAAAAGTATAAGTTAGGAAGTTGGAGTCGGAAGTTTCAATTAGGGTTTCTGGAAAACAATCAAAATTGAAAGAAACATGTATTATTGCTTGGTCGTCTCTTTAAGTTGCTAGTTCAGCTGCAAACATCCCATGACATGCATGACTCGTCTCGTGAGACAAGAACTTGAACTCCCGGAGCTAGCGATGAGACAGTAGCGATAGACTTCGAAAGGCGGAGCTAATTATTAGGTATAGCTATATGTACGGGTTATGAGGTGGTAGAAAGCCCAGGGAAGCAAACGGAGGAAAGAAAAATAAACCTTTTCTTGAATAACAGCAAGGTTATGGAGCGAAAGTATAAGAATATATACCTGCATACACATACATACAACTATACATATATACATGCGCGTTACATTGATTCCTTGAGATGACGGATAAGACGATTCCTCGTTTACCACAATAGGGAGGTCGACTCTTATTAATGAAATCTGGGGCAGAGGGCGTGCAGAATGTGGCCGGCTTGGCCAAGAGGGAATGAAGCCTCTCTTTAACGTAGCATGGGTACAGGGGCGCGTGAGCGGTACCGAACGGGAGTGGTCCATTACTTCACTAGGTATCGGGTATCGTCAGTCAGATACCTCTTCTATGCTTCTATGTATGCATGTAATAAGTAAGGTATGTATGCATGTATTGTAATCCGTACCATACCTACCTAGTATGTGTATGTGTCCAGTATGTGTATATAAAGAGAGCTAACATACCTACATTAGCTCTACATAGCACGGTACGGGAAAAAAGACCAAGCAAAAGCACTAGGCGTTTTCCGGTCGGTACATGACCTCGATCAACCTTTTGTTTGCCCTGATCTTCTGGGCGTGGAACTTGGAACTCATGTTGGCTCAGAGCCTAGGCGCACTTCTGGCTGGTATCATAAAATTTACCCGGTTCTGGATCTATTTGTGTAATTGCGCTTCGACTCCAAGCTCTCTCTCGTCACTTATGGGAACCAAAAGGAGAGGAGGCGGTCTGCTACCTAGAACATAAAGGTATGAAGTATGGTAACAACGTATGTATGTATGAACCTTAGGAGCACCCCTTGGTCAGGATACCTACCTAGCACAATACATAGGTAATTACCTAGGTAGGTAGTAGACTACCAGAGAGGGAACGCTGGGGGAACAACGGCGGCTGCATCCCTGTTCGTGGCTCTTGTCATCCTTGCTATGCATATTGACCCCAGCTCTACGCAATAGCGCTGTGACTTTAACTTGGCTCGTGCTATGGAGCTTGCATGCACGTACCCTAGCATCTCCTAGTGCCCCCTGGTATCCTAGTAGCGTTTTCCCCAAGGGGAATGGAGCGAAATGGGAAGCAGTATCGAGATGGGAGAAACGGCCTCATTCCAAATTCTGTTTAGGCGGGGAGGATGGAGGATACTCCCTCATGTTGCTTGCTGCACGACGTTCGTTTCTCCCCTCTCTTTTACCTGTCTGTATCTTCCCGCGACGGCTTCGGTGTCTGGTTTCCCGCACCCGTACTAATAGTTTGGTAGTTTGGTCCCGAATACCTCCGCCCCATGCGGTATCTAGGCCGATTAGACATGGGCATTGATGGGTTTTGGTGGTACGACCGCTAGAGTCGACAGAGAGACAGACTAAAAGCATCATCATACAGATGCCACACCAAATCAGAAGGACTGGAAATAGTCCGGCCCAGAATGCCTAACCATATAGGTATGCATACATCTACGTACATACCTAGAGTATACGACTAGTTAAAAGGGTCTCCATGTTCTCAAATGTCGCCGCCAATGCCTTTGCTGGCCGTCGAGTCTCCCCGAGCGGCACTTCATAGGTTGCTACCTAGGAAGATCATACCAACGCAAATCTGCAGGCCGGGATGCAGAAATCCGTATGTGGATTAGCTGAAAAAGCGAAAGCCATTGTAGCCCTCTAACGGGATACCAATCGCCAACCCATGATCTAGCGTATATTAGTATGTATTGTTATTGATTTTTAGACCACTTGCTCGTTGCCAGGTATACAAATCTGGAGAGATGGAGTCGACCGAACGACCTGGTTCGACAACGTAGCTCCTGTAAATGCGCTTACGTGCTATCGCCGAGCTATCCACGGGAGGCGAATCATCGTTCTGGAAGACCTTTGGGCGCTTCCATCGTCCACTTTGGATGATTGATGTTGTTTGCAGAGATTACCGAGGAACGTACGAATATGAAATGTCGATCTTGGGTATCATCTAATATTTTAAAAATTCAAAAGTTCCGAGATAATTACCTTAGGTACCTAGAGGTGTGTGTAGGTATTCCTAGATCAGTACTTGTTCCCAGTACTATTCCTGGATATGTATTTTAGATTGCTCCTTTTCGGTTTTAGCCCCTTATTAAACCGATCTTAGGGTAGGTAAGGTAAGGTCTTCAAAAATAATTATGGCAATTATCACAAGGGGATTGATGTACTATGTAAAAAAATATGGTAACTGAACAACAATCACACTGTAATAACCCCGATAATCCTTGTCGTATCCTCCGAGGCTGGCAGATCCTGCCAGGCACAAACCAACATACTCGTAGCAATCTCGACCTTCTATTTGCATTCCCCAACGCAGTCTTTTTTGGCGGACTACGCACAATACGTACTTTTGGGTATGGATACTCGCAGCCTGAACCGCGTGATATTTGCAGCCATGGCCGCTGACGCACGTATTGCTCAACATCTTACATACCTCCCAAGAGGTAGGTAATAACAATAACAATAACTCAAGCTGCCAAAAGCCACGCATTTGCAATCAGCCTACTGCATACCTAATGCTAAATAAGCTTTGAGCTTTGATCCGATACGAGGATGGCGGATAAAACAGCAAGGATGGGGGAGTATTTTCGGACCAACACCGATATTCGCGTTGTGGATGCAGCACAGCATCAAAATAATACACGATCTCGGGTGGGTTCAAAACAAGACATGCCTAGGTAGTTTAGGTAGTTATCCATACCTCTACCTCCTATGTGGTGCTTCTACTTCCCTGCCGTAAGATGGTAAGATAGCAGCTCGGAGATTTTGATAACCGTTGACAAACGACTTTTTGATAGGCAAGCGGTAGAGCCACAGAGCCATAAATAGGGTTTCGGATGGTACCGAATGATAAGTAATAGGCCAAGGCTAGACAGTAATTAACTGGCCCCTATTTAATATATTATGCCGAAAAGGGCAGTAACGCTATTTACACAGCCCAAAAATGCTAATGGCACAGCCCATCCACTTCTGACACTAGTTTAGCTACCGACACAAGTACATACTTATTTGTATTAAGATTAGTCGCATTATTAACCACATATAAAATTTACACCATTTGCATTTTAAAATATGTTAGTAAGTACGTACGTAAGGTAGAAAATAAATAACAAGTAAATTAAATAACAATAAATAAGAAAGTAAATGGTAAAACTAATATATATTAAATTATTTAAAAAAAAATTTTAAAATTTATAAAAAAGGAAATTATATAATATATATATATATATATAAATATATAAAAAGTTTTTTTTATAAAATATTAATTATATAATATTTAATTATTATTTATATTATTAAAAAGCTTAATTAAAAATTAATAATATTATTTTTATATTTTTTATTTTAAAAATAATATTGAAATAAAAATAAATATATATAAATAATAATATTATAATAATAATAATTTTACTTTTATATATAATTTGAAAAATATTATATAATATTTTTTTAAATTTTTATAAATTAATATATTTATTTATTATTTAAATAATTTTTAAAATAAAATATATATTTTATTAAAAATTATATTATTTAAAAGTTTTAATTAAAATAAAATTAATAATATACGTTTTATATTTTTTATTTTTTAATTAATTTAAAAATAATAATAAATTTATAATAAATTTATAATAAAATATATTTAAAATATATTAAAAATAAATAAATTATATTATTAATATTTTTAAATTATATAAATAATATTATTATAAAAATTAAATATAAAAATTATTATAATATTAATAAAATTTAATTTTTTATAAAGTAAATATATATATAATAAACTTATATTTAATTTTTAAATAAATAATAATAATATTGTTAGTAAGTACGTACGTATAATATAAATTAATAAATAAATAAATTAAATAATAATAAGGATAAAACTAATATATTAATGATATTTAAAAAAAGAAAAAATTTATTTAAAATTAATTAATAATATAATATTTTTTATATAATAATAATAAATATATTTTTTTTTCTAATATTAGTAATAAAGCACTTTATCTTTAATAAAGTGCTTATATATTAATATTATATAACCATTATTTACTTTATTTTCTTTTCGTAACTAATTAATTACAAAGTTAATTATATAATAAAAAATATATCTTTAAAAAGAAATTTACCATAATATATATCCGTATTAATCCAAATATATGTTAATACATATATAAATTAACATACATATAAGCTAAAACGCATATATATTAATATGCATTTACGTTAAAGTATTACACACTTTTATAATAAGCTAAAGTCGAAATTATAACGGTTTAAACCAAAAGTTATTCCATACATTAAGCCGTATTAATCCATATTATACCATTCCCCACTTAAGTTAATTAATAAATTCTTATATAATGTCCTTTATTATAGTTAATATTTATACTTAAATATAATAGCTATTATTATAATAACATACCGTTATTTTTAAGCTTTTTGCATTTTATTTATCTTTTTAAACATAAATTAATTTAATTATTTTTTATTAATATTTTTATAACTTTATTTAATAATATTTTTATTATAATATTAACTAGGTTACACGTATTATAAATCTAATAAATATTATTTATTTTTCAGTTTTCATAGGATTATTACAAGGTTATTAAATTAATTATTAATTTTTTTTTATTAATACTCCTTATTTATACTAAATATTAATATAAAGAAAAAAAATCGGTATATAAAATAAAAAAGGCTTTTAAAATTAATAATTAATCTAAAATAATATTAATAAAATAATAAATAATAAAGTTTATATTAAAGCTTTATACTATTTTATAAATTTTACTAATAAATATATTATATATAATATATTTATATTTAATAAAAGATTAATAAATAATATTTCCAATAATTTAAAATTTATTATTTTAATTTATAAACTTTTTATTATTTAAAATTATAATATATTTAATTTATAAGTTAAAGTCCTTATTATTTACAAATAATTTATTAATAAAAATATATAATTATAAATTTTAGGGATTTAAGTTAACGTAATTAAATTTACGTAATTAATTATTTATTTACTATTTAATTTTAATGTTAAAAGCTTTAACTTTTTTTAAATTAAGTTTAAAATATTAAATTATTATTAAATAATTAAACGCAATTTTAAATTAATATATTGTGACGAACTTATACTTAAGTCCGTTAAAGTGTAATAATAAAGGTTTTGATTTTAGGTAAATAGTAATAATATGAGTTAAGTATTAATAAAATATTGAAAATATTTATTAAGAAAACTTAAAGTCTTTTTTTTTATATAAGTTAAATATAAGGTTTAAATTAATAATTAAAGAAATGTAAATAAATATTTAAATATATAATAATTTTAAATACTTATGAACCTTTTTTATTTTTTGTTTTTAAAGTTATTATAATTTTAATAATTTTAATAATTTTAATAATTTTGCTAAAATTAATAAGATTAATTAAATTAATAAAATTATTATCTTTTATTAAGTTATTTAAAATATAATTATTTAATTATATATTTTAAAAATTTTATTTTTTTATAAAATATAGTTTTTATATTATTAATTCATAATATTATTTTCCTTTTTTTAAGTTTTTTATCTTTAAAGATTTTTTAATAAGTATATTTCTTATAATATTTTTTCTTTTTTTTTATTATTTTTTAATTAATTTATTAAAATATTAAATTATATATTTAAATTTATTATAAAAAATAAAAATTATATTAATTAATAAAAAAGTAAAGAATTTTAGGCTTTTTTAATTAAGTTAATTAATATTTTATATATATTATATTTAAATTATATTTATTTTAAAAAGTCCTTATATTATTTTTTATTAAATCTTTTTTTTTATAATATATGTATTAAGAAAAGTTATTATTTTAATTATAATATATTAAAAATGAATTCTTTATTTAAATTAAAGTAAGAATTAGATTCTTTTAAAAATAAATAATATTAAATAAAGGATAAGATCATTTATTTGAAAAAAGAGATAATAAATTGTTTTAAGCAAGTTAAAAAGAGTTAGGAAAATATTTCCCGTTATTTTATCTGTTTTAGGGAAATTTATTAAAAAGAAGATATTACAAAGGGAAAAGCCCTTATTATTCTTTAATATAAAGAAGAATTGGATTATAAGGAGGAAGAAAAGGAGGGTAAGAGCTAAGATATTTCTAATTAAGTTAGTCCGTTTATATTACTTAATTTTTCTGAAAATGATCCTAATAGGGCTATTGCTTTTTAAAATAGTTTTAATTTAAGGATAAATTTATTATTATTTATAAACAGTTAAGATTTTCTCGGTAAAATGTCTTTATAAATTTTTAAATATTTTTAAGGTATTTAATAAGTTCTTATATATTTTCTTTTAGTAAATAATTTTTTTATTTTATTAAATATTTAATTTAATTTTTAAATTATTTAAAGTTTAATACCTTTTTAATTTTATATTTTTAATTAATTTTAATATTTAAAGTAATTTATATTAAAGTATTTTTAAATGCTTTTTTTAATAAAAAAATATAAAATATTAAATATAATTTTATTTTTATTAATAATAATAATTTATAATTAATTTTTAAAATAACTTTTTTAATTTTAAAAAGTTTAAATTTTTTATAATTTAATTTATTATTTAATTTTTTAATTTTAATATTTTATTATAATAAATAAATCTTATTTCCCTTTTTAAAGATTAATTTTTTAATTTTATATTAATTATTATATTTTTTTATTTTTATTTATAAGAATTTAAGTTTATTTATTAAATATTTTTACATAATAATAACTTATTTTATTATAACTTTTACTTTAAAAATAAATATCTCTTTTATATTAATTAATTTTATAATAATAAAATTGTAATTAATATTTACTTTAAATAAAAATATTTTTATATTTTTATTTATAAAATTATTATATATAATTTCTGCTTATAGTAGTAATTTTACTTAATTATTTTATATTTTATTAATATATATGTAAAAATATTGTTTTAACGTTTAGTTTAAATGTTTTGTTTATCCATTTAATTATAAGTGGTACATTATTAACAGTTTCTATTTTACACTTATTCTTATTGTTAGGTTAATCCAAAATTTAGATATAAATAATTTATTTTTATTTAAAATAATATATTCTAATAATCCATATTTATTAATTATATATTTAAAAAATATATAAGTTAAATTTTCAATTGTATTTAATTCTTTATAAAATATAAAATATCCATATTTAATCAATCTATTAACTATTACCCATATATTATTATATAATATATTAATTATAGGTTTTTTTTAATAGCGGTAACTTAATAATGAAATCTTATGCGATGGTTTTCTAAGCTTTGTCCAAAATTTCCGTGGGTTGTATAAGCTCGTATAGCTTATGTTTAACCGCTTTAGTTTTGTTATATATATTACAATTGTTAATTATTTCCTTAATTACCTTTAATAAACCTGGGAAATTATAATCTTTAATAATTCATTATATAATTCAAAAGATTCTTTAATATTTATATAATGGATATTTGTAATATTTTTTAATAAACTTATATTATAAGGCTTTTAATATATATACTTTACTTAGGTACGTAATTATGCTTTCTTTTATTTAAATGTTTATAAGTAATTCTTTTAAAAGTAATGCTTTTTTAATATATATTATCCATATGTTATTTTTCTTTGTAAAATATAATATTAATAAAATAAGTGCTTTTTATTCGTTTAACATAAGTATTACTTTTTTTTTTATATATTTTTCGTATTAATGTTATTAGGTT